TGTGTCAGAGGTGAACCTTGAACCCAGAGGCCAGCTCTCTACTTCACTGCAATGCCTTCCTATAGTGCTAACATAGCATGCAACAAATAAGCTTTATAATAATACTGGGCATTTGGTGACTTCAACAAAATTCTGAGCCAGGAGGTCATTGGCAAGGTTGTAGTTCTCTTCAATGTCCTAGTGGAACTAATTTTGTATAGATAATAATATCTGGGTACAGCCTAGAAATATCAGTTTATTTCATGTTTCAAACTGGAAAAAACTTTTGAACATTCTCAGTATGTCCTAATTAGGGTGGCTAGGTGGTGCAGAGCACCTGGCCTGAAGTCAGGAAGACTCATCTTCCTGAGTTCAAATCTGGCCTCAGACACTTACTAGCTGTGTGCCCCTGGGCAAGTCACTTAACCCTGTTTGCCTCAGTTCCCTCATCTGTAAAATGAGCTGGAGAAGGAAATGGCAAACCACTCCAATATCTCTGCCAAGAAAACCCCAAAGAGAGTCTCTAGGAGTTGGATACAGCTGAAAAATGACTGAACTACCGCATGGTCTGATTGGCTTTGTTAATACTCACTACTTAAACTGTGTGATCTGCAAATGGAGCCCAAGTCTAAATTACAACTGTTTAGCTGAAAAGCTAAATCCTGGGGTGATGTGTCTGCACTCAAAGCAATAATTCTGTATTTATTTTCCCCCACTTTGATTAAATTTTCCTATGGACATGGTTTGAAGGAGTGCCTAAGGCAGCCAGTATTCCAAGGTGAATTCGCTTCAGTTTCTCAGTGGGGAAAACAACCTCTTCACTGCCTTGATATACACCCCCAAAGTCTAACTACATTTTCACAGTTTGTGTTGCCTCCATTGGCAAATGCAACTAGTCAATTTAGATCAACATGATTGAAACCCTGCCTTATAAGTAAACAGAGGGCATGGTTTACTCAATTCCATGTTAAGTTACACCCATTCGTCTACCTCCCTCCATTACATTCTCCTGCCCACAAGGAGATGATTCATTCCTTTGCATATATGGAGAAATGATGATGCACACTTGAGATGGGTCAATATGGCCCATGCAAAGAACATGATCTACTCTTTAAATTACATCGCTTCTTCATGATTCTTTCATCAAATTAGTGAGAAACGGTGGCCCACAAAACACAAGCCTAAATGATAGAGATGGGGACCAGACCTATTATGATTTCACTGGTAGAGGGAACCCCTGGGGAAGAATTTCCTCAATGCAGGGTGGCACCTCTTATGCAACTTGTTGTCTTAAGAAAGCTGCCTAGACATTGAAAAGTTAAGAGATTTGCCTAGAGCCATACAGCCAATGTGTGTCATAGATTATCAAAGTCTTCCTGGCTTTAAGGTTAGCCCTCTGTCCATGACTTGACTAGGTCTCTTTAGGTGATACGGAGAAGAAACTTATAACTAAGAAAAAAAAGAGCTTCCCCCTTTGCCTCTCCCTAGAATACTACGGTAAAGGATTAATGTAAAGTCATTTGCTTAGAGCAGGTTTTTGTAAATAGTCAAATTCTTCCCTCACTATAACACCTGAGGGATCAATATTTTCTCAGATAGAACTCACACCCCCACACTCCCCCCCCAGACCCTGCAAAAATCATTTCTCCCTTTATGTTAACTCTCAAAGGAATCATTTCATATGAGTATATAAAGAGATCATCTAGAATGGCCTAAACCAGCTTCTTGGAAGTGATGGATTTAATAAATTAATGAATCCTCCAAACTTGAGTAGAAGCAATTTTTTTTTGTTGCAACAGTAGACTGGAATAACATTTCACATAGTAGGAACAAAACAAATGGATATTTTATGCTTTTCATAAATAAAGTAAAACATGACCCCAGGTTTTTTTTTAACATTGCCTAAAAATCAGAAAAGTGTTTTAAAAAGCCAGATAGTATATATAGTAGAGAGAGAAGTGAAGTATAGTAACATAGTTAGGGAGTGGGATAAGGATGATAACACATTTAATGAAAGCCTCTTGAAAGTAGGGTTTGCTTCATTCTTTGTACTTGTATCCCTAGCATGTAGCACACTGGCACATAATAAGTTCTTGATAAATGCTTGTTAACTGATCCATCAAAATAGACAAGGAAGGGGCAATCAGGTAGTAAAAAAACCAATACAGGAGACAATGATCAGTGTAAAATGCTGCAGAGAGGTCAAGAAGGATGAAGATCAAGAGAAGGCTGTTGGATTAGACAATTAAGAAATCACTGGTAACTTTGAATCAAGCATTTTCTGTTGAGTGATGAGGCTGGAAGCCAGACTACAAAAGGTCGACAAATGATCGAGAGGAAAATAAAGTGAAGAAAGTGAGTTGATGGCTTTATTTGGGAGTCTGGCTTTGAAAGGGAGAGATACAAGATGGTAGTTTAAGGCAAAGTAAGCCAGTAGATAATCACACAATTTTATATGTAAATATAATTTAAAATGAACCAAATGGTGAGATACCAAGTCTTGTTGATCCTCCTTCCACAATATCTATCACAGGCATGCCCGTCTTTCCCTGGACGTGTCCACTACTCTGGTTTAGACCCTCATCAACTCTCACCTGAATGATGGCAATAGACTCCTAATTGATATTCTTGCTTGGAGGAGATATCCCTCCCTTCCTAGTCCATCCTCCACACAATGGCAAAATGACAATCCTAAAACATGGGACTGACATGTTACTTCCCTACCAAAATAAAGTTCAGTGGTTCCCAATTACCTCTAGAATCAGGTTCAGACTCCCATGTTTGGCATTTAAAATCATGCTTAACAACCTGCTTTCAGGGGCAGCTAGGTGTCACAGTGGAGAGAGCACTGGCCCTGGAGTCAGGAGGACCTGAGTTCAAATCTGACCTCAGACACATAACACTTACTAATTGTATGACTATGGGCAAATCACTTAAACCCATTGCCTAGCAAAAAACAAAACAAAACAAAACACAACACAACAACAACAACAAAAACCTGCTCTCCAAAAGCACAGAACACACTTAAGAACTTTACCATTTGGCTTCAGTCTACCTTTACAGGCTTATTATACATTATTCCCTTTCAAGAACTCCATACGCCTCATCCAGCTGGCTAACCTACTGTCCCTCATACATAACATTTTAGCCCCCATCCCTGTGACTTTGCACAGGCTGTCCCCCTATGCCTGACATATACTCATTCCTGCCCCTTACAATCTCAGCTCTGTTCCTAGTTCAGCTCAAGCACTATGTCCTGTAATACCTTTCCTAACTCCCCTCCTGTCATTAATACCTCTCCCATTTGTCATGTATTTACTTATCCGAAGTATGTTTTGTCTCATCAGATAGCATATAAATTCCGCGAAGGAAGGGACTTACTCCTTTTGTCTTTGTATCTCCAGAACCTAGCCTATGTTGTCATTGAGTCATTTCACTCCTGTCGAGACTCTTGGTAACCCCATTTGGGGTTTTCTTGGCAGAGGTACTGGAGTGGTTTGCCGTTTCTTTTTCCAGTTCATTTTACAGATGAATAAACTGAGGCAAACAGGGTTAAGTGACTTGCCCAGGGCCACATAGCTAGTAAGCGTCTGAGGCCAGATTTGAACTCAGGAAGATGGGTCTTCCTGACTCTAGGCCCAGTGCTCTATCTACTGCACAACCAATAGACAATTCCTTACCCTTATCTTACTATATCTCCAGGGTTTTTAGATCTTTCAGGTGGAGACAACATTAATGTTTTATTCAAATCAGCAACTAAGCTAATCTCAGAAGCATTTCATTTCCTCTTTCATTAATTATTGAGAGGGTTAGGGCAACTCTATGGGATGCCAGAACAGATCTCATCCAATCTAGAAATGAAATTTTTAAAAGTACCTCAGGGAGGCAAAATCTTGATACTAGTTTTTCTCTGACCTTTGATGTGCTGTTGCCTAGCACCTGTGTTACCTGTATTTCCTCATCATATTTAGGCTCAGAGGCCTAAATTGAGGCTTTTAATGAAGTTGAATATGTTACATGGTAAATGTTTAACAACCTGCTGTCCAAAAGTGCAGGAAACACTTAAGTTTAATCTGCTCTATTAATATTTTCTCTATCACTTTCTCAAGTCTAAATAATCAGCCAAACAATAAATCAAACCCTGATTTGTACTGTTTCCCTTTCCCAAATGAAACTACCATACTGAAAATTTAACAATCTGTTCTGGTATGAGCTGGTGCCAGCATATGTGTGTGTATGTGTGTATGTATGTGTGTGTGTGTGTGTGCCCTAGAGATGTAGGTGCATGGGTGTGTATCTGTAGTTGTATTATACATGTAAATATTTAAATTCCTGGAGGCTAACCTGTCCACTGCTGAGAACAGAGGGTGAAGAGACACCACCAGGGAAAGGAGCTTCCCCTGTGGAATGTAAACTTTCTGAGGGCTGCTACTCCCACTCATTTTCATTTCTCTGTATCCTCAGCCTTACATTGTGCTTTGCACATACTAGGGCTTAAAAAAAGTTTATTGGACTTGATGCAGACCATGAGAAAGGGCGGTAAGAATTTGACCCCAGGAGCAATTACAGAAGGTGAGCCTCCTGGATGGGGAACTCCCAAGTGCCCGGGAGTCAGAAACTTTTCAGTACGTCTTCTCCAGAGCGGCAGCCAAGCCCCACCTCGCCCCTGCAGTTCCCAGCTGACTGGCCCAACTCCTGCCAACCCTCTTCCTTCCTGGACCAGGGCCCCGGGGTGAGCCCAGACCTCGGATTTAACCCCGCAGAGTCAGACTTGGACTCCGACTCGCCCTGTCCTCGGGTGGCGGAGGGGAAGGGTCCCAGAGGGGCAGACCCTGTCCCGGCACCCGGGTTCCAGTCTCAGAACCCAACAATTCCATACGGTCCGCTGGCCTGGCCCCGCCCCGCCCCGCCTCTCCTGGCAGGTGCCTTAGGTACAGTCAGCACTAGCGTTGGTCCCGAACGGATCTTGGATTAAAAGCTCCCCCACTCCCTAACGCACGCACTCCATGTTCCCATCCTACCTGCGTGTACAGCTCAGCCACTGCCATGGGGTCGGCGGCTCAGTTCCGGGAAGCAGGCGCCCCCGAGACCCGAGCTGCGCTCCCCAGGGATGCGGAGAAGGAGGCGGAGGGGTTAGGAATCCGGTGTCTTGGACAGCTGGAGGGCGGGGAGTCCACAAGAGAATGTCGAGGTCCCAGCGGCCCGAGTGAGCCCGGGCGGAACTCCTGGAGAGCGGCTCCAGGGGGAGGAGACGCGAGGGGTAAAGAGAGGCGGGGCGCGAGCTTCCAGGTGCTCCGATTCACCGGACCTCAGTCTGAAGGTGGGCCTCTCTGAAGCCAAGTATGGGCCAAGCATCAGTCTATGGCAGAACGCCAGAGCAGCTGCTAAGACGTTCCTGGCATTACTGAGCCCCAAAGTGGGAAAATTTGCGAGAAGTAGTTCCGTCCAGGTGTTCTGAAGTTTCTTGGGGATAACAATAACAAAGGGTTGGAGCGGAGAGATGGAAAAAGGATCAAAACTAGGAAGAACTTCTATTCCCTGGGGCTAGGAAATTCTTCTTGCTTATTGGCTGTGGGGAATGATAGGATGGGAGCAGGGCTTTCTCGGTCATGTGAGCTGAGACAAGGAAGGCAGCCGGTCACAGGTGGTGGTAAAACTTGAATTGGCAAAATCGCAAAGCACAAACTTGCCCCAGCCCTCATCGTAAACATCCCCCCAGCTATTATTTTTATTCTTAGCCCTTTATCCTTCTCTCAGCTCCTTACATTTCCTTCCACTTTGCAGTCGGTTATTTGAAGGGGTAGTGTGGGCAAATAATAAAACTTGTAAAGTCGTGGATGTGATTAAATAAAATCTTACTGAACATTATTCTAAAATGTTTGTTCTTTATTAAGTACCCCCAATTGTGCGTGGTATATTCTGATCAGTCACTGAAAAGATTGTGATACAGATGTAGTTTCTGCCCTCAATATAAAAATAAGAATGCATGAATTCAGGCAATACATCTTAAAATGAAAACTTAAAAATGCCAAGTGTAGAAACTTCTAATAAATACAGTCATTTATGTAAGCCTTGGAAGAAATTTATCTCCAAGTTTCTCTTGGTTGTAAATTGTGTGCCTTTGAAGCCCAAATCAGCTTTTGCAGGACATAAAAAAAGACAACCTCATGTGGCCTTGTATGCTTTTCTGATTTAAGCCAAAGACCGTGAGGCAGAAAAGCAGTGGTCTTTGGTACAATGGAGATGTCAGGCAGTACAGCCAGGAATAAGCCAGCAAGGGAAGTCAAATCAGTATAACAAAAAGAACATTGGGCTGATTTTAGAAAACCTAGCTACACATTTTGGTCTCTTTTTACTTAAGTGACCTTGAACAAATCACTTTACTTCTTTGTTACCTCATGTGTTTAGAAGGGAGCTGGACCCAAGGTCCCTTTGGCTCTAAAATTCTAAATTTAAAGCTATTGGAGATTGTTCAGAAAGCAAATTAAAGGTTTCTCTAATAAATTTTTAACTGGTAACTGGCAATTATCTGTTTACAGTTTACTATGCGATGGCAGTAGAATGAAATGCTGGGGCATTTGGGGACAGCTCAGCTTCTCCCATTCCACCTACCTCTTCTCAGTATTGCTACTGGATAAGAGGCATTATGATGGATGAAGAATCTTCTTATTCCAACTCAATCCACTATTTGTTTTTTCTAAACAGTCCCCCAGATAGTTTCAAAGGGACCCAGACAGGCTACAATGGGGGAATTAAAAATAATTTCAAGCCATTATTCATATAAGAGTTTAGACTAAGAGACCTACAGAAGCACTATTTTAAAAAAAAAACCACTTCTTGAGAGAAATGTTTAAAGACTTCTTTAGCTGACTGAATTGCAGGAGCTAAAGTCATAGAAGATTCCCAGGTGGTGCATATTTCTAGCAGCAGCAGCTCAGTAAAGAAGAAACTCACCACAAATGGTAGTTACCAACTCAGCTAAGAGGGGAAACTTAAGGGCAGAGAGTGGAAATATAACCTTTAAGGTAGAGGAGCAGCAAAATTTGCTACAAGATAGTTGTGAGAGAAGTCCCAGCTAGCATGGTGGGAAACTAGAAGACTGTAATCCTTTGCTTTATGAGAGGATTCCACCCCTTCCCCCTTTTATTTTTTGTTATTTGACCCCAATTAAGCTTAGGATTAATTAATTAGGCTTGGGTCCTTATCTATTGATAATTACTAGTAGGTGCTTATATTTGCATATTTATGATTATATGGAAACATTTCACAGTAAACCTGGGGGATGGAGATCTATACCTATCACCAGCCACATTTTGTCTATTCAAACTAGTGACTTCATAATGTACTCTATTAGCATTGGTTCAGCTTTTTTCCAGACTGATAGTTTTCCCCTATTAACTCTCTTCTCAATCACTTATTTTTAAAAAAAACTTTTTAATTTAAAAAAAATAAATTTATTTTTAACATTCATTTAAAAATTTTTTGATTTCTGAATCTCTCCCTCCCTCCTGCACCTCCCCCACCCACTGAGAAGGCAAGAAATGTGATATCAATTATACATGTGAAATCATGGAAAGCATTTCCATATTAGCCATGTTGCAGTGGGGGGTGGAGGGTAAAGCAAGAAAAATAAAATGAAAAAATTATGCTCCAGTCTCAGACTCTATCAGTTCTCTCTCTAGAGATGGATAGCATTTTTCATCATAAGTCTTTTGGAATTGTCTTGGATCACTGTACTATTCAGAATAGCCAAGTCACTCACAGTTGATCATTGTACAAAACTGCTGTAACTATGTACAATATTCTGCTCACCTCAATCTGTATCAGATCATGTAAACTTTCTTAGGTTTTTCTGAAAGCATTCTTTGTCATTTCTTATAGCCCACTACTATTCCATCACATTCATGTGCCACGACTTGTTCAGCCATTCCCCAATTGATGAGCATCCTCTCAATTTCCAATTTTTTGCCACCACAAAAAGAGCTGCTACAAATATTTCTGTACATATAGGTCCTTTTTCCGGGATCCCTTTGGGATGCAGATCTAGTAGTGGTATTGCTGGGTCAAAGGGCATATGTAGGTCTATATCCCTTTGGGGATGGTTCCAAATTAATTTCCAGAATGATTGGACCAGTTCACAACTCCACCAACAGTGCATTAATGTCCCAATTTCTCCACATCCTCTCCAACATTCGTCATTTTCCTTTTCTGTAATGTTAGCCAGTTTGATAGGTGTGAAAGGATACCTCAGAGTTGTTTTAATTTGTATTTCTCTATTCAATAGTGATTTAGAGCATTTTTCATATGACTATAGATAACTTTGATTTCTCCATCTGAAAACTGCCTATTAATATCCTTTGAGCATTTATTAACTGGGGAATGGGTTTTATTTTTATAAATTTGATTCAGTTCTCTATATATTTGAGAAATGAGACCTTTATCAGAGAAACTTGTGGTAAAAATCGTTTCCCAGTTTCCTACTTTCCTTCTCATCTTGACTACAAAGTTAATGCACAAACAAAACCAATGCAGCCAACATTAGAAAGCAAGCAGGAAACTGGCGGGGGGGGGGAGGGGAGGAATTTATAGCAAATTTCTTGGATAAAGGCCTCATTTCTCAGATATATAGGGAACTGAGTCAAATTTATACAAACAAGAGTCAATCATTTATTAAATGCCCTAGTAATCAGCTCCGAGAATGCGCACTGTCAATTCCAGAAAAATACCCATCTCCCCACGTGCTTAGATTCTTATTTGTCAGTTGTCTCATGGTGAGAAAAGAAAGTATCCCTCCCCTCCCCTCCTCACCCTTAAAATTTTTTCCTTGCCTTTGCTAAAGGACTTTAACAGAGGTTTCTTGAAAGTCTAAATAGATGTCTATCAGTTCCCTTATTTACATGTATATCATTCAAAGAACACCGATAAAATGAACAGGTTTGATTTCCCTGGCAGAAACTATGTTGCTCTTCCCCTCATAGGATATTTGTGTCAGAATATTTGGTTATCTTATCCTTTATTCACAACACACCTATACATTCCTCCACGAAGTCCTTCTCCACTGACTATGGCATAGAAGTGATCTTGGGCTCTAAAGTACATTTTAAGGGAGTATAAGCTGACATATCCTACCACCAAGGCAAAGCTTCAAGCATAGTCCTAGAAATAGACTATTTTCTGAATATCAGCCTAGCTTAGCAAGGAAAAGCTTATCACTGATAGGCTGGACTCTCGATGACGAATTATTTGGCTACGACCCCTCACATTGTGGTGAAATTCACTAGTAGAGTCTCATTTGAACACTTCCCATGAATAAGAGTGTCATCTGTAATTGGCTAGATCTCCTCTAAGGCAAAATTTTCAAGTGTCCTGTTGGTATATTCATAGAAGACAAACAAACATATATGTATCTTTATTTGAACAATTTTTTTCTATGGTAACTAGGAATACAGTGTTTTATGATGCACACACTAAGTACAACACCAGACAACTACAATAGCTTAGAGAATATATGTCATTTAGATATTGTTTTGGTTTTCATCTAAGTACTAGAGTGTTATCCAGTGAAAACCCATTTTTCAAAGGCCCTTGGTTGAGATGAGGTGAATTATCAACTTTCCTTTTTTTGAATAAAAAAATCAATTCTTATGTAATATACTGAAATGTCTTCAGTTTCAAATTGGAATTAAATGACAATGACCATCAGCTTCTTGGCACTACTGTTTTCTCTTTAATGGTATGAATGCTTCAAAGATGAACTCTATCACATCTCACATACAACACATATTAGGATGCCCCCTTTAAATTCAATAGGGTAGAATCTTTGATGAAACAGAACAATGTCTGTAAAACAGTTGTTAAAAGATGCACAATTCTAAGCCACTGGAACATAAGTTAAATTCAATCAACTAATTTTTTGTGCAACACATTTTGAGCCATTATAAAATTTAAGGGGGAAATCTACAATTAAATATTTTCTAAGTATTCTAACAAAAACAACTTTACCAATAGCCATGTGTTATGACATCTGTTATATGCCTACGTCATGTGAGAACATTTATCTTTCAAGAAAATAAGTAAATATTTGAAAGTTCACATTAAACAGAGCTGAAATTTAGTGCTAAAGTTACATATGTGGTAATTTCTAATTCATTTTTAGAAATTCTTGCCTCTGAAAAATGCATGTAAAAATACTGACCTGCCAAGCATTATATAAATTATAAAATACACAAATTTAAACTTAAAAACATTGTTCTTCAAAATATACCAAGCAATACAGTGTGATATAAAAGAAATGACAGTTAATCTTGGAGTTCAACAATGACACCTACAAAGTTAAACCACAATTTTCATATATGTGAAAATTACACAACAAACATTTAGAAATCACAAAAATATATTTCGGCAGATATTTTCATTCAGCATTTCTCAGTTCTTGACCTACGAGGGATAATGTAATTTTAAGTTAAAAAATTTCGATATCATAATAATGGGTGAAAAATATCCTTTCCAGCACTATTACCTGCTTTTAGTCAACTGACAGATGAGGGTTTAAAAGAAAAAAAAAATAACAATACACATTGAGGGTTTAAAATCATTTTATACTTAACCTTCATGATGTGATGCTTATTGGTAGATGAAAATTTTAACTATAGTCAAGAGTCTTTGTCCTCTCTCTGTACTTCTCTAATGTGTTCGTCGACTAGTTCAGGTACCACCTTTGAGCTGATACTTCATTGGCTCAGATTGCTTCTCTACCATGATTGATGCTGTTGGCCATAGTCTACAGATGTCAGTAAGGATGGAGGCAGGGGGAAAGGAGAAAAGGAGAAAGGAAGGAAGGGAAAACTGCCGGGATATTAAGGAGCCACACTGGCTTCCTCAAACAAAGAAAACATACACACATACATACATACATACATATACAAATGAGAAAAAGGCCTCAATAACTTCCCTTGACAGGGCCATCCTTATAGAGAAACAGTAGTGGAGAATTTAAGGAAGCTCTGCAAGGGAAAATAGCAGATGTGGGCTCCATAGCCCAGCCTAATAAATTATGCACATCCACAACCCTACCCTACATAAATATGTAGCCAGATAGATATTTGGAGTTCTCTTATGCACATTCATGTTTAGACATACTTTCACCCCCATAAGAAGCTACTACCCAAAGAAATGCAGCATTGACTCACTGGTGCTAGTACCTCTAATGAGATGCATATTCATACTCCCACCATTGGCTATCCTCCTGATGCTGCCTCTGTGGTCTACCACTTTCCTCTGAGCCCCAAAGCTACGACTGATGACAGCTATTGTAGGAGCCTTACTGGACCCTATTAGCCAAGATCCAGCATTATTCTAAGACCACTGCAAATGTGTATTGGAAGGCTTCGAATTGGCATTTGAGAAATGGACTGCTTTCCCTCTAACCAGCCTTCAATCAAGGGACATTTTTGATGCTGGTTCTCTCTGCAGGTAATTACTGCTTCATACATGATTGTTTTGTACAAGATGAAGTTGAGTGTTTACATGGAGCATTAAATTATCACACAAATCAAATTCTATTACAATATCTATCCCTATAATAGCAGCTACTCTAACAAAAATACAACTAGCCAAGAAGAACTTTGAGCTCATTCTAACAAATCATTCATATATCATTCACATAAAGCATTTAACACATGCTTTCTTTCTTCCAGTTTTCATTACCATAATAGGGAAAAAATATCTAATAGCTGATTGTGTGACACAATTAGCCTTGGTACAGGGAGTTTCCTTCCCTATCGCCACCCCATTGCCTAAAATGCTCTCTCCTCACCTGTCTTGAAATTCTAGCAGTCTTCAAAGGCCTAGCTCAAATGCTGTCTCCTACAGAAGGCCTTTCTTGATTTTCTCCCCATCCGCAGTTATTATTGGTCCCCATTCCCCTACCAATTACCTTGTGTTTACTTATCTGCATCTGAGTAAATATTTTATAATTGGGTAAAATGTAAGCTCCTTGAGAACAGGGATGCCATCATTTTTGCCTTTTATCCCCAGCACTTAGCATAGTTCCTAGCTCATAGTGGGCACTTAATAAATGCTTACTGAATTGAGAGATCATAATAGAAACCTATTCAAAATCCCCAGTGAATAGATTTCCTAATTTTCCTCTTCCCCCACTGCTTACTTATGGTTTAGTGTAAAACAAACTGGACTAGGAATCTAAAGACCCGGGTTCTTAATCCTGATTCTGTACTCAACTGTGTGTGACCTTAAGTAGTAAATCACTCCACTGCCTTTCTTCAGCTCATTGACAGCATCATGGTGAGGACTAAATTTCATGTGAAAAAATTTTTTGAAAACTATAAAGCATTTTACAAATACGTATCTTATTTTTCTATTTCTCTCACCAGGGGTATTTTTAGAGGAATCACTCTTTAATAAGTCTGAATTTGTCTCCTGCTTTCCTCCATGACAGTTTAAGCCACCCTAAGCATCATCAGCCGATAGGCAGGCAATGAGAGGAAAAGTGAACATGTCATCACTGGGACATCTGAGAAGGACTTCTCTCAATTTCTTTGGGCTAGAGGTCTGAGAGCCTGGGAGAGGAAAGTTACATTAATTTATAAGAAAATTCCTTTTTGTTGATCCCTGTGGCAATGAGAAGCTGGTGGTCCTGGGCACTGGGAATGAGATATCTAGCTATAATGATTACAACAAAATTCCAGGACAACAAAGCATTTTTATGCCCCATTCCCCAGAGTTTGCTGTAAAATGATCTGACCTATAGCCAACTCTCAAATACTCACCATAATGAAGTAAAATAATGAATCAGCAAATGGCAAATCATTTGTGAACCATTTACACTTAGGTCTGTACCTTTAACTTTGAATGTGGGTATTTTAGTGTTTTTAGAATTTTAAAAAAAATAATAAATAACTGTAAGACTTTATCTAAGAAGAGTTGGGAAAATTAGTAAGCTTTCCCATCATAGCCCCATATTTCCCACTGTGTGCTGGGTAATGGGTAGCATCACCTCTCAGACTGATAGGAAAGATTAGCTTAAAGCAGAGCTGCATGTACTTTTTCTATAATTTTCCAGCTTTATAACACACATCATACTTGAGACGGGGGAGATAGTGAATTTTTTTTAGTTCAAAAGGTCTTCTCTTATAGTTACTGTTGAACTAACAGGCTTCATAGTGGAGTGAAAATAAGAGAGGAACAGTATCAAAGGATTTAATTAAGTGATAATACACGGGAGAAGATTTGCTTGAAGATATGTCATATAGTTTTCAAAGATAAAATTAACAATCAAGGAGTCATAATGATAATCTAACTGAAGTAGTGTTTTAAATTTGTTTTTCACTTACAACCACCCAAATTGAAGACAAGTGATATATTTCTATAAAGTACCCAAATTAAGTTAGCCAAGACACAGTCAGATTAAGTGCTGGGGGAAAAATGTGTCTCTTCAAAGGGTATTGATAGTTGTATAGATGTATTGCTAGCCACCCTGAAGCCTTGGGTCATGGAATCATATGGTCTTGGGACTTACATATGTCTTTATGTAAATGGCTTTGGGGATTGTCTTTAAGAAGATTCTCTCTACACCATAGCATGTCTTCAAGCAAGTGTTTATCTAAATTCTTGTTGACATCAAGTCAGCTTCTTTACAGTCTCTCTGTTCTAATTCCTGATGAAGACTGTAGCCTCAATTTCAAAACTCATTTAAAAATTGATGCAGACTGGTTTGTCCAGCAGATGGCAAACTGACTTCATAAGTTAAATTTCAAACTTCCATTATAAAAACGTCAGAGAATTTTTTTTAAATCTAGACGAGACCTTAAACATCATCTAGAGACGAGACATCCAACTAGTGGCCTACCTGAGCCCATTCCGGGAACCCAGCTGAGATTTTCAGTCCCACATTATTTTTTAATTTATAAAAAGAGTGGGTAGGGCTGAATTACCTGTCTGTTTCTACCCTTTTATAACTGATGGCAGCCATGTATCATGCCAGAACGATGGGGTCAACTAGTAATTTTAACTATAAGGACTTCACATGGCTGATACACTTGTGGGTTTCTCATCATACAGACAAATATCAAGGCCCTTGCTCTAGACCAACCCCCTCAGTTTATAGATAAGGAGGCTAAGGCCTGGAAGATTACATAACTACAATACAATATTTTTCTTTTCATGATAAACTTTGTCATTAAATTGAAAATGTTCATTTTCTAATCATAATATTTCACATTATACTTCAACAATATAGGTAATCTTACAAGAGAATCTAATAGTAATGACATCTGATCACAAAACATTACTTGAGACTAAAGCTTGTAGTGAAATCCTAAAGATTTGGTTTTGTACATCTCAAAATGAGAATTTAATTTTACTAAGTGATCTGAGAAAAAAAAATCCTGGAGAGGATCCCAATTAGAATTACAGCATTAAACTTTTCCTTATAGATTTTGGTACTTGTGAATAAAATTCTTTGCAAAACTTAATAACATCCAATTTCCAAGCATGATGCCTCCTCAAGTATCCAGGGATACCTAAGAGCAGATGCTGTAGTTGCAAAGGGTTGAGAGTAATTAAATATTTATTGTCCATTTTCTTATTTGTAAACTGTCTCAAGACAATCATGCAAATCTAGATCATGATTACATTCCAACTTTCTTTTCTATATATCTGACTGAGATTACATGTTGGAGAAATGAACCAAAGAAACTCAATCTAATGTTAAAAACATGCACTGTAACTATCTCATTCAACACCTAAAACCAGACACTTTACAGAAGACTTAAGCGGTATCAATCCAGCAAAAACATTATATATATTTATACACATAAGTACACGTGTGTGTGTGTACAATATATTATATATATATATATATGTACACACATACACACACACACAAAATTCTGAATAAATAAATCATTTTGTTAATCCTACCCTCTACACATCAAATATTTTAAGAAGACTCCTTAAATTAAACAAAAATTATTCCGTTACTTCCAGTGTGCTACTTGTGCTTGGTTACCATATTTTTGTGAGCTGATGTTTGTTGACAGTTGCATATGATCCAGTTACAATAATGGACTGTATTGGATTGTAAACAAAGTTGATAAAAGAGAACATTATTACTGTAGTGCCTAAGAAGAATACTGTTTACATTTAAAAGAACACCATAAGCAGCAACAGTTTAAAATGCCTGGTAAACTACGGTACAAACCAATGAATACCTGTGCTATACAGTAAAGCAAAGAAATCTCTTGACACCTCACACTTCATATTCTAGTGACATGATCACAAATAAGGAAGTTATCTGAAAAATTACTTTATAGATCGCCAGTTTATTTCTCCATTCCAGTTTGACAAGTTATAAACATAACTGATGCCTAAATTACTACGTCTTTAACTATGGTTTCTTTTTCTTTCAAGTCTTCCATGTAGCCTGAAGGTGGTCCTCTTTGCTCCCTATCAACAACTCACCTAGGAATACATGTTAGTTTATGCTATTTAAATGAGGTGCTGAGGATTGAAAATGGATTCCGGCAGCTGGCAACTCTTTGTTTCTTTTTCACCCTCCACCTGTATTCCAGCTCTGGATGCCTAAAAGGTCAGATATGGAAATGTCTCTCTGAAAGCGATGGGTCGTATTAGAACATGCTTTTCTATCCAGGGAAGTCCAGGTATTCTAAAGAGATTTCCAGTTATCCACCTGTAGTTTGGGAAATATGCAGGATTTTTTCTTTTTAAAAAAATGTGTTTTCAATAGCTCACTGGAAATAATAGGTTCTTATTTCAAGCAAGAAACTATTGTCAGCAGCATCTGCCTGTGAACGTATTCTGGTTCAGACTCTTGCAATGAAGCCCAGCCCCAGGCTGGTTGGGATCTGAATGGTTTCTAGTGCAAGGGAGGATGGGTTAAAAGGGAAAGTAACAGGGAAGATATGTTTTGCATCCATGAGCAGCTGAGGAGAGTCCTTCCTGTCTCGTAAACGCATCTAGAAAAATGAAAAGATAAGAAACAGGTCATGGAGCTACAAAGGCTTATTTGATTAAAAGATTAACAAAATGACTTGCAAAAGTACCAATTTTTATCTTATTGTCTTCAAGTTTTAAAAATCAGTTCATTTCTCTAGATATCTGCAAATTTTTAAAAAATCAGCAACAAATGGTGATATGCAAAATTCAATGAAAATCAAAACAAAGAGAATAGAGGGAAATGAAATTCTTTTCAATTAAAATGTTAAATATTCATTCAAAAACCATTTAAAAGAATAAATCAGTAAGCCAACCAAACAATGGAGGAAATGAAACCCAGCACCTTACCTGTATAGTACGTATAAATGACACGGAGACTCTTTCTTCAAATTCATTAACTGGAGTATATAAATTCAAAACTTTTACAATCTAGAAGAAAAATATTTTCAGCTTATTATTAAACAAATAATAATGTATCTATACTCTAGCTAAAACACAGTATTTGGTCCAATAAAAAATACACATAGACCAACAAATGTTTCTTCCTATTGATGTGTCTCTTCTTCAGTCACAGATTTAAAATAAAATAGTCATGGTAGATGATGAATGTGAATAATTGCAATGTGTTACAGAGGAATTAATAGAAATTACATACTTCTAATAATTAATTAGAGAGACCAAAAATAAAGAAAAGAAAATGATAGGTATGGGAAGTTTAAAATTATATTAAATTGTCTTCACTAGAAAAGAGGCTTGTGGTTTTTCCTATGGAAATTATAGAAAAAATTTCACAGAATGATTTGATCTGTATGAGGCAGCGTGGTTTAGTACAAAGAACACTGGACTTAGAAGACCTAGCTTTGAATTCCTACTTTTGCCATAGAGCGATCTTTGGCAAATTAGTGTCCTCATCTGTAAAATGGGCTACTATCTACCCAACATTTTCATTTCATTTTTTTCAATAATCTTTTCTGTGAAAGCACTTTGAAAATGTAAAGTGCCATCCATCTATCTACCTATTGAAATTATGAAGATGATGAATGGACAAATTTATGTTTAAAAGGTGCTGTTTGGAAGTAAAGGACAAATGGCATATTATAGGTTTGTGGGCTTGATGTCTGTTTGAGCATGACAAGGAAAAGGGAACAAGCATTTATGAAGCACCTACTATGTGCCATGCGCTGTGCTAAGCACTTTACAAATATTACCTCCGTTGACCCTTACAACAACTCTGTGAGGTTGGTGCTATTATTATCCCCATTTTCAGCTGAAAAAAACTGAGGCAAAAAGAGGTTACATAAACTGCCCGAGGTCACACAGCTATTCAGTGTCTGAGGCTGGGTTTGAACTCAGCTTTTCCTGACTCTTGGCCCAGTGCTCTATCCACTGTAATAACTAGCTGCCTGGATGACACCAAGCCAAAAGGAGTTAGAATTTGAAAAACATAATAATCTAACCAAGCTGGTCCAAGTGAAAGTTGTAAGTGACAAGTGAAATCTTATAGCCTTAGGAAGCAAAATAAATAAATAAATAATGCCTTGATTAACATAATTTTTTTAGGTGGGGGGGGATGCTATCCAGACCTCTATTTCATTCAAGCAGGGAGTTTCCATTCTGGAAATTACTTACCAATGCAAACTAGAAACTCGCTTGTCTCTCATTGTCTCTGACAGATTGTACATGGTCACAGAGCTAGCCAGGGCCAGGTGCAAGACTCGAGCAGATGCTTTTCTCGAGTCAGCCCTCTAGCCACCACAGAACTGATATATTCATTAAGAAGATAGCCATAAACACATTTCTACAAATTCAATAAGATTTTCCCACAGGCTTCAAGGCAAGAAAAAAAAAAGAGGTTATTATAAGCAGGAACTTAGCATCCTGAGGATAATAATAACTAGCACTCTACCTACCTCACAGAGTTTTTGTGAGAATCAAGTGAGAGACGACATGTGAAAGTGCTTCATAATCATTAAGTATACACTGTGTACCTATAAATGCTATATAAAAGTTTTTACTATCATTTGATAAAGGACCCCCAGAGGTCTGTATATCTGTTTTAAAAATATTTTAATAGCTGCATTTTAATATAATTAGTTTCCTTTGCTAGTCTATGTATTTTATTTTATGCATTTGAAGATTTTATTCTGAGAAGGCATCCATAGGTTCCACCTGACTGCCAGAACAGTCCATCTCATAGACAGAGAGAGGGAGAGAGAGAGACAGACAGACAGACACACACACACACAGAGGAACTCCTGCTATAGACAGAAGGATTAACTGGTTGACCTTTTTAGGTTTCTTCCAATCCCATGATACCTGCTCAGGGTCACAGGATACTGTAAAATGCTTAATAACATTTTCACTAAAAAAAAGAAAGCTGTTTTACCTGTGCAGTAGTTAAAGCATTACACATGGAACAAATGGCTTCAGCATCTTCGTCCGTTTTCTTCTTCACCTGTAAGAGCTGGGCAGCCTGAATTAGGGGCTCTAAAGTTTCTTTGGCCCCACTATTCATCAGATTCTTGTCACGGAGCCATTCTTCCAGTTGACTGACATTGTACCTGTGTGGAGAGAAGTTTGAGAAGGCATATCTTACGGCTGTCATGAATAGCTGCTGATCAAACTTTCAGCAACCTTGTCAGAACTTTCAAACAGAATACGACAGGCAGTATTTCTGTTCCATTTTCTTTTATAATCACCTGAATCTGAAAATAAAATCATCATAGTTTGTGCACTCTTGATTGTGATCATAAAAAATTAAATGATTAGAAGATCTTAATATATTTAATTGAAGATGGAGATTGAGCCATTCCATCAGAAAATAAGTGGAATGGAACAGTATAAAAACCAAATGGAAACATAAAGTCTACATGTGACTCCTTGCTTTAAGGAATAAAGGCATTCTGAAAAGCTAATTATAAACTAAATTTCTATAAAGTGAATAATTTCCATACTCCTACCAGAACTTTTTTTGTAGTTTCCCATTGCAGTTTCAGAGACATGTTTCTTTATTGTATAACAGCATAGAATAAGGTTTGAAGTGGGGAGGAGTAAAAGGAGTTTTGAGGTAAAATATCTCTTGTGGGCACTGATGTATCCAAAGCAGACACCTTGGACCTGAGCTTTCCCTCTCACTGTCCTGCCCTTGGAGCTGTGTTCAGGAAGAATGTGGGATATAGGACACCACACCTAATGAAAGCACAACAGGAAAGAGTCAGAAGCTGCATAAAGAAGCAGAGCTAGCCAAGCCCCTCAGGGTATCAGGAGGAAGCCAATGAAGTTAACATTCAGGATTAATATTAAGAATGAACATGTAATTTGAATTTTGTGATTACCCACATAATTGGCATTATAATTTTGATTTAAATCATTTACATAATAGAAGGTATGCTCAGAAGGCACTTGGTCAAGGCTAGAAGATGAAGCCTTTGTTCTGGCACTGAAGAGGCCTCTCTGTATAACATTTAATATGATACCACACACATAGAAAAATAAATTGTTAGATAAATAATCTGAATTGAGATGGTGCTGCACATATTAGTGATGTGATTTGGAGGGGTATTATGTAAGTATTCGTGTGTAAAAGAACATGAACTTTCTCCCAGTAAATATTTAATACCATATTAGTCTAAATCTAGAAGTCTTCAATATCATACTCCGATGCTCCATACTGGTATAGAAACTCCCTACAATGATACAGACAGTAGCCCAATCATGACTGCCCATCCTGAATGACTTGCCCAAATCCTCCCATACTCTGCCACAGAGGGTTCATTTAAGGTGTTGGGAGTCTTCCTTGTCTTCACCTGCCATTGCAAAGAAAATATGTGGGCTATCACTTGGTTATTTTGTGCTCTCACCATTGACTAGCCCACATTTTTATTCTTGAAAATATATAATGTTGAAATTTGGCAACAGAACTTTCAATATCGTACCTGATTTTAAAAAAAAAAGCCATGCTCCCGTCTTTTAACACTTCCTACTCCCACAAAGTGTGCTCATTTCCTAATGGAGCAGATCTTTCTACCAAGGAGACTAGCAAAGTACAGTTGAATGCTTATAATCAATGAGATTTTGTGAAATCAAAGAATGGGTAAAAAAAAATACAGGTTAGGTGACTAGGAATGTAAAAAGTCTTAATCTCCATTCCTTCCTTGCTTTCTGGCCTCTTTGCACTGAATTTAAGGTTTTCTTCTGAAATATTATAAAATATTAGTTTGAAGTTCTGAATATGTTAGTAGTTATCTACTGATCAAGGTAGGTCAGTGAAATGTCCAAGAGAATGTACCCCCCAGTTTTCTGGGTGTTGGATTTCAGGGGAGACAGCCTTGGCATTTGCTTACCTGATCTGCATGCCTTTGCTCCAAGAGCACATATCCTTTCGTAGCAGAAGGTTATTCAAAGTAATGGCACCTACAATGTAAAACATCTGCTTGACCACTTGCTTGATCAATTCTGGATCCATTCCATGCTGACACATGACTGAATGGAATGAGTTAAGTTGCCGAAGGATAGAGTCCAATGTATAGGTGCCTTCGTCCGCAATACTGGAGGTCCTCTTCCGTAGCCCAGTGGGCTTCACTCCTGACACTCCTTGGATGGTTTCATGCTCCAGCATGCCAGAAACTGGTTTGGGATAAGAATAGAGTCACAACAGCTGGAAAGGTACGTAAAGAAACTTGCTTATGCTATGCAAAAAAAAAAATCTAATTAAGATGTTACATGTAAAGTGTTACATGTAGGAAAAAGTATTCTACACACTGGGGCTTCTAGATTGGAACACTAAATAAAGTAGTAACAATAAGAATCATCATCATTGTAGTAACTAGTAGTTATGTAGCACGTTAGTCTGGGAAGTGCTCTACAAATATTATTTCATTTGATCCTCACAACAACCCTGGGGGGGGTGCTATTATTATCATCCTAATTCTACAAATGAGGAAACTGAGGCAGACAGAGGTTGCCTAGGGTCACACAGCTAGTAAATGTCAGGAAAGATCTTTTCTAACTAAATGTCGAACACTCTATCCGCTGCACCTTAGGAAGATGACCCCTAAGGTACATTCCAGCTCTAGGATTATCTAATTCTACTGCTATTCTAATTTTTCTAATGAATTTTCTCTGCAAGTTGCAATCTTTGCTTCTTTTTCCAATTTTCTATCCATTTGTATAATATGTGGATCTTTCCCTCTCCTGAATCTTAGTCCTGTTCATTTTCCCTTCAGTTAACTCTGCTGTCTGCAAATTACTCTTAGGAATTCATCAATGCTAAATTCTTTTAGAAAGCAATTATCTGGTTGATACAAGTTGACGTTTTGGTGGAAAATGATTTGTCTGCTTTTCTGACTACTTTGTCTTTACTTCGGAAATATTTTTTTCTGTGTTTTGCTTGTTTCCTCATAGTAGGAGTTTTGAAGACAAGGCCTGTTTTCATTTTTATCTTTGCATCTCTAGTAGCACATAGTAGGCACTTCATAAATGATTACAAATAGAATCTGACCTAAAATTTTCCCCACGTGGTACAATGTATATTTTAATGCAATGTAAGTGGTAAATTTACACTCCTGTTTTCAAAGAATGGCCTATGAGAACAGGAGCTGTTGAGTATAATCTGCTGGGACATTTTACTGCCAAAGTTAAAAGATCCAAATTTCAAGACAATGTAACTGCCAGGGATGTTATATGGACCAAATCACTTGGCATAGTACTTTGTGCACAGTTAAGTGCTATAGAATGCTATTATAATTATTATAATCTCAAAACACAAATAAGAGAAGTAGAGGCACAGAATTTTAAAAGAGAAGAGTTTTGTTACTGTTACTTCTTTCAGTGCAAAAATTCTCTTGAAGTCTGAAAATCTTGATGGTTTAGTCTAAGAAACTTTTTTTTGGAAAGGGTTAGCTAAGTGAATAATTGGTGTACTATTATTCTAAAAAAGTTAATTTTATCTGTTTCATAAAAGCAAACAAATTTATCTTAATTACATAAGCATAAAGGCTTTAGGCCAACTTCAGCCTCATTTCCCATGGCTCTTCTGGTGGGTATGAAAGAAGACAGTTTATTAAAAACAATTTACTCTCTATTCACAGAATCTCAGACTTGTAGGTCCCCTTCTAGGATGTCTAGCCTAAATGTGGCCTTTCAGAAATTTAAGTGCCTGTGACAACTTGACAAAGTATCATTTCTATAAAGTGTTTCTTAGTCTTAGTATGAAGTCTTAAGGGGGAATGATTTCAAACTACCTTGAAAGGATAGAAGACTGTCTACTACAGTGAGTATTTGCTGCTATTTTCCTTACCCATACCACTTTCTTAACTTTCTAGCCATCTCTCTATAAACACTTCCATTTCAGTTATTAATGAAGAGCCAGTATGGAAGGTGGAAAGAATATTAGACTTGGAATCAGGTGAGGTCTAGACTGAAATCTGACTTCAGACACTTGCTAACCCAACGTCTCTGACACTCACCGCTGCCATATGAAAAGTGGAGATGATGATACTTTGTTGTTGTTAAGTTGTTCAGTAATGTCCACCTCTTCATCACCCCATAGGGGATTTTCTCGGCAAAGATAAGGCACTGCTTTGCCATTTCCTTCTCCAATGGATTAAGGCAAAGAGAGGTTAAGTGACTTGCCCAGAGTCACACAATAGTAAGTGTCTGAGCTGGATTTGAACTCCAGCTCAGGTCTCCAGGCCCAGTGCTCTATCCACTGATACTGCTTACACTATTTCATAGAGTTCTTGTGAGAAAAGTGGTTTTTAAGCAAGAAAGTGCCAAATGAACATTATTATTAATAATATTTTTGTGTTAAATCTAACAATTTCTGGCAATGGGGGCCCTACTGGATTATATTTCAGGGAGGAAGTTCTCTGGAATCTTTGATGAAAGCTTAACTTTGCAAATAATGGTGCCAATTTATCTTGAGCAGGTGAGATGGTAAATTCTTAGTAAAAAAAAAAAGACTGTACATGTTATTACCACTGTATACTTGCTTTTATATTCAAAACAAAAGATAAACTTCTTACCTACCCTCAAACATAAATGTTGATCGAGTTAAAGAATTTCAGTGAAAAGCTGTGCAGCCTTTGGTTTTGAGGGGAAGTTAAAACTTTAAAGATTAAAAGAGACTCATGAAATGTGAACAGAAACTTCAAAGCAACAGCCTTCTTTAAATTTTTCCTTATTACACAGCTGAAAGCCTAATTTAACTTCGGGAAAATGTCAATGATGCAAATAAAATTTAATGCTTGTTACATTATTTGTGCATGACTTGTCTTTTCAAAAATTTCATCCACACTTAAGAAAATTGCAAAGGCTCTAATTGGACATTGTTTTATAATTCCCAACCACTCTAATGAAGGAAAACAAATGCACATAAAAGAAAATACTGTAGTGGTGAGTCTTTTTACATGCTATGGCGATGTCAGAATGAGAAGGACAAATGGTCAAATAAAAAAAGAAGCAGGGAACTAGGGAGCAGTCTTGATGAAGGGTTTGCTGGGTATAACTAATTTAAAATCTTTTCCCTTCTGCCTTTAATACCTACCCACTAATTGGATTCTTTCCAACTCCTTAGCTTGCACCTGCAGTCAAAACTGGGAATTGTTTTGAGGTCAAAAGCAAACTTTTTGATTGGTAATAAAGCCATTTTTGTATAAATGGAAAAGAGAAAAGCTGGCTGAGCTAAACTTTCTCTTGCCTCTACCTTGGTCTAGGTTCTGCCTTTTCAAAGTTCAGAGAGGTCCTTTGGGAGGACTTTTATGCTCCCCATAAGTCTTTATGCCAACAGTAGGTTAATCGCTGGGCTATTCTGGAAAATGGGGGTGGCAAACAGAATTAAGACTGAAGAAAGAAAATGAGGAAAGTAGTGTGGAAACCTTGCTCAAGTAATACAGGGAAGGTCAACATGGAGACTAGGAACAGCATCTACAGGACGCCGAGGACACGCCTATGTTCTGTTGTTGTTTGGTTGTTTCAGTCATATCTGACTCTTGATGACCCTGTGTGGGGTTTTCTTGCCAAATATCCTGAAGTGGTTTGCCATTTCCTTCTCCAGCTCATTTTACAGATGAGGAACTGCAGCAAATAGGGTTAAGTAACTTGCCCAGGGCCACACAGCTACTAAGCGTCTGAGACCAGATTTGAATTCAGGAAGATGAGTCTTTCCGACTTCACATTAGAGTAGAGTTGTACATTATTTTTGGTAGTTCACAGTTTTTACTGCCTGATGCTTCTACTTGGTTTCCACTTTCCCTCAGGTACTTACCACACACCTTCACCTATCCAAAGGCACATACATGTCCGTCCACATGTAAAAGGATATCAAGATACACATGTAGAGATAAATGAATACATTGAACAGGAACACACACAGTCAGGTGGGAATGTCAAGAATCACATATTCACACACACAGAGGCATGTGTAGTATGTGGATATACATGCATACACATACACAAACACCCTGTCTTGCTCTGCAGATGGGAATCCTTGCAGGCAGCAACAGCAAGAAGATTGCTCAGCCATCATACTCACACTGCTCAGGCTCCTTATAAAACTGTTATAAGTCGAACAGACCCTCAAGCATTTCAAAGGGTCTCCTGTGTTTAAAGTGGTGCTGCCAGTGGCTCAGGCAAGTGAGGAAGATATGTTGCTCTAATATCAGATCTCAGCCTAATAAATCCTGTTTCAAGGATATTATTTTAAATCCTGTAGCTCTTAGCCATCACGAGGGCAAAGTAAAGGAGTGTTGTCTCCTGGTGTTCTAAACTTGTGGAAGGTCATCAAGGCTGGACACAGCTGTCATCCCCGTCTCCTCACTCTCTCTCACCATCCACATACAAACTGTTGACACATCCTATCATCTCTGCACTCATCACATCTCTCGCATAGGCCCCCTTCTCTCTTCTCACACTGCCACCTGCTGCTGGTGCCTACACTACTGTTAACAGCCTACTCATGATGCTGGCAGGCCTGCCAGCCTCATTTTAGTCCAACCTCTACAGTGCTGCCTATGGGACTTTCTATAAATGCAGAAGATTATAAGATCCTAGATTTAGAGTAGAAAGGGCCTCTAAAGAGGCCAACAAGTCCAACTCCTTTATCTTTTAAGTAAGGAAACTAAAACTCAGCGAAATCAAGTGACTTGACCAGAGTCAAACTGCTACTAAATAATAGGCAGGATTTGAACCTGGAACTTCCTGATTCCAAGTCCAGCACGATTTGACCATTCCACTACCCTATTCCAATTTCAGCGGCTACCTAATATTTCCTTATTATCTCTAGGATCGAATTTAAACTCCTCTGTTGAGCTTTTTTTTTTTAAGTTGTAAAAGGGTTAACTGACCTGCCTAGGGTCACATAACTAGTAAGTGTCTGGAGCTAGATTTGAACTCGGGAAGAAGAATCTGCCTAACTTCAGGCCCAGAGCTCTATTCTGTGCAACACCTAGCTGCCCCCTCTGTTTAGCTTTAAAAACTCTTCATAACCTGCTTTCAACCTCTTTTTCCAGCCACATGCTATGTTCTTCTCCCTCCTACAATCTGAAACCTAATTACACTGGCCTGCTCTCTGGCCCTCACAGACAGCAGTCCATCACTCATCTCAGTAATTTTGCCTGTGCCATGTGCCTGGAATGTGCTGCCTCTCCAATAAAAATCTCACTCTTCCTTCAAGATGCAACTCAAGCACTACACTACATAGGAAACTTTTCCTGACTCCCCTAGCTGCTAAAGCTCCCTCTCTCAATCTACTCTGTATTTAATATAATGTAACATAGATAATGTTAATTTGCAGTTTTCTAAGTCCATGTACAGTTGCAAGGATCCATTTCTATTTAAGTTTGACACCAATGATTTAGTAAACCAATAATTTTCTGATTGAATTCATGGCCAGAAATGCTTGCTGGTGATAACAACTGGAGTGAAATTCAATTACGAAAATCCTTACCTAATCCATGTATAGTCTAATAACTAAATTTCTAGAGACATCATCTTTTGCAGAGTCTTTGGGTGAATACTCAGGTTGCCAAGAGCTGACACATTTTATTTTAATGACAGGAAGAGGCTATTGTCTTAGGAGGTGATCTACTGTTACATAAATATATCTGGGGTGGGGGGTGGGGTGGGGTCATTCTGCACTACTTATTTAGTGTTGAGTGCTACAACAGATGAAGCCTGCTTTCAACACAGCATCCTCACAAAACAGTATCATGCTAATGATATTCTTAGTCATAATAATGTTTCATTGCCCTTTTAGTCTTACCAATCATTGGCTGAAGGATGTTCTCTAATACTCGAACAAGCTGCTGGTAGATCTGAATTGCCAAGTCACTCAGCACCTGCCGGTACTCAGCCAGGTCAAAGTTGGTGAGGCAGTGTTCATTCTGGCGAGGTGTATTGTGCTTCATAAATCCCTAAATTTTAAGGCAAGATTGACTTTCAAGAAACATAATGCAACTTTTCTCTTCCTAATTTTAGCGTAATTCTCCAACTCCCCTTTCCCTGCTGAAAAGAATTCATTCTTCCCTCTTCCATTTCTGTGGCTGCCACCATGGTCCAAGGCCTTCCCATGCACACCCGGATGACTACAACTGCATTTTAGCTAGTCTCCCTGCACTGGGACCATTCCTGCTTCAATCTCTCTTGCTTGTGGTGGTTAGAATCATCTCTCTCAAAAACTGTCTTCAGCATGTTCCTTTGCTGCTTCTTACTGCCTACTGGCTTAAATCTAAATTTGTTGGCCTGTCAGCCAGGGTTCTTTGTCACCTTTTCCCATTTAGCAAAATAAATACATAATTAAAAATTAAAAATTGAGGAGTAGTGTAGGGATGTGTGGAAAATCCCCAGACTTAGCATACACTTGGGCTTTTTAATTAAAATGTCAGCTTCACTACTCTACACTAGAATATCAAAGGCCCTGAGCACTAATCTCTACAAAGTAAAAGTAACAGGACCAAGAGGACACTACCATTGTCAGACAAACTGAGATGAGATTGATCATGATCCGTTATTAAGGTTTTTTCTTTTATCAGACATAATTACGTCCATAGTGGGCAAATTGATATGCATGTGGCTGTGACACAGAAAAAGCCTCCTTAACAAAAATAGGTGTTTCAACAGTATTTGTTTAAATGGGATTCTAGACACAGAGAGGCAGAAGCGTGCTGGTAAATGTTTAACAATAGGCTCTCCAGGGGAAAATGTATGCAAGAAATGTTTTTAGGCTTAATCTGCAATATTAACATTTTCTTCATCACTTAATAATAATAAACTTTTGTCACAAATAATAAAAATGTGTCACATTTGCAAATTTCCGAGGTGTAGATGCTCACACTGAAAAACTGGCTTAAGCAAACCCTGGGCAGGGCCCACTTTTTTCTACTTCATATTTTGCTTCTCTGTTCACTTCATTCCATTGGTGATTTATATTTCATTTCTTCTCACCTTTAACTATTCACTCAACGATTTCAATGAGATGTCCAAATAGATGAAGAAACAACATATTTGCAGTCTGGATTTTGCTTTACCATAATTCCCTTTGTGGCAATTCTCCAGGAATACATTGTATTTAAAATCACAGAGCCCTTGTTCATCTGTCACATTTGCTTTTGTAGACTTTGGACCAAACTTCTCCAGAAGCCTATGAGCTTTGTCAAGAGCAGGATGAGTCTACCAGATTTTAGCCATGCTCCTCCCACCCCAAAAAAAGGACTATCACATCTAAACTTTGAATCTTTGCTAACTGACTAGTACAAGGTGATACCACCATAGGCTCCTAAGAAACAACGGCTGAATTTGAGTATTCTCTGATTTGGGCTCTCCTACAGATTCTAGTACATACATACAATATTCTGAATCCACTTGCCCTTATAAGGGGGCAAGTTCCAAGCTTTAGAAAGTCTGCCTTACACTTCCCTGAAGGCTGAGACAATTTTTGTGTTTCCAGTATCTTGGAAATAGTAGGCATTAATATTTGTTGAATTGAATTCTCTTGAGAAAAACCAAAAAAGTGTGAACACACCTAACCACAAATAGGTCCAATACAAATACTGCATCAAATCAATAGCCAAAATGGTGTTCTTATCTTTGGTCATCCTAAAGATTGTTCCATTGTCTTTGTTCAGATTTCAGCTGTGTGATGGGAAGTTCATTTCATCTCCTATGCTGTCTCTGCTTGTTTGTTTTTTTGTTTTGTTTTCGCTAGGCAGTGGGGTTAAATGACTTGCCCAGGGTCACATAGCTAGTAAGTGTTATGTGTCTGAGGCCAGATTTGAACTCAGGTCTTCCTGACTCCAGGGACAGTACTCTATCCACTGCACCACCTAGCTGCTCCTATGCTGCCTCTGAATATAAACTATGGGAGTGAAGAAGTTATACAAGGGCTTGCTGTACATGTACAATGAATATTGAACAATATTCTCTGATGCTCCAAACCATGTTGATTCTGGCCTTCTAAAAGTGAACAGGTAAAACACTTTTTTTTTAATAAACATCAGGGAAAGGTATTCTCACCTCTTCTCCACTGTATTGCTTCAAACAGTGCAAAAATCGGCATGTATTTGATAGCCAGAAGGAAACAGTTTCAAAATCGTCACCTCTTTTCTGAAATAGAGAAAAAAAAATAATTCTAAGTCTGGTTTTTCCTTGGGAAAGTGGCAATTTGAAAGAACTGAAAGAGATCCTAGAACTTACTTTCTGTAAGTCACTATACAGGTGACTTACATAGTATATATAGTATTCCTTTTGCAGGTGGAAATATATGTTGGTCTTTTGCTATATCAATATATCAACATCTATATTGCTATATCAGTAGCTATATCAATAGCTTCCAATAACAGATTTCTTTGCAAGTTTCATAGGGAGATTGTTATTTATCTTGGTCTCCATTTTTTCCCCTCATTAGGCAAGCTCCCCTTAACACTCAAGTGGCTGAAATTTAGCTTTTTTTTTAATCAGGAAAAAAATTGTTAAAATAAAAAAAAGGCAATCCCTTACTTACATCCCTTACATATACAATAACCAGGTAGCCAGACCCTTTCCACAACTAAAAGTTCCCTCCCTAGGGACCTACCACTGACAAGATGGAAGGGAAGATGATAGATAGGAAAGGAGGGAAATCTAGAACTGTCACTTGTCCCTTCCCTTACAACAGTGCTGCTCTCTACAATCTCAGAATTCATTTCATTTTGGTAGTATCCTTAGTCTCTAGTCTGTTTCGATACCCCTACATCTCTCATGGGTCCCATTCTATGTTTCCACTAAAAGTCCCCATATTCTGTCCCAGCTCCTATGCCTAAATGGCCAAGTTAACCTGAATCTGATTTGTCTCTAAATACAAATGAAACTTCAAGCTTTGGGGAACCAAGTACCCCATTAACACTTTCCCTACAGGACCTGATAGAATAAAGAAAAAGAAGGCAGAATGAATGAAAGAATGAGTGAATGAATGTGTAAAAGTAGCAATCCCCACTTGGAAGAGCCTACTTCTAGAAAGGCTTGATGATATGTAATGGAAGTATCACATTCCTCTTTTTGGAGCATGTTGAAGACTTTCTTCCTATATATTTTAGAAATAAGAAAAACTTGCTGCAAAGACTTTAGACTTTCCTCCATTCACCTGCTTCTCCTATAATCATAGCTTTGTTGATTTTCCTTGAAGAAATTTTAAAAATTTTATGTAATCAAAATTGTCAATCTTACCTCCTGTGGACCTCTCTATCTTGTTTAGTCGTGAACCCTTCACTTATCCATAGCTCTGACAATTAGTTTTCCATATTCCTCTAATTTGTTTATTTCCCTTAAGATTCTTGACCTTCCCCCCCCTTAGATGAATTTTTTATTATTTTTCCAAGTTCTATGGGGTAACCTTTTTGTAGTTTGGTATAGTACTAAGTAAATTTGTCTAGGTCAGGGGTTTTTAACCCTTTTTGGCAGTCTGGTGAAGCCTTCGAACACCACTCTTGGAATGTTTTTAAATTCATAAAATAAAATGCATAGGATTACAAAGAAAACCAATTATTTTGAAATAGTTATCAAAACTATTTGAAAAAACAAGTTTATGGATTTCAAGTTAAGGACCCTTAGTCTACTGTCATTTCTATTATATTGGCACAATCTAACCATTAGGGCTATACTTCTGCAAAGACCATTTTGTCATTGTATTCATTTAATTCCTCTGTGAGTCTTGGTTTGTGGACTTCTAAATATTTTAAATATTCTGTAGTTAATAGGAATGGAATTTCTCTTTCCATCTCTTCCTATTGAGTTTTGATGGTAATATATATGAAGTCTGTTAAGTTATGTGTTTTTATTTTATACACTGATACTTATCTTGTTATTGTTTCAACTAACTTTTTTAGTTGAATCTCTAGGATTCTCTAAGTAGATCATCGTGTCATCTACAAAGGGTGATCCTTTCATTTGTTCTTTGCCCATACTTATTCCCTTCATCTCTGTTTCTTGCTATTGCTAAGTAGTTAGATCAAATAATAGTGAGAATAATAAACATCCTTGTTTTACTCCTGATCTTATGGAAAAGGACTTCTTCATTACACATAATGTTGAACTCTGGATCTTAGACACTATTGACTATATTAAGGAAAGGTTCATTCATCCCTAATCCTTGAAAAATTTAAAAAAAATAAAGAAATATGGGTGTTACAGTTTGTCAAAAGCTTTTTCTGTACCTATGGTTATAATCATGTGATTGTTATTGTTTTTGTAACTAATATGATATATCCACCCTGATTATCATGTATAATCTTTTAAACATTTTGCTGTAGCTTTTTTGAAAATATTTTCTTCGATATTTTTGTGTCAATATTCACTAGGAATATTGGCCTATAGTTTTCTTTCTCTGATTTGACTCTCTCCGGTTTAGGTATCAAGACTATATTTGGCCTATAGAAGATACATAGTAGGATGCCTTATTTTCCTATTTTACAATTTGTCAATTATTGGACCTAATTGTCCTTTGAATGTTTGATAGAATTCACTTGTAAATCCATCTAGTCTTGAGGTTAATTCCTTTGAGAGTTGATTAATGGATTTTCAATGTTTTTCTGAGATTAATTTAGATTCTACATTTCTTCTATTAATCCAAGTATGTTATATTTTTTGTAAATCATTCATTCCACTTATCAATTTTGTTGGCATATAATTGGCAAAATGGCTTCCAATGAATTCCTCTATTTCCTCTTCATTAGATAGGAATTCTTTTTCTTTTTTGGTACTGCCAATTTGTTTTTCTTCTCATTCCCTAATATCAATTTCCCTAATAGCTTATTAATTTTTAAACAGCTTCTAGATTTATCAATTTTTTATTGCTTTGTTACCTTCTTTGACTTTTCAGAATTTCTATTTTGTGTTTAGTTGGGGTTTTCTGATTTATAGCCTTTCTTTTTGTTCCTTCCTCCTTCTTTGCATACTCAATTAATTGATCTGATCTTTCTCTCTGTTGATGAAAGTACTTAGAGACATAAATTTTTCCCTAGGGGCTACTTTGACTACTCACCAAAAGTTTTGCTATGTGGTTTCATTTTGTCATTATTTTTCTCTTTGATGAAATTATTTATTGATTCTGATTTATTCTATGACCTAGTAATTCTTAAGGATTAAATTATTTAGTATCCATTAAGCTTAATTTCTGTCTTTAAAGGCCCTGATATTGATTAGTACTTTCACTGCATTATGGTCATTAAGGATGTATTTAACATTCTGCATTTGTTTATGAGGTTTTTTGTTTATGGTCAATTTTTGTAATGGTGCCAAAAAACAACTTTTAATTCCATAATCACGAGGCATGTATAACACAGCATTCTAAAATTCTATTCAGGTCCCTAATTTCTTTCTTGTTTAATTTTCTTCAAAGGGTCACAGTTATAGTTTTTTGTCTATTTTTCTATGTTATTTGATTAACATTCCCTTTAAGTACTTAGATGCTATGTCACCAAGTGTATATACAAGGTGTCCCCAAATTCTGATTTTTTGGTAGTGATACATTGTCTATGCTGTCTTTGAGCATAATAAAGTTTCCATTTTTCTTTTTATTATTTTCCCTATTCCTTTATCTGAGATCACAATTGCCACCCATGCTTCTGTGATTTCAACATATAATTGTGTTCCAGTCTGTTATTTACCCACATATTATATTGTATGAATCTTTATGTTTCAAGTGTACTTTACTTTATTGAGTCTTGCTTTCTACTCCATTCCGCTATCTCCTTTCATTTTATGGGCCAGTTCATTCCTTTGACATTCAAGGGATATGATTGTTGTGTATTTCCCTCCATCATATTCTTCCATATGTTTTCCCCCTTTTTGTCCATCTCATACTTACAAAGAAAGTAGTGAAAGAAACAGAATTTGATTAACACTAACTATAACTAAAATGATCATCTTCCACTCAATTGCCCTTCTCTTTACCTCTTTCATTGCTTATGTTTTCTTTCTTTCCTTTTAATACCCCCTTCACAATCCATCCTTTAAAGAGGAAGTTCATTTTGCTTATGACCATTTCTTTCAAATTCTTTTCTCCCCCAACCCTTTTCTCTGTCCATACCCATTTTCCTAATGACCTTAATGTAATTCTATACCAAAATCTCTGTGTGTGAATGCATGTGGGCTCAATCCTCTTTTTATACTGTACTCGAATTATGAGAAATAGTAAGTTACTCTTCTTTCTTCCTCATTTCTTTCCTAGCATATTCCTTTATCCCTCCCTTTTCTTTCCTCTCTCAGGATTATAAAAAAAATCCACAATCTCCTTATTTGCCTTGTTTAATGTCCTCTTTGAAGGTATCAGGATTCTGAAGGGACACTATCTCTTCACTTCTTAAAACATAAGCCTGTCATCAAACTTAAGCTTCTTCCCTATATTTCTACTGACTCCTGTCTTTGCTTTTTTTAAGCTTTTAGGCAGCTGGGATTAAGTGACTTGCCCAGGGTCACAGAGCTACTAAGTGTCAAGTGTTTTGTCTGACACCATATTTGAACTCGGGTCCTCCTGACTCCAGGGCCAGTGCTCTATCCATTGCACCACCTAGCTGCCCCTCCTGTCTTTGCTTTTTAAAGTATCTACTTAGCTCTGGTCTTACCAGGCATGCTTGGAAGACATTTTCCATTAGAGGTCCATTCTTCCCCTCTAGTACTAAACTCAGCCTTATATTCTTGATTGTAAGCTTTTATTTTCTGCTCTTTGGAATATCAAGCTCAGATTTTCTTCTGACCATAGTTCTTTGTACTTTAAAATTTCTTCTGGCTATTTGTATTTTTCTTTAACCTGGAAGCTTTGGATTTTGACCATGACATTCTTGGGCATTTTTCATTTATGGGCTTTTGTTTTTAGGAAATGACCAGTGAATTTTTCCTATTTTCATTTTGCCCTTTGTTTCTAATAGATTAGTTGTTGTTGTTCAGTCATGTGCGACTCTTCATGACCCCATTTGTGGTTTTCTTGGCAAACATGTTGGAGTGATTTGCCATTCCCATCTCCACCTCATTTTACTGAGGCCAACAGGGATAAGTGACTTCCCTGGGGTCACACAGCTAATAAGTTTCCGAGGCTGGATTTGAACTAAGGTCCTCCTGACTCCAGGCCTGGTGTTCTATCCATGGTGCCACCTAAGCTGCCCCTAATATATCATGGCAATTTTCACTTATGATTTCTTGACATATAGTATCTTAAGGGTTTCTTTTTTTGCTTGGTCACAGTTTTCAGGGAGTCTGATGATTCTCAATTGGTCCTTTCTTGACATGTTTTCCAGATCCATTGTTTTTGACATTAGAAACCTAACAATATCTTCTATTTTTTTTAAATCTCTTGATTTGCTTCTAATACATATTACTGTCTCCTAGAGTCATTAACTTTTGTTTGTTCCACTCTAATTTTAAGAAAATCAGCAATTTGAGTAAGAGTTTCAACGTTCTGTTCTAAGCTACTTATCCCCCTTACAACCCTTTCCTCAAAAACTTTTATTTACATATAATTTTATTTTTAACCTCTTGCTTAATTTCTTCCAGTCATTCTTATTGTCCTTGTGGTTCAGTATTTTCCCCCTTTCCTCTGATTGTACTCATTGTGGGAAGACTGTCTTCTTACGAGTTTATCTCTTGGGCATCTCCTGGTCCACGGTATGTCTTCACTGTTGGGTTTCTTCTTGTTTATTCATACCTCCATATTCAGTTCCTGGTTATGGGAATTTATGCCATGGACAGGCTCTACCCCCTGCAACACTCCTGGATGGCGTAGTTGGGCCCTGTTTGGGCTCCTACCTCCAGCTCCAGCTCCTCTGGTATGTGTGTAATCACAGCACTATCAGGTTTTCAGCCCCTCCCAACCCCAAATTATATGGGGTGAGAACACTAGAGTCTTCAGGGCCCTGTAGGGTGTCCATAGTCAGAGCATGTGGCATTCAAGCCCCTCAAAGCATCTTACATCAGAATGTTGCAGGCTTTTGCTCCCCCTGCAGCTTCCTTGCCAGAATGCTGCCAGTTTCCAATCCCCAAGCAGATTCCCCATCAGAGCAATGCAGGAATCAGGACCCTGAAGGATACCCAGCCAAAGTGCTGGCAAGCTTTGGGTCTATTTACCTATGCTGCTGCCAATAATGCCTGCAGGCTTCCAGATGTTTGTTTTTGTGAAGTACTGCACTAAGTGAAGGCACTCATTGATTCTCCCTCCGACAAAGACATGTTTGGATTTGTTGATCATCATTTAATGCACTGCCCTTTGCTGACCTATATGCAGGATTCCTCTACAACCTTTTATATCATCATTGTAACTGGAAATTCTAAAACAGGTGATTTTGATGCTTCAACGTCTCTTCCCATATTGTTTATATGTACTATAAAGTGTTTCTCCTAAGTAGGTATTTCATATCCTAGGGGAAATTTTGGTGAAAGAGGATAAAAGGAAAGAAAAATAATCATCCAGAAATTCCTTATTAGTCACTTAAAGTCTCTTATTTTAATTGAGCATGTTATTCTCTATAGATTTATTACATTAAATAACTTTCATTTGCATTCCATATAGGATCTAGAAGCACAGATAACTCTCATTTATATAATGCTTTAAGGTGTTCCAAGTGCTCTCCTTATAATATAAGAAGCCTATGAGAAATGTAGTGTAATGATTACTATCCCTCATATTAAGATGAGGAAACTGAGGCACAGAGATTAAGCTGTTTGCCCCTGGTCACAGAGCTAACACCAAAGCCCAGATTCAAATCCAGGTCTCCTAACTCCCAGACCAGTTATTTTTCTATTATACCCCTTAAGCATATTATTGTAAAGCTAAAAACATGAAGTATCCAACCAATCTTACTGTTCAATTCATACCTTGTTTTTAAAATAAACAGATGGATAAACTTCAAGGAAGAAATCTTTGCCATAGTAAAAATTATTATCTACCAGTTATGACTAAAAAAGTTTCACTAATGGGTGACTCATTTCTCACACTGAAGGAGGATTCATTTAAAAAACAGAAAAGAACAGCAATGTAGATTTTATCATCTCTACCACTCATTCTAAAGTAGTTTTCATAAATCTGACTGACCTTCAGTACTTTTTTAATGCTGTTAATTGTTGATGTCAGCAATGACCTCACTTTCTGATCATCGTTCAGGTAGTCAGCATGTCGGACACACATAAATAAAATGTAGGCTGGTAACCCGGGGATCAAATTGACAGCTACCCCACGTGGTTTCAAGTCTAGAAGAAAAACAATTAAAAAAATTTCAACTAATGCTCAAAACCACACAAGGAAGGCTTTGTGGTATGGCCTACATGGTTAGTCATCACATAAACACAAGTATTTTTTAGGGCAAAAGATATCAGTAGAAAGGATCTTGTAAGGTATGAAGTTGCAACTTCCAAAATAGTGCTGTTATTGAAGTAATTAGTACAATGCCATGAATCATGTCAGTCTGTAATACATGTCTCCTGTTGATGGTGACCACTTTGCTGAAATACTAGAACTTAAAAGGAAGGCCAAATGAAAAGTTAATACAGAGTTGGGGTTAGGGTATGACATTGAAACATAGTCTTAATTCTTTCACTTCACAAGCTCATGGCTCTATGTATGACCCTTCATTCTTCTTCTAAGGATCTCATATTCTTCATAGCCCCATGCTGAATGTCCTTTGAGACTCTCCTATTCCCCACCCACCTTTTACTTCTGTGAAAACATTTCTTCTGTTAACATCTTGTTTACTCCATTGTTTTCCTGTCATTGTGGAGTTTTCTCTCTTATAACATGACTCTAATCACACGTGGTAGTCAAAAGAAAAACGAACCAATGCTACTGATAAGCAGCAAAAAGTGAAATCTTGTGTTCAATCCTAATCATCATGTAATAACCTCAACCTGTAGGTGTTCGGACCTAAGGAGGACATTTTCAAAGGAGGTTGGCCCTTCCTTGAAGCTAGATAGCAGTCTCAAAGGTACAGGGGTATTAATCCAGGTTGATCAAGTAAGCTGTTGTTTCATGTAAAATATACTTGCCCAGGATGAGATTCTTGACAAGTTTTTGCTCATCATCCTTCTTATATTCCAACATTCCCTGGAAATCCTTTTCCTTCCTGGGTATGTTCACTGGACGGATAGGTTCATCAATGATCTGCCCAGGAGATATGTTCTCCATCTGCCCCACTTCAGGAGTAAAACAAGAAAAATGCATATATATCCAACGTAGAACCATGAAACAGAAATAAAAGACGTCTATACTCAACAGCTCAAAACAGTACTTATCTCATCCTTTTCTCATAAAACTAGAGAATCATAATCAAGTCATTAAAAAAAAATTGTGACCTCTAGAAACCAATTTTAATTCTAAATGTTTTCTATAAAAGCCAACAACCATGTCATCTGTAAAAAAATTTATTTTTCCCCAATTACATGTTAAAAAATTATTCTTAACATTTGGGTTTTTTTTTTAAGTTTTGAGTTCCAAATTCTATCCCTCCCTCCCTCCCTGCCTTTTCCCACCCTGAGACAGTAAGCAATCTGATAATAGGTTCTACATGTGATACAGGTTATACATCATGTAAAACATTTCCATATTAGTCATTTTGTACAAGAAGATTAGATTTTTAAAATGAAAGTGAAAATAGTATGCTTCAGTATGAATTTGTTTTTAAAAAATATTTTGATAGCTATACTTCAACAAAATTGGTTTCCTTCATAATCCTATGTATTTCATTTTATGCATTTAAAATCATTATTCTGAGAGGTCCATATGAAAGGGGTCCATATTAAGAATCCCTCTTATAAGAGGAAACCCCATTAGTTGAGTCCTTTATGAGTTATTCCTGATTTTTATTCAGATACCAGACATAAGAGCCTTGAAAGAGCTTATAATGTACTTTAAGGTAAGTGAAGAGGAAAATATGGCTACATTTTTAGAGGGGACAGTACTTGGTACTAAGACTAAAAAAACAAATCCCTCTTTTCTGCCCATTACTTTTACTGAAAGAAATCACCATTTACTTCATTTTGAAGAGGAAATAGATCAGGCAGAGGAATCAAAGGAAAATCATTAAGAACGATTCTTTTTGATTACCCAAGAATATATCATCACTGATTTAGAGCCAGAAAAACATTTTAAGTCCATCTATTCCAACTCGCTCATTTTATAGATAAGGAAACCCAGATTCAGAGAGATTAAGTGACTTGCCCAGGGTCACAAAAGGTAGCTAGCAGAGTCAAAATTTGAACCTAGGGCCCTTAATTCCAAATGGAGTATGTTTTCCACCACACCATGATGATGGGAACTTATGTTCTAAAAAGCAATTTCATTTTCATTTAGTCAAATCTCTAAGGATCAGCTAGGTGGAACAGTAGGTAGAGCACTAGCCCTGGAGTCAGGAGGACCCGAGTTCAAATTAGCCTCAGACACATAATACTTACTAGCTATGTGACTCTGGGCAAGTTATTTAACTCTGATTGCCTCACCCAAAAAAAAAATCTCTAGAAACATTTTTTTTCTTTTATTAAAAAACAATTCAGAAGGCATTATCTTTTCATATCTTAAGAATGACATTCACACACAGATAAAATATGGAAGAAGTTAGGTCAATAGTGTCATTGATTTATATAACCCTCTCAAATAAGTGAAATAGAATATCAATTGTCTTTAGGAAGGTACAGGGTTTCAAGTAGAGTTAAAGAAGTACAACATTCCACTTGTGTTTAGGAAAATGAAAGCAATCCTTCTTCCTGATAATGAACCATTTATGCCTGTGGATAAACTATTCCCTCATAAAATTAGCCATGTCTCACTAATCCCATTAATAGGACTGTATTTCAAATAAGTGATTAAGAAGGAAAAAGTAACTATTTGTACAAAGGTGTTCATGGCTTTGTTATATATAATACCAAAACTCAGGAAATCATCTAACTACCCAATGTTTAGAAAATGTATAAAAAGATCATAGTGTAGCAATACAATGGAGCAGTATTTCACCACATAAAATGACAAATACAAATAGTTATATCCTCAGCACCTATTACCTTACATAAATGTTAGCTGGAGTAAACAGCATATGGAACAATGGAAAGGTATATTTATTGTAAAAATGTAAAAGGAAAAAAAGATCAAGCATACTATATACACAAGAGTATAACTGAAAAAAAATTCTATTTATACACATAAGAGTATATTCATAAAGATCAGAACAAATTTAAGTCCCTGATATTAGTAGCTGTATATTTAAGTATATTTTTTATCATAAAATTAATGAAACAAAATATAAAGGAGATAAACCCACAAAGATTACCAGCATTTCTGTATATTACCAACAAAACACAGCAGGAAGAGAGAGAAATTCTGTTTAAAATAACTACAGAAAAACATGAAGTGGAAAAATATTCCACTCCCTCATTTCTCTAATTAAAGACCTACATAACCCTTTCCACTTTTCCGTCTTTGCCCCTGCCACTCCCACACACTTCAAGCAATGAAAGGGTGAACTTGAGGTTGAACTGAAACTGCTGTCATGCAGAAGAACTCCTTATAATGGAAAGATACTAAATCATTGTAGTGTTAAAAAAAATCAAATCAGAAGTTAGAAGACCTAGATTTTACACAAACATGGCCACTAATAATCCATATGGTGTTGGACAAGTAACTTCACTTCATATTCCTTGTCTGGTTCTTGATTAGATATTCACTAATGTCCATTCCAGCTCTAAAATGCTATGATTTTATTTACATTATGATACAGAAAATATTTTTTAAAATCACAAACCCATTTCCAGATTTAAAAATGAGATAAAAATTTGAAATATCTACAACTATGCTGTGTGTGTGTGTGTGTGTGCGTGTATGTGCGTGTGTGCGTGTGTGTGTGTGTTTAAGGTGCAGTAGAAAGAAGACAGGATTAAAATCCTCCCTGCCACTTACTACCTGTGTGATGTTGAACAAGTTGGTACCCCTCTTTGGATCTCAGTATCTTTAACTACATGATGAAGAGAATTGGCCATTCCTCCATTGACAAACATCCCATTAGCATTTCATTTTTTGCCACCGCAAAGAGCAACAATAAATATTTTTTGTGCAGAAAGGCCTTTTTCCTCTTTCTTAGGTCTCTTTGGGGTATAGGCCAAGCAGTAGTATAGGTGGATCAAAGGGCACATACTGCTTAGAGACAGTTTGTGTAAAATTCCAAATTGTTTTCCAGAATGTGAAATGTTGTATGTACTTTCAAGTGATGTCACTGTATTATTAGTTATACTTAATTGTTTTACATTGTTACAAGAAACTTCTCATGAAGAGGGACTAATCTGTAAATGTTTACAATGCAAGACCAAAATGCATCAGTAAAAATGTAATGGTGGGATAGGAAAAAAAATGCAACTTTTTTCTTGTTACTATTTTTACAAGACCTATGGAAATGAGAGCAGGAGTTCTATCTCCTGTGTTGCAACAGCAGTTAAACAACGTTGCACATGAGACTGCTGAAGGAAGTACAGAAATAAGCTACTATGTTGCTCCCCCTACTAAACATATTTCTGCCATGTATTTGCAGAAAGTAGGTTTTGTTTTCAAGCCAAGCTATTTGACAAAAAAAAAAGTTTAAAAAATTTTTACTCTAAGAGCCATTGATAGAATCACTGCAAGACTTTCTTTTCTCCCCATGCTCAATGAACACATAATTGGGGGCAAAAAATAAAGGGAGTTGGATTAGATAATTTCCAAGATCCCTTCAAACTCTGAATCTAATATAAGACCAAATGCACACAAGTTTACTGGTGTTAAATACAATATAGTCTTCTTTAATATTTTAATTGCAAAATAGTGTCTATTTTACATCACTGTCACTTAAATGAACTAAAAAAGGGAAAATTCTCATAACTCCAAGGTTCTGGGTTCTAAAAGATCCCATTGAAACTCTAAAAATTCTTTATTTTGGGGAATTTTCTAAATTTCTTATTTTTTTTTTAGCAAAAGTAAAGAGGTGGCAGAGACAACTTGGTTTTTTTTTTGCCATGTTTGATTCACTCTCTCCTTTTCTGAAAAAGCAACTTATAAATACGTGTCCAAATCTCCTTAAATAATGATCAAAATAATGATTCATATTTCAAACCACGCTTTAATGTTTAAAAAATGTATGCCTCACAATACCTCTGTGAAGGATGTAATACAAATATTACCTCTGTTTTACCGTTAAAGAAACTGAGGCTCAGAAAGACTGCGACAGTAATGGTTACTCAGCTGGTAAATGTCAAAGCTGGGATTAGAACCCAAGTTCTATGATTCTTCTAAGTACAGCCCTCTTGGCAGCTCACCATAGGCTCTCACCAAAGATGGCCTCTAATAACAAATCTCTCCTCTTTATTTTACCCTGCATAAAAATGTCATCTGATGCATTCCTTAACAGTAGTTATAAATGCCTCATTTTATTTCTAATCTATGCACTGCCTATTTGAGTGCCATGTGTATGTATACCTATGTACAGGGCGGGAAATCAAACTGATGACTCATACTTAACAGTACTCAAAAATGATTAGCATCTCATAAGATTTAGAAATCCTATTCTCACCTGTCTCTTCAATTCTGAAAAAAGACACCAAATTGACATTGTAAGTAGGTAGGCTTTTGGATGCTATTATTGACTTCTTAGTTTTATAGATTTCTACAGGCATGTTTAAGTATATCATTAGTGGTCACTAAAAGTCTAACTTGATTTGTCAGAAGCAGATAGAGTCCATTTCCTAACTTGCTTAGAGGTCTTGTGTTTTTGAAGAATGATGTACATTGTGTGAAACAGACTATTTTCACAAGATTACACAAAGAATGATTATATCTTGGAGATTTCATGTGTTAGGGATACATAAACATACAAGTGATTTTTTAAAATATCCTAAATGATGGTAAGACTTTTTCTTTGAAGGTAAAAATAATTTTTGCAAATAGCCAAAAGTCATCCAGAACTATAGCTAGTGAATAAGGTGGATGAACAAGACTCATTTCACATTTGTTTCTAAAAGAAAAGAAAAACAACTCAATTAATGTGATTGCTTTTCTTGTGTGGTTTGAAGGCACTCCTGAAGATAACTCCAAGAAATCCTAATTCAAGTTTCAATCATTAGAAGTCATGGCCACCCAACATAACCATTCTGAGGCCAACAGTCACTTGGGTGGTATAAACCATCTAAATCATCACTTCTAGTTTCACTTCATGAATCTGGACTTGTAGTTAGGAGTCCAAGGTTTAAATTCCAGGTCTTACATATTTAAGTTTTGTGAGTGTAGGCAAGTCATTTAACTCTGCGCCTTAATTTCCATATTGGAAACACGGAAATAATATTTGTGCTATTAGTCTAATAGGGTTTTCTCAGAAAAGTGTTTTATAAACATTAAAATATTACACAAATAAGAGTTATTTTTAGTAATGTTAGTATTTTGGCAAGTGATTGTTGTTAAGTGGTTTTTCAGTTGTGTTCAATTATCTGTGACCCCATTTGGAGTTTTCTTGACAGAGATACTAGAGTGGTTTGCCATTTCCTTCTCCAACTCATTTTATAGATGAGGAACCAAGGCAAACGGAGTTAAGGGACTTGCCCTGGATCACTGTACTTGAACTCATGATGATGTCTTCCTGATTCCAAGCCCAGTGCTCTATTCACCATGCCACCTAGCTGACCCAGCAACTAATTAGCACCCTCTGTAAATTACGATAGGACAAGATGTAACTTTTTGAGGAGTAGTTCCTATTCATTCACTAACTGCCTCCTGTAGATTGTTTTGTTGCTATGTTAAGCATATGACATTCTGTATCTTACCATAAACTGAAGGGGGAAAAAAACAACCCAGAGATTAGCAATATTCATAAAAGCAAGTATTTTGCTTTGGAGCAAATATTCATAAAAGTAATACCTTCCAGTTCTCCAATTTTTTTAGCAAATACTTTCAGCTGTTTCTTCAATTTCCGGACAGTCTTGTCCTGTTTTTCAAGTTGTTCCATCAAATCCTAATGATCAAAATGAAAGACAAGGGATGAGGAATATACATGAAGGGAGAAGGTACAATAAGTCACAGAAATAGCAATTGTTAGTTATACAAAAAATGAGGGGAGGCTCCTGAAAGGTTGGATGGTGGCGCTCCCCACCTGGCTAACGCTGGCAAGCCTGTAAAATTCTTAAGACAATAAAAGCCAAACTTCATAAACACTTTGGGCATTCAAACCTTAGGCAGCATGATGAAAACAAGGCCTGAAATGATAGCATTTTAAGTAGGTGCAGATACAACAGTAGTAGCATGATAACAAAAAGATGTACTGTTATCACATTTGACCATGTTCCAAAGAGAAGAATGAAAATCAGTTTCTCTAAAAGTACAAGTAAGAGTCTATGGGGAAGTTTTAAAGAAAGATGGAGCTTCTTAGATGTGTTCTCTTTTCATTCAACACATGAAAGAAGGTAGGAACCACCCTCGGGAAATGTCAGAAATTATTTGAGAGCTAAAACTTAAGAGAAAGAAATAAGCATAATTAAAAAAATGGTGAAGAACTCTTCTGATTGAGTTCAGAAGTGTTCAAAGTGGCAAAGTGTAGGTTAAAGAAAGGGTGTCACAGCCGGATGGGCTGGGTGACCCTGGGCAAATCTCTGCTACTCTCAGTGGCAGAGATGGTACTGAACTGCACTGGTAAAGAGAGTTTCTTATGCCAGTGAAATCATCAGTCCAGTTCTATCTTATCACAGCCATAACATTTACTGTAATATAAACTCATTTTGCAATAAATAAAACAGACATAACTCATAATATTTCATATGCAGCCCACCTTTTGAAATTCCTCCAAAAAGGCTTGGACATAGAGCAAAAGGAAATGGAGGCAGAGCTAACTGTGGGCTTAAGATAAGCCCTTTTTCTGGGTATTGCTAAGCTCTAGTGGGTTTCAGACTTTACAAAAGGACAAACTACCAAGAGTCCTTTTTTTTTCCCCCTTATACCTTGACCTTAAGGGGACTCATGATAAGGAAAAGCCAAGCAAATGAGAAATAGAAAAGCAGGCAGAGGACAAAAGACTGTGCCTTGGAAGATAAGTCAGAATTGGAGCAGCATCATAGCTGGGCTTTCTATGCTGAGTTCTGCCATTGTGGGTTGAGCTGAGGGCCTTCAGGTATTAGCACGTCTCAGAGAAAGGCAAACACTAAGGAGCCAGGGATAGAATCTCAGAGATGGCCAGTGGCCATCCCAGATGTAGGAACAGAGCCGTCTGCGAGGCTGTCTTGCAGTGATTCCACCCCATCCTCAACCCCATGCTTTCCCAAGGACAGAGGGAGATTTTCTCACCGTTACCCATTCTATTCCCTGCTTGTTTCTCTGTGTCTCTCCCTTGTTTGGCTTTTTCCTATCCACAAACCCTTCAAGGTTAGGGTCCAAAAATAAGGAAAAAAAAGTTCTCTGGGTAATTTACTTTCAGTAAAGTTGAAAACCCTGTGGAGCTTGGAGAACACATGTCAAACTCTTCAGGAAGCGTTCTAAAAGATGGACTACATGCAAGGAAAGAAAACCAGTGTCATATGAAAGAGAAAAAAAGATTAAAAAATAATAGACAAAGAACCAAAGGCCTTGATTCTTTTTTTTTTTTGTGAGGGCAATTGGGGTTAAGTGACTTGCCCAGAGTCACACAACTACTGAGTGTTATGTGTCTGAGACCGGATTTGAACTCAGGTCCGCCTGACTTCAGGGCCGGTGCTCTATCCACTGCGCCACCTAGCTGCCCCTTGATTCTAATTATAACTAATTTACACATAAGAATCAATGGAGATGTTATTTTTCACTTAGTTAAGAAGAAAATGTAAAGGAAGAACTTCTGGGAAAAGCCAAAAGAAGGGGAGTCAAGGATGTATGGAGTTATTGAGAAAGCTGTAGGAAGAGTAACTTTTTGGCCAAAAGTGAATTTAGACATCAGATTCATTTCTCAAAATAAGTATTTTCTAAAATTTGAAGGAGTTCAGATGTACATTTCAGATTTTATTTTCTTTTTCAAGTCAAACTTTGCTTCCATCACATTGTAAAGACTAGGGTTAATAACAAAGCAAACACTAAAAATGACATATAACAGATAGACGTGATGCCACTTGCTAAGAGAAAGCTGTGGGGGAAAATAGGTTTGTGAGACTGTCTGAAGAGGATTTCCTTGGGGGTGGGCAGCAAGCCTGCTGTTCTGTTAGCAATCCAGAAGTAGCAACAAGACAACAGAAAAACACAATCTGTGGGATTTACATACAATCATCCGTTTGTAAAGTGAAATCCGATATGATTGATAGTCCTTAGGGTCATCTGCATATAATTCCTCAAAATACTGAAAAAATAGGCACAATTGATGTTTGCTTTTATCTTTGGGGGACCTTAATATCTAACCAAAAGCAACTTAAAATTATTTTAAAACGAAAGTACTGAAACCTCACATTCTCAAAAGACAATATTTGCTATTTGCTATAAGCCAATGGTCCTCTTAACAACTATAGTTATTCTGATTAGCAGTAGTAAGATTCATCAAATGTACTAAATATATTAACTTATATGTGTGTGTACATTTACACACACACACACGCACACACACACACATACACACACACACACACTCACACACACACATATATATAAATGGATGGGGAGTGGTAAATACTGAAGGATTAAAAACAGGCTAGGGCTAGGATCATGTTTTTCCAATGGGTAGCAGGGACCAGTAAGTCACCTGTCTTCCCTCTCCCGTCCACAGTAGCAGCAGGCCTGGGCACAGCCTTCACCTACTGGGGATGAAAGATAACTGCAATGATGCCTCTTCTGGACCAGGTTAGACAAGGTGGCAAGGAGCAGTGGCAATGTTCTCCCTCACAGTTCTCTTCTGGGAAAGAGTTAAGTAATGTGGGAGTGACTTGAGGGCTCTGTTCATCAAAGCCGAAGGCCCAGGCAGTTCATGGAGGGAGCCCTTGGGAGGCATAAACAAGCTCAGGAACCACCAGTGTCTCAGTACTGCTCTGGCATGGAGAATAATAATTTTGAGCATTCTAATTTGTTTATATTCTGATTTCTGTTATCTAATAAGTTACATAAAGAGAAGAACACAGTTGACCTAGACACTGAGCCCTCGTGCCAAAAAGTAAAGCCTTAATAATTTAGATCTGTGATTTAGGTTAATCCCTCTGAAAGCAAGTAAGCTTTCCCTCTGAAAAAGTAGCTTGCTATTAATCAAAGAAGTGTTTGAGCAACAAGTGAATAAACAAAGTTATTTATAATATAATGATATTTATCCATAAGCCACATATTACTTCATTACTTTATGGTAATATACTTTTAAAAAAGATAAACATTTTACAAATGTTATGGTGACACTGAAAAGGACAACTATTTTTTTTAACTTTTTTTTAAGGCAATTGGGGTTAAGTGACTTGCCCAGGGTCACACAGCTAGTAAGTGTCAAGTGTTTGGTCTGAGGTCGGATTTGAACTCAGGTACTCCTGACTTCAGGGCCGGTGCTCTATCCACTGCGCCACCTAGCCGCCCCGACAACTATTTAAAAGGCAAGAATTTAGGTTCCATTTTATTGCTCAGAACCAGGCAAGGGGGGTTCACTTCACTGAAACATCGCTTTAAAACATTTTTTGGGGCAGCTAGGTAGTGCAGTGGATAGAGCACCAGCCCTGGAGTTAACATAATGTGAGTTCAAATTCAGTCTCAGACATACAACACTTACCAGCTATATGACTCTGGGCAAGTCACTTAACCCCAGTTGCCTTGCCAAAAAAAAAAAAATTTTCCTCAAGAATGTGATAAATTCATGAATATTAATATTTCTTAAAGAGATTTATTTAATTATAATTTTTTTAAAAAATATATTTCTTAAAGAGATTTACTCAGTTATAATTGACTTTTTTGTGTTTTATGGGCTCCTTTTACAGTCTGGGCTTATAAACCCCTTCTCAGAATAATGCTGTTAAATGTATAAAATACATGGGATCACAAATGAAACCAATTATTTTGAAATACAGTTATCAAAATATTAAATAAAATAAATTCACTGACCCCATGTTAAGAATATCTGACTTAAGTGCTTTGCACTGTGGACCATGATGGAGATTTCCACTCTCTAGCTGAATGAAAAATGAATATTCTCAATTTCTTAGCTCAGCTTGGATCTTAATCCTTACTTCATCTTATCACTAGTGGTGTTGACAGGTGGCTACTCCAAGGGCAAAGGGAATTAAAAGCTTGTCATACTGTCAGATGACAGCAGTCATACAACATGGTACAGAATCTCCTTTGATAGGACAACCAATAAGTCCCTTCCAGCTCTAAATCCATTTTGCTCATGCGCCTTTCAGTTAGAGAATACAGCAGAAATTGAATGCATATAATAAATTAAGTCTAGAGTGCTTTGTCAGGTGTGGCCAATTTCCTGCCTCTCAAAACCATAAATAATCACTTCAAGTATCAGTGAGTTACAGGACACATAGAACCACTGAGCAAGCATTTTTCATTCCTAATGCTCCAATTTAGTAATATTTTACCATCATACATACTACATGACTTCTAAAGTGAAATAGTAAGAGTTTGTGCCCACAAAATATTCACAGCAAGATAAAGCATTGTCTGATTTGAAGAACTGAAGTAGCCCCAGACTACTGGTACAGACCAAAGTGGGTGCCTTACCAAATTCTCATTGGTCAGCCGGGTAATCTCATGCTGCAGGCTGGCTTCAATGCGGGCCTCAGGCGGTAACTGCAGGTTCTGGGCCAACAGCTGCTGCTGGCGATTATTCTCCTCCTTTAGACTCTGGATCTCACCCCTCAATGCCTCTGTTTCATTGTCATGGCTCTTTTTCTGGGACTGGAGTTGTGATTCCAAGAGTCTATATAGTCAATAAGGGAAAAGAAGCTTATTCTTCTTATTCATTTGTTTATTGCTTAGTTCATGCTCGGGATAATATTCAATTATTGATTTGTGAAAGGGGAGGAAAAAGCAAAGACTCTAAGTGATTCAGTGTGCCTTCTGACTAGATCAAACTCAAGAAACCTAAAACAGTGACCAGAAAGGAGACCGATGCTTTGATAGATATTATCAAACTAAAATAGTGAATGTTTTTCAATACTGCAAATACGTTGTAGAAAAGTCTGAAAAACTTACACATTCTAGTTCTTTTTAAAGGCATTAGCATATTAGACAAAGAGTACTAAGAACTGTGAAAAGTCAATAAAACAAATTGGCTTATGGGGCATAAATCTTTTTCTTTATTTTTTTAAATTTTGGGAGACATAAATCTTGGCATCTGTATTAATAAAATAAGGACTTTTGGGAAAAAATAATTTTTTTTCAAAGCCCAACATTGCCTCAATAGAGAAAAAAATCTACAAACTCCTAAATACTAGTGGGGGGGGTGGTATCTGGATGATTAAATATGCATTTAAGTGTTTGATAAATGATCACTCAAAATGAAACTTGGATTTGGTGTCCCATTTTACTTTTTTGTTTCCCTAAATTATCTCTCATTTCCAAAGGACAGTGACTTCAGGAACAGGAACCCGTCAATCTCAAGAAACACAAATCAAAGTAGGTACTTCTGAAATATGTCCTCATTTTTAGATTTGTTCACCAGATGCAGAGAGAGCCACACATGTCAATCACATTTCCTACCCCTTACTAGAGACAACGTGAAGGTATAAATATTAGAAATATCAATAAAGGAGCTAATGTGTCATAGAGCAAACAAATAGACACTTGTACAGTCAAACAAACCGTCATCTTTGTTTAAACTCCTATAGTTAGAGCATTAAGACAGAAGAAGGGATAGCACATTGCTTTTATTATTCCCCCATCCCCAATTATTACATTTCTATATTTTTGCAAATATAAGAAACAAGACTATGGTTAGGAATTAATTAACAAATGAAAGGAAAGGTATTATTAGGTTAAAAGCATCCCCTATAGTCACAGTAGTTATTAAGGTTACTATAGTCTGATTAATAATAGCATATTAAAATATTTGATACTTTTGGAGACTACAAAAATTGAATGAGAATTTTAAACCATCACATTCTATAGTTATTTACAGTTTCATAATTAGAATAAAACAAAATAGCATTTGAGCAGCAGCATTAAAAAAAATATATAGAATATATATATTTTCTTAAGATAGAGTATTTTTTTACAAATTTCCTCTTATAACTATCACTACCAAGATAAAATTTGTATTTGTTTTGAAAACCTGCTTTTTTGAATGTTAATTGTTTTCTCCTCAAATATACATGGGCTCGGTGTGTCATATTTGAAGGGTTAATTCTATGTGGTGAGCATTTTAGATTTCATGATTATAATTCATAATTTCATAATTTGTAGTTGCAAATACTAAACAGCTTCCATGTTACAGGTAGTTAGAAGATAAGTACTGTAGGCATAGTAACTTAGACCTATCTTGCCAACACCTTACTGTTTGTTTTTTTTATTGATTCAATCAGCAATGAGGTAATTTGGTCTCATTCCCAGGGATAGGAAATGACATCTATATTCACAAGTGTCTCAGTCTCTTCTTTTAACAGCACCACATGAGAAGTGCTATGTACATGTCTGATACTGTGTTATGCTTTGCCTATGAACATAGTTAGTGCATGAAAGAGCCAGCGGTTAAAGAGGCCACTGTTTGTTAGTAAGAAAACAGGAAGTGATGAACATTCCACTGTGAGGCAACACACATAACCTGTTGGCTTGTTTTAACCCTTCATAAACCAGCCACAGCTCTTCATCCTCATTCAGCTCATGGCAATCCATAGGGAATGGTCTTCCAAGCCAAATGAAAAATGGAAAACACAAAAGGGATACATGATGGTAATGAGATGATGGCATATGAAGCACAAGAATAGCAAATATTATCTAACATTCATTATTGGGATTGGCATATTGTATTGACCACAGATGACAAAGTTACTACACATATTAGCTTGGTTATTTAAACTGGTTTTAAAAACAGACAAATCATATGCAAAACAGGGGAAAATACATCATATGCAAAATAGGGAAAATTATAAAGATATTACATAAAAACAGTCCTTTCTGCTTTTCTTCTTTATGAGATAATCATGATATGAATAAGAAACAGCAGAATATAAGAAAAAGGTAGACTCTGAGTTTCTGAGTACAAGAGAAATTATATGCGGCACACAATATTAGAGAGATTGGCTGCAAAGAAAGAGAGCTTCAGCAGGAGTGGTAGCCTGTGACTGTAGCATGAATTCCTGGGATGAATGAACTGCTTTCATTTCCTCAATGGGAACTGTAATCATGAAGAACTGCCTCAAAATTTGTGCAGGAATGGGATGGGGAAAGCATGTGGTTTGTACATGCAAGCATACACATGGATTAACTACAAATTTTAGTCACTATAATCAAATTATGAGGTTGAAAGAATGTATAAAGGTACAATGGTACTTATGCATAGCAGCATTCTTCCAGTCTTTGATATGCATACCTATGTATCTCCTGATATCCTGTATAGCCTACCGGGAATTCTAAAAGTGCCACACTACAACATTCTGGAAGCATAAATTTGTAACATAGTTATAGTGCTGCCTGTCCTTTCAAGATGGTTCATGGTGTAACTGAGGGAACCTTGTAGCTGTGGAAAGTTTTGGCATATGGCTAAGTTCATGGTCCTTTATTTCAAGTTTTATGAGGTTGTGAAGGAATCCTAGCATTGGCCCTTTTTCTTGTGATTTTATGAGCTACAGAGAGCCTAACGAAAGTGAGCAAGGTATTATTAACTTCTTGGTGGCAGAGTTTCCTCTACCACTGTCCACACACACACACACACACACACACACACACACACACACACACACACACACCCTCCGTGTAGGCTTCCAAAGATAAAATTGGAGTCAGGATTTTCTCAGCCTTGCTTAGACCAGTAGAGGGAGAAAAAAGTCCTTGACCTTGGTCATGACTGACTTACTCTAAGCAGTCAGGTAAGGCCACTAATGAAACATGAGTCAAGAATGGATGTAGAACAAGGCCTTTACCCCTTCCAATCAACATGTTCTAAATTTTGGTAATGACTTGAAGCTACTTACAACTTTAGCTACTCCTCAAAATCTTTAAAAATAACAAATACTTAACAATGGAAACATAACAATTAACAACCTGCTACTGTGATTTCAAATACAAATATTATTTAAGAATCTATGCTCCCCTTCAGGCAAAGATTTTCCTAAGAGCCCTTGTTGGTAATTATTTGAATTTGTATTCTCAGCAGCTAGCACAGTACCTGTCACATAGTATATACTTAATAAATGCCTGTTGATTGATTGATGCTGCTGCTACATGTTTCAGATTCAATTTTAAATGGGAATAACTTAGAAAGGTTGGATCTAGTCCAAAATAAATAGATAATAGACAAAAAATTATTTGCTATATAAACAATGTGAAACAGTGATTCAATAAGCCAAAATAAAAGAACCAAACTAACCTGTTTGTTTCCTTCAGTCCAATGTATGCCTGTGCTATTTCTCCTTTGTCTTTCATTTTCTGTACATCTTCTAAGAGGATTGTGGAATCTGTCATTGTATTCTGAAGCAGAGAAAAGTATTTCCATCATGAGAAATAAAAAATTTGAGGTTCTCAAGTAGGGGAATTTTTTATTTTTAGAGGACTACACTGAGGGACTGGCTCCTAATCTGCAACCTCCAAAATCTCTGCTGCCAATCTTTCTGGTGTCAGTGCTCTGCTTTGGGCTTGAGGCTAGGGGTTTTTCCATCTTTCGTGTGTCATGAACCTCTATGGCAGTCTGGTATAGCCTATGGACCCCTTCTCACAATAACATTTGTAAACATATAAAGTTAAAATACATAGGATTACAAAGGAAATTATATTATAATAGTTATTAAATATTTTTAAATAAACTTATGGACCCCATGCTAAGAACCCTTGCTCTAGAACCAATCCAACACCTAGACAAGGAACATGTTTATATCTATAGCTATCTCTATCTATCATCAGACACCCAAAACTGAGATATAGGGATCTATATGTATCAGACAGCTCAATAGCAAGTCAGTCTTGCTACCGGTTCCACTCTGACCCTGTATTCTTGAGTGCAGTAACTAGACTCTTGCTTTGCTCCTGTGACCAAGACTGTCTCATGCACCAATCCAGTAACTTTGTCCTACCTTGGCACACTGGTTGGACTCACAGTTCCTGTGGGGCTATGGTTCTGTCTTGTTCTCATCATCTTCTGCAAAACCAGAGACTTGTTCCTGAACCCCACCACCTATTATTGCCAGACCCCTCTGATACCAAAGCCTTATTGCCTGTCTCCATCAGACTTCTATCCCCTCTTTGTCATTCGTTTTCTAATCAGCAGGGTCAGCTATCATCTGTCTACCTTAGGACATCCCTAATGCCAATCTGCCTGCCTACATAGTTGCCTGTTACCTGCTGCCAAACTCCCTTGATATCACACCCACCTGTCTAGACTTTGTCCTTTTATCCATGACCAACATTTTATTGGTCACCTGTCTTGTTTGGCCTCTACCATTGCTATTCTAAGTCCAATAATGATAGTGAAATGAAGTCCCAAACACCTAACATATATTAGAGCAGTCATGATCCCTATATGGAGAATCATTGACTTGCCTCTACAGAATACATATGCACTTTAAATCAAGAGTGTATTCTGAAAAGTGACCTGGCACAAACAGGAATTAACAATTTAACTGAATCTACAAAATAAAAGGCTCCATTATTGTTTTTTTTCTTTCTATTATGTTTCAACCACTTTGAATGAATTTTTAAAAGCCTACAGAAATGTTCAATCTTAAATGAAAGCACATTACCCATTTCATATTATTCTAGAAGCTCCTACTTGGCAGACTGTGATATCAAAGTTGGCCTACATTTTTTACTTTTAAAAAGCAGAACACAACAGGAAAAGTTGTTCTAAGTAGAATCCAACTAACATTTGAATAGCCATGACTGTATAATCTCCATCAGAAAGAGCTTCTGTAGTGATAGCCATGAGGGTGAGCAGAAAGGCAATGTCAGTATTGGAGAAATACTTAAGCCTGGCAGGCCAGGCTGTGCTTCTAACCAATGCAGAGCTGGTGGAATTGAAAAGTTAGAAGAGCATATATTTTTCATAGAACATATCTCAGATTAAGAATCTATACCCAGTCCTGCGGGTTTCCTACTTGCATTCAGTTTACTGAAACATTTATTGACTACTAAGTACCATGCATTTACAAGTGATAGAAAAAAGTCCACAGTGCTGTGGTGGAGGAAATAATCTATGTGGTAAACTGGAATACTCTGTTACCCATAGTTCTCCATAAACTCTCACTATGGAATGGGAGCTGATCAGAAATTAGTTTTTGACTTATGAAGATCTTCTCTTTTGATAAATTGAACCAGTGAACATGTATTTCAAATGATAAAAAGTATTTGTGAACTAAAATGAGAATTAAAGAGAGATATTAAAAAAAAAATTTTAAACCCTTTACCTTGTCCTCCTGGAAATCACAAATTGGCAAGCATAAAAGAAGAAAATGAACTCTTACTTCTACAAATAAATACCACCAATGACTCTCAGAACAGACAAAAGTAAAAGCAAAATGACCATGATTACATTTCTCCTAGGAACTGAATGAAGTTGTACAGAATAAAACCCATAGACAGATATTTTATACCCTTTTAATCTAAGTCTGAGAAACAAGTTTTGTTTTTGTTTTTAATCTGAGTTTACTTTCTTTATCTTTTGGATTTTTTTTTCAAAATTGTATAGTCAGAATTCTGATTTTTAGAACAGGTTATTTCCTGGACCAAAGCTGATTACTGGTGCTAGATACCATTCACAAGAAAGAATATCATGTATTCTTATAGGTATTACAAACACATGATAGAATATTACCTCTATCAAAATTCCTAGCAATAATGCCTAAGCACACAAGTCATTTTACATCTTAAGTAGGATCTCCTAGGGTCAGGAACTATGCTTACTTTACTTTATATGATGCTTCAGTAAAATATGCAGAAAGGCTTCTTAAATGCTTTGGATAATGATTCTTCTGCCATAGTTTCCAGTTAGAATATTAGATTAATATACTTGTTAAGGCACATACACTGATTCATTTTATTTTCTTCATTCAACACACGTTTATCAAACACTTCCTACAGACACCATAGTTCTTGCCTGCAAGGAGCTTACAATCACTTCTCATATAGATTTATGCAATACACTGCTAATGGGACTTCCTGTTTCAACCCTTGTTCATTTTCAAATATTACCTTTAAAAGCAAAACAATAAAAAGATCTATGGAGAATTCCATTATCATATCCAAGTGACAGATTTTAAAATTCATTTTTAATACCTCCCACAGAAGGTTATGAGTCATTCTACTGATGTCAACATTTTTAACATGAAAATTTCCTCAAGTAAGAAAGCTAAAGAAGGCTCCACTTTAAAAGGATTTTTCTTGTAAGTGTGCTCTATGAAACTTTCCATAGGATTTAGGATTTCATATGTTCCCTGACCAGCTTAAGATTAAAACAAAAGATGTCTTTTTTTTTCACCTGCTCTGTTTTGGCTACAGAAGATCTAACCATGAGCAAATATATTCAGATACATCTTCCAAAAGATAGGAAGAAGGGGAATTGGCATGACAATTTCTTTTTCTTTGTGATTTGGTGGAAAAGTTGACCAGGACTAATATACTTATCCACTAACACTTACCTTAGGTTGAATAGCCTCTTTCTGGCTCACCAGCTGAGACCTCAGGATGAGGACTTCCTCTTTTCTAACATCCAGTTCTTCACTGATTGAAGTCAGCTGCTCCATGAGGACTCTGTAGGCAGGAGCACCTGGAGCAGTCACTTCCGGAGCACCCTTTTCACTGAGGGCTTTACGTAACTCATTCAGCTCATTCTTTAATTTCTTATTTTCTGATTCCAGTTCTTGACGCTATATAAAACAAAGTCATGCCATTCAGATTCACATATTGTTTGTATACTGCCTTCAAGCTGGCACATTAGAATTATGTTGTGAAAGAACACCATGGTAATACTCAAATGACTAAAGAGGAAATGCCTCCCTCTAGTCTATCTGGAACTCTAAAGAGGAAGTGCCTCTCTCTAGTCTATCTGGAACTCTATATGGTGGAATTAAAGGTGTCGTACACTGAGTAAAGAGAACAACAGTTTGCTTCATAGCCTATAACCCAAATTCCACTGGAAACTATGTTCCAGGCCTGCCTGCCCAGGGTGTGGTTGGAGCACAGACCTGAAAAGCCTGCTCTGTTCTATAGTGACCTTTGGGTGTTCAATCTAGCCCTGGATTGTTCCCACTCTGAGGAACCCTAGAGAGATTGACTGGTTCTTGGTTCTATCCAAAGTCCAAAAATAAAGCTGAATAAGCTATTTCCAGTTAACAAATTCAAAATGGTTAGCTCCTTGAAATATTTACCCATGTTCTCTTTGGTAAAAAATGATGTGGAAAAACAACACACTTAAAAGTTTAGGCTCTATCTATACTTAATGCCTAGCAAAAAATATCTTCCATGAAACTGACAAAAACTTCTGGCTTCTGTAACAGAAGGTTATAGAAGAAGAAATAAAGAATTGATCTAGATGAAGAGAAAAATTGTGAAGGTCATTTTGAGGGATCTAAATTTGTGCAGAAGGTCAGAGAATTGAATCTGAGTAGGAGAAATTTGGGATCATTTAATAATACACTGGAGAGCAATTTGAACTAAAGGAGAAGAGAGATAGATCACTCAAAAGGGCAAAATCTGAAAGAAAAAAAAGCATTAAGAAATATAGGCCTGAAGAAGAATTCAGAAGAAAAAGGAAAAGGAAGCTGTAAAGCAAGGTAAATAAAACAACTAGTAAGTCCAAAAAGAAGTTAGAGGAGAAAAAGGTATGGCTGGTCAAGTTTTAATTGACAGAAAGGAAAGGAAGTTGGTTATAGCCCTCAAGTTGTTAAGAGATGATGAAAGGCTGTAAAAGTTTTAATAAGGTGCTTTGGAGAGGAGAAATTTTTGAACCCACTGACCTGGTTGAATGACTGGACTCAAAGAGTAGTCATTAATGGTTCAACGTTAATTTGGTAGAAGGTCTCCAATGGAGCACCACAGGAATCTATGCATGGCTTGGTGCTGTTTAATATTATTACCAATGCCTCTGATAAGGCAAAGGTGGCATGCTTATCAAATTTGCAGAGGATACAAAGCTAGAAGGGTTAGCTTACACACTGGATGACAGAATTAAAAAAGACTACTATAGACTAGAACACAGCTCTGTAGGCTTAATCCAATATGATGAAACTGAACAGGGATAAATGTTAAGTCTTACACTTGGGTTAAAAAAAATCTCTATAAGGAAAATGTGAAGGAGACAGGCATCCATTTGTCTAAAGATGCTCTGGGGTTTTTAGTGGATGGCAAACTCAATGTGAGTTAGCAGTGTAACATGGGAGCCCAAAGTGCTAATGTGATTAAGCTTCACAGAATAAGAAGGTAATAGTACCACTGTACCTTGACCTATCATATTCATTTCTGGTGTAATAGTTTAAGAAGGACATTGATAAAATGAAGAACAACCAGAGAAGAGCAGCCTGTATGGTGAAGGATCTGTGAATGCTTAGTCTAGAGAAGAGACATGACAGCAATGTTCAAACATCTGTCATGTGGAAGTTTAGAATCATTCAGTTTGGCCTCAAAGGAGAAAACTGGGAAAAATTAGGATACGATGCAAAAAAGTAAATTAAAGCTCAACATCTGGAAAAACTTAATATCTCAGATGCTGTGAAAATAAAATGTGCTACGCTGGGAGGTGATGGTTTTCTTTTCACTAGAGGTTTTCAAGTAAAGGATGAATGACCCCTTATTAGATGTATTATAGTATGGACTCCTTTCATTATGTGTAGGATGGATTAGAGGTTGTCATGTCCCTTTAACTTTAAAATTACATGAACCCTTCACAGAGTATCTGTTAGCAACCAAAAGACCAGTTTTCTCTCAAACTATTTATCTGTGGTGTTACAGCAACATACCACATGTAAATCTGTGAAGTTGTTGGGGTACAACATGACATGTTGGGGAGGTGGAAGGGAAGGAGGCACTGCTTCATCAGTCATTCATGAATTAAACGTTCTCATCCCTCATCTCCTTCCCTCACTATATTTTAAACATATTCACACACACACACACACACATCTATCTTCACCCCAGCATAGTTACTACTAACTTTCCCTTTGCCATAATTTTCCCACTCAAAGATTGGCAGAAGAATGAGGAAATTCAGCACAATGTGACATCAAAAAGATCTTTATGATTACAATACACAAACCACAGGGTGTTTGGAAACACTGAGGTAGACAAGCATCTAAAGATGTACTAGCTTTATAGTGTTTCATTTAGCATGTGTCATAAATAAGATTTCTTCATAAAGTTTAAATACTTAAAGCTTGAGAAGCCATCCTGAGATTAGATCTTCCTATCACAAACATTTAATACATTATATTAAGACTACTTCTTATTTTAAGAAAATATAACCTCTCCACTTTTTTTTCCCATTTGTTAGTCATAACAATGGAGTTACGTGAGTGAATTTTAAGTTATTTTTATACTCTCACAGAGAATCTGGAACATATGTCACTGGGTTTCAAGTTCAAATACACTAACAAAGGCTTTGCATTTTAGGCTGCTGTAAAGAATTTCTTTATATACCACATATATGTATGTGTATATATATATGTATATGTACATATGCATGTCTGACACACATACATGTGCGTATCAAACATGTAGAGGACACTTAGGGCTAGAATAATATAGATCTGCTATTCTCTGTTCTCCTGGCCTATTCAAGCCCATCTTACCAAACTCCTATGTACTGTAACTTATGAACAAACTAGGCATGCACTTTGGCTTATCCACCCAAAATGACTTTTAGGGGTGATAATTCAGTATACATGCTTGGGAGTATTTGTTTTCCTATGCATATTAAGGGATGGGTGGTTCTAGGTAAAACTATGAGGTCAATGAAATTTGTCTTGTTGGTTTTCATTGCAGGTTCCTGCCTATTCTATAGCCTTACATAACTCTCAGGACAGCCCAGGGTTTCATGCCTCCCAAAAACTTGTCGGGACTTGAATGACATCCCCTTAGAATCAGACTTTCTACACATTCCAAAATAATAATTGCCTAATCTAATACATTAACAAACACACTAATGAAAGAAGGTCAAAAAGAATATCCACTAAGCTCTCTATCCCATCAGGAAAGAGATAATAAGTATATCCTAACAGTGGCCTTCTTTAAATGATACCCCTACTTTTTTCTAACTTAAAGGGATGGCTCCAGTGATAGGAATTTCAGATGAGATAGACTGGGAGGATGATGCTGTGGCAGCTCTTTGTGATAAGACCACAATATCCTGTGGCAAGTGGGTCCATGCAGTGACAGATCTGTAGCATCATATGTAGCAAGTGCATATTACCAATAGATACAGCAGATTCCATAGAAATTGGGGCAAATAGTTGCATGAACGGAGAATAAAGTTAATCCATATGTGCAGGAATACGTAATTAAGTATATCCTTGATATTCAGGCTCATAAGAATAGCAACTGCAAAGTTTGGAGACTAAATGCTGAAAGCCTTATGAGGTAAGGTGGAGAATACAATTTAAATGAAACCACAGGGAATACAGAAAACTAATTTAATTTTTTTTATCCAGGGTTAAATTTAAATGGATTTTGCTGTAATTTTACTGAAGGACATAAAATTTCAAGAACTAAAATGGTAAATATATCAAACAAATCATATATAATGCTTTATTCCCTATGCAATTTATATGATTCCATTTATATGGGTTGCTCCTCTCACTTGGGTGTTTCAGGAATTGAGCAAAGGGATATTTACAAGGGATTTCTCTATAAATCATCCATCTCAACCTTACCCTGCCAATGTCTGATTCTATGTTAACCCATCCCTTCTGATATGTCTTCTGGAATGTCTATTTCATAACTAACAAACTTCTTATCTTAAATGTCTTCCTTTGTTAACCCATCCATTTTCAGGAACTCATGGAGACCTGGCTCCCCTGACAACACAGCTTTTGTAGCCACCCTTTCTAGTACTGGCTACACTTTCTCTCATAGACCCAGGCTCATTGATCTTGGTGGGAATATACCTTGCTCCCCATTGTCACTTCCAGACTCTATCACCATTACTCAGCCAACTCTACTTCTTTGAGATTCGTGCAATCCAAATTAATCCCCTAATGCAAAACCCCAGAACATTTTCTCAAAGATTTCAGTGCCTAGCTCACAGTCTTTGTCTTCCACCCCAACTCTTGCGTTCAGACTAAGGGACTTCAACCTACCCATTATATTCCCTTAAATACTCCAGCTTCCCACTTCTTCAGTCTACTAAGTTCTCATGACCTATTTCTCCACAGAACTTCAACTATCCAGAGAGATGGATGTGCCCTTGATCTTGCTATTACCACAAATGTTCCATTTTCACATTCATAAACTTAAAATTCCTTTATCTGATCAAAATCTTATCATTCCATCTTTCCCTGTGTCTTATGACCCCTCACCCTTCTGTTTTTCATCCTCCCCATGACCTCCAACCCCTCTTTACCTTTGCTTTTTTCTCAATCATCCCTACAACTGGTTTCACCCTCTTCCCTTCCCATCTAATTTCTCATGGGTGGATCAGTTCAACTCTACATAACCCTCTACTCTCAAATCCTTTGCCCCACAGCCTATAGCTAACCACACCTCAACAAACCCCTGATTATGCTACCTATCTCCTTTGTTCCTATTCACATGTACAGACTTGGAGGAAGTCATAAAACTGCATTGAATGGGTCCATTACAGATGTGTGTTATTCAGTCTCAGCTAGGCCCTTTATCAGAGCAAGGCAATCTTTTTATTTCTCCATAATTGACTCTATTCCACTTTCCACAGAAACTCTTCTAAACATTCTCATTCTCTTTAAGCATTCCAGAGTAGCTCTTTCCCTCTACCCTCAGTTAAGGATGTGACCTTGTATCTCACCAAAAAAAAAAAAAGCCATTTCCTAAGAGTTGTGTCTTCTTCCCTTCTCATCTCATATCACTCAGATATCTTCTCCAACTATCTCCTCCTTCACTCTAGTCAAATGGAGAGGCTAACAGTTGGCCTTTATTGCCAAGGGCAATTCCACACAATCTTGATCCTAATCCTTCTTGCCTTCAGTAAGACTGCCTGCACTATTATCCCTACTCTATCTATAATTGTGAATCTCTCCCCATTTCTCCTTCCCTACCACCTACAACCCCTCCCATGACTCCCTTTTCCATGAAAAAAGAAAAAAACCCTGTTGTTTGATCCACCCATAGCTATTGTCATTCTATATCTTTTCTCCCTTCCTAACTCTGTGAGAAATCTATCCATACTAGGTACCTCCACTTCTCCCATCTCATTTCTAAACTCATTTTAATCTGTCTTCTGATCTCATTCAACTGAAGTGGTTCTCTCCAAAGTTGCTGATGACCTCTTAATTGCCAAATTTAATGACCTTTTCTCAGTCTTCACTCTTCTTGACCTTTCTTCAGCACCTGACATGTGTATCAGTGAACTGACACTCGCTTCTGGATATGCTCTCCTCACTAGGTTTTGCTTCTTCTCCTACCTGTCCTACCAATCCTTCTCAGTCTTTTTTGGTGGATCTTCATCCAGAGTATGCCCACTAATCATAGATGCTCCCTAAACCTCTGTACTAGGCCTTATTTTCCTTCTATATTATGTTCTTTGGTGATCTTAGTAATTCCCATAGATTCAATTATCACATCATCCCTATGCAAATGGATCCTTAGGTTCACAACCTTGGTGTTATCCGTGACTCTTCACTCTTACACCACAAATCTAATCCACTGCTAAGTTTTGTTGTTTCTACCTCCATAACATCTCTCATATATGTCTCCTTCTACACAGCGATTATGTTAGATCAGGCCCTTATCACTTTTCACACAGACTATTACAATAACCTTTTAGTTAATTCGCATGACTTAAATCTCTGCCCATTCTCATTCATCCCTCACTTAGTTACCCAAGCGATTTTCCTAAAGTGCAAGTGTGACCATGTCATTCCCCTACTCAAAACAACTTGCCTGGTTCACTATTGCCTCCAGCATCAAATACAAAGTCCTTTGCATAGCATTTAAAGCTTTTCATAATCTGTCTCCTTTCTTCTTTTCCCATCTTCTTATGTTTTACTCCTCTCCACACACTTTATGATTGAACTCCATCAGTCTTCTTTCTGATCCTAACACAAATACTCCCCCTCCTGTCACAGAATCTTCACACTAAATGCTCTCCATGCCTTGAATACTCTGCCTCCTCCCCTCCACCTCTTAAAATCACTAACTTCAAAACTTCAGTCAAATGCCATCTTCTGTAGGAGGCCTTTCCCGCCCCTCTAAGGTCACTTTTCTTTTTCTCTGCTTGTATCTTGTATGTATCCATTTATTTATTAGAATGCAAGCTCCTTTACAACCATGGAATGTCTTCACCTTTCTTTGTGCCTCTACCACTTAGCACAGCCCTGGGTTCATGGAAAGCATTTAATAAATGCTAGTTAACTAGCTAGAAAGTTTTGTTATTCATCTAGCAATAGTTCCCTCTTGCTTTCAAAGCTGTCAAAATTACCTTGAGTGATTCATATTCCAGTTCAGCACCCCTAATTTGAGGTCTTTCTTCTTCCTAGGAGAAAATGAAATAAAACAATCTTTTCTTTGCTCTTTAATCATAATTCTTGGTATGTTTACTTATCCTGAAGGGCATAGTTCGGTATTTATCAAGAATTCTATACCAATCTCTATGACTGGTGTTTGGTGACTAATTTGGGGGGAGGGGGTAACTGTATTCCTTTTAAACCTTTCTCTAAAAGGAGATGACAGACATCCAGGTAAGCATCCAAACGTATTGAGTTTACTCTGCTTGTTTGGATGGGCAATGTTGACATTGGTCAACCAACGGTGAGTACCTTAGCCTTGCTTCGGAGCACTTGCTCCTCCTTTCGGTCCAGTTCATCTTGCATGGCTTGCTTTTCCAGCTCCAATTCAGTTACCCTCTTCTGGAGCTTGAGGAACAAGGACATATCCAGAGGTGCCTTCTTCTCACTTGGTTCCTATACCACAAAACATGTCATCATCAGTGAGGATCAAGAGAAAAGTTGTTGAAAGGAAAAAGGAAAATAGAAACTGTATCAGCCAGCTAAAACATATCTTTCAATATGCCCAAGAGAAACTGCTTCCTAAACTCAGGTATACATAACAGAAATCAATGGAATAATAAAGGTGTACAATTCAGCAGCATTTCTTAAGTGCTTACTATTTACAAAGCACTGGGCTAGCACAGTGGTAAAGAAACAGTTTAGATAAGAGAGTTTCTGCCCCTCCAGGAGTTTATAGTCTACTGAAGGAATAAAAGAACAATACAGGTCAGGGAAAACTTCACGGGGGGAGCGGCCTTTGAGGTGCGCTCTAAAGTATGAGTACAACTAAGATAAGAGAAGGAAAAAGCTAACAAGGAACAATGTATCTTGGGGCCATCAAATATTTTCTTTCCTTATTCTTGTTTTTTGTTGTTTTTGGTTTTTAAGATCTTTTCCCTTAATGTAGAAGGGAAATGATTTAATGGGGTGTGGAGAGGGGAGATATATATATCTATATATATCTATATATGTATATATATATGTAGTATATACATATATATATGTATATACATATATATAAAATATGTATATATAAAAGTAAAATTTTCTTTAAATATTTTATATAAATTTACTTTCCTACTAAAAACAAAACAAGAAACACTAAAGGTAACTATTTAGATCAAATGACCAAAGTGATCCAGTAAGCCCCAGCTTTTTAACAACTCTACTCTTTGGGTATCTAGGTATAAGTCATGGAAAACCACAATCTGAAGAATTAAAGTTAAGGGTCCCCCAAAGAGCAATGGAGGGGTATACAGTGGATGTGAGTAGGTTGCAACATGCTATCAATTAAGAATTTTTATTCTTAGCTAAACTTTATATAGGACTTTAAGATTTGCAATGCACTCTACAAACTTTGTCTCATTTCATCTCACAGTGACTCTGGAAGGTAGGTGCCATTACTATCCCCATTTTACATATGAGGAAAATGAGGTAGACAAAGGTTAGGAGACTTGCCCAGAGTATCGTGGCTAGTAAGTGTCCAAGGGAGGAAATGAACTTGGGTCTTCCTTCCAGAAATCTATCTACTGTTCCACCTAGCTGCTTTAGCAATATGGCAAAAAAAAAAAACCAGAAAGAAAGAAAGAAAAGTAATCAGAGAAATGCCTGACCAGAAAAGAAAGTGGACCAACTGAGTGGCAATTGGATGTTGACAGTCCATGTGCTCCACTGAAATCCACATAAAGAGCTCTGGACAGGAAAGTCTTGAGTCAAGCACAGGGCATTTTCAGACAAGGTGTCATTTACTCACAAGTAACCATGCCTCTAGCTTTTCCTAAGTCCTTCTTGCTCAGTCCAAACTGGACAAGTAAGAGAGGCAGGGTTTGGGGTCATGGAAGCTAGAATTATACACAAATCCCTGATGTCAGTTAATCTTAAAAAGCCTTTTTATAATACAGATAATTCTTTTGGGATAAAAATAATTAATTCTGATTCAACTGTTTCATGAGTTTGGGTCATCATTTACCATCCTAGGTTTTCTTTCTATCCATCCACAATAATGAGTCTGTTCAACTATAAACTCCAGAGAGCCCTTGATGTTTCCCCCTCTCTTCCCCCCCACCCCCCGTAACATAACTTACTCTTTACAGTCTTTATGGGGAATGACACAACTTCATGGACATGACACAAGCTTAGCATTATGCTTATTTACAAGGACTGCCATCATCCATTCTAGGCCAAGGAATTAACCACTTCTGAAGGCCCATTTTACAGAAAAAAATTATTTGTTTTAAAGAGACTTTTTTCTCTATTTTGAACAAAATGACATAATAGGAACATTTTGCTTCTAGGTAAAACTAACAGAAGAAAGGAAAAAGCTGTTCAGCTCTTTTTGAAAGTATTTCTGGAACTAATCTCTTTCTGACTGAAGTTTCTCTGAATCAAATATAAAAATAGAAGAACTGAACTGAAATTATCTTTTCTAATAGTTTATCTAAAAAGGGGCAGGGCTGATATTGGAACAGTCCAATACAGAATTTAATGAAGTTCTAGGGTTACTGCAAAAGGTTCTCTTGGTTTCATTTCTCATGATGCAAAACACAAAAATGAAAGCAAAAATTTCCAAATATTTTTCTACGCATTACTATAGAACAAACTTATATTTTTAACAAGTAGTATCAATCAAGCTCAATGGTTTTTGTTAGCCTAATTTTTTTTTTATTAGCCAAGTAACTAGAGCAGTACTTAAGCACAAGCAGCTCAACCCTCTGTATTAAGGAAGTGATTTCAAGATTTGCAATTCCATTTGCAAATGGTATATAATTTATCTGTGCTTGGTACAGACCCCTGACAGGCTAAATTTTTTTTCAGATACAAAATCTGAACATGAATGGGGAGTTATAAATAAGGCAGTCAAGCATCAATAAACTTAATAAACAAGCATTTGCTGAGTGCCTACAATGTGCCAGGCACCGGGGCAAGTGCTGAGATACAAAGAAAGGTAAAAGATAGTCTCTGCTCCCTAAGAGTTCATTGTCTAATAGGGAGAAAGGATTTTTCTTTTAAATTATGTACAAACAAGAATCAAAATATGTATTACTTTTGGTATAGTAGAAAGAGTACTGAACTTGTGATCAGAAGACCCAAGTTCAAGTCTAACTGATATATTTATAAATCCTTTAGCTTTCTGGGTCTCAGTTTCATCTTTTGCAAAATGAGGAGAATATTATTTGTACTACCTACCTCACAAGGAAGTAATTTGTAAACCTTGTAATACAATTTCCATTAGTGTGCAGTACTATTATTGAAGTATCATCAATACACTAATTCATTAAGTGATGCAATAATTATGCAAGGAATCTTAGTTCAGCAATAAAAATTGTCATGTGAGCAAAAAGAGCAGTCACATGTTACTCTTCACTGGAAAAGTAGGAGCAATGCTATAAAACTCACCTCCAACCTCAATGGAATGTCTTCATTCTCTGTAATTTCAGAGCTAAATGTATATTCAGATTCATTGCTGCTGTGGGTAGAGTCAGTTCTTCTGTGTTCAGGCTTAGGTACGTGCTGAAATGCAATGTCAATAAGAAATGAATGATAGAAACTCCTTCCATGTTTATTTGATGATAATCCCACCCAGACTTCCTTCTAGACTAGTGCTGGAGTAGCTAGGTAGTACAATGGTAAGAGCATTGGGCCTGGAGTCAGTCCGAGTTCATATTTGGCCTTACACGCTTACTAGCTGTGTGATCCTGGACAAGTCACCCAATCTCTGTTTGCTCAATTTCCTTACCTTAAATTGGGGATAATAATAGCAACCACCTCCCAGGTTTGTTGTAAGGATTAAATGATAATATTTGTAAAGTGCTTAGTACTGTGCCTGGCACAAAATAGGTACTATACAGATATCAGCTATTTACTATTATTATTATTATTATTATTATTCTCAACTGATTTGCTACAAGATTCATTTTTTTCAGACTTACATGTTCTCCAAACTCCTCAAGGTGAAAATACCTTTCCTTCTACTGTAGTGAAAGCTCCTCAAAAAATAAACAAGCAAAACCAGAATGGCAAGCCAGGAACAGAATACCCTAGTGAAAAATGCTTGTACTTACTAGCTACGTTGTCCAAACTTATAAAAAGTAGTTAGTGGATGACCATGTTGGATGAGTAATATAGCATAAAGTCTGAATATAGATGTTTGGTGTTGCAATCAAATGAGATTTACACAAAGTAAATCTGACACATTTAATTATATGCATGATTGTTACTTCATTGTATAATGGACTGGACATGAATGGTAAGTGGTTCACATAAATGAATTTAACTTGTAATTACAACTAAGAATGTCTGGTGTCAGCCAGAGGAAAGAAGGAGAGAAGCTGCTGCTCTGAGGTTCCTCTGAAGGTTAGGCTTGGATCTATACCACAATCAATCAATAGACATCTGTTAAATGCCTACTATGAACTAGGCACTGGATGAAGTATCCCCAAAGAGCCTAATCTGGCTAGACCTCCCTCCCCACTTTTCCAAGAGGGAGCACCCATGGCCCACATATTCAAGAAACTGGTAAGGGGAAAATATTTCTTCCTCCTTCAGGAGGGGTCCAGGTGGGAACAAGAGAGACTGGGCTGAGGGAAAGAATGAGACAAAAAAGAAGGATGGCAACGTGTTGTGTTAGAAAGAACACTTGACTGGGAATCGGGATTCTTTGCTAGTCTTGCCCCTGACACTAAGTACAATGTCATCTTAATCAAGTTACCTCACCTCTCCAGGTCTTGATTTGACCTGCAAAGTAGAGTTTGAACATGGTGATGTTTCTGCAGTCTTATGACTTCTGAACTTGAGCTTCTCTTCTCTTCTTATCATTTCATCCTCCCACCCTTCCCCAATCTCTCACTCCTCCTGAATTCCTTCTTAGCCTGCATCGTGATCTCCAGTCTCTTAACCACTCCCTGTTCCTTCAGTTCACCATTACTATTCTGACTTCACTCTCCCCCCCTTTACAATCCTGACCATTTGGTCATCTTCATCAATGTACTGTCCTCTACTTTTGAATACCTTGTTTGCTATCTTTTTGCTGCTTCTGTCCTGAAATCTCCAGCTCTGGTTCACTCCAACTACCTGCCTTTTCTGCTCCTAGTCCTGAACACTGCTCAAGAAAGTCACAAAACTATGCTGACTGGGATCACCACAAAGTTATACGATCAACCTTACCCAGGTCCCCACCCATTATACAGGGCTCTTTCTGATTAATTCCCTACTATATTCTCCACAGTAGCTGTTCCTTCAAGGCCTAGCTCAGGGACCATCTCCTCCATGATGCCTCCCCCTTATTCCTTCAGCAGAAAGTGATCACTACCCTCCTCTAAGAGTGCTTTGTCTAGATCATTCCTTTGCTCCTATCATACTTAACCTTGTATCATACATATTTGTTGTATATGTCATATTCCTCCCACCCTATCAGATTTCTTAAGCTCTTTGAAGACTTTTTATTGTCACTTTTCATTTTTGTATCCCTGTTGATGAATATCGTGCATTATACAACGGTAAGCCATTAGCAGCTGACTGAATTGAAATGAGTGCATGGAAATTGCACAAAGAAGGAACAGTGTGAGATATTAGTTATGCATACCACTTACAGAGCCTGTTAAGAAGGATGGACTACTTGGAGCATTAAAATGTAGACCAAGTGAGATCATATTAATCTCAACTTTGCAAATCTCAAAGTGCTTTATTGTTATCTATTATTATTAATAAAAGAAGGAATTGCTATTAATATCTTAACAGCAACAAATGATAAGATAGCAACTCTCTTCAAAAAAGTGTTCTTTGTAGAAGGAAGTGATATTTATAAGGAAATGGGCAGTTTGCTTCTTCCACTGTCCACTGCTCTAGGCTAGGTGTGTGCATATTATAGTCTAGGAAGGAGGTCAAGCTCATATGATGCTGTACAGACTCCGCTGCCTATTTCCTTTTTTAATAACACTAGTCCAAGCAGAGCAGAAAATAGAATGATCCTTATCAGTAGGTAAGGCACATACAGTTATTCATGAGCTCCTTGAATGGCAATTACTGATTGTCAACCTGATTTCCATCAGAGTCATTACCTTACCAGCACCTTCTTTGAAGCATGTGCTCAGTGAGCAGCTGTGTACGGAGAATGCTTCCTGGACCCATGTGAGAAGCTGTTCTGCCTCTCTTTTTCATTTTCACCACAGTGTGACCCTTCATCTCTCCCTCATATTTTAAGGACTTTGGTTAGGAAAATGTTAAGCATCTATCTTCCTCCCCAGTGTAGGAGGCACTATAGGCAATTCTATCTTCATTTGTATATGAATATAAATCCTGTCCCTTCAGACAGCAGGAGAGCTAGGACACTCTGTTCTCTCTGATGGTGGACAGAGGTCAGGATATGATATATTCCCAATTTCTTCTTCCCTATTATATTCTAGCTTAGGATCATTAATAGGGCTGTTTAAATAACCAATCCCATAGACTCAGTAAGAACTTGAGGCCACAGGCATTAACTACAAAGTATACTTTAATACAAGTGTGTGAATAATATATATGTAAAAATCATGTGAAGAGAGCCATTTCTGCAACTAAAAACGTGGTCAGGTTTTCTTGTAGAGGTTGATTTGAACAATTAAATTTATAAAATGTGCCCAGCAAGGATGGAAGTGAATCCATGAAACAAAGTCAATCTGTATTCAATTCTATTCAACTGAATATCAATATCGCAGCTTCTCCAAGTAACTTACCACCATTATGGTCATCTCTTCCTTGAGATCATCGTACCGCTCCTCTAGACGACTGAATTCATTCAGAAGGTTCTGGTACCTCAACCTTTCATCATTTAGATCAAGTTCTAACTGTTTTGTTTCCTCTATTAACTTCTTCTCCATGGTCTCTGACAAGTAAAATACAAGGAAAAGCTTAGAAAAGATAGATCGTTAGCATATACCAAAGAATCCAACTTAATCCAAAAAGCATTTATTTATTAAGTTAGGCTCTGGGGCTTCAATAACACAACAAAAAATAACTCCTGTCCTCCAGGAACTTACATTCTACTTGGAGGTGGGTGAAAAGAATGTCACATGCAGACAAATAGGTGAATGTGTGTGTGTGTGTACACATTCTGTTCCCCAAATCACCCTTGATTGTATGATATCTAGGAAGAGCATGAAGAGACCACTAACAACTCAAAGGCTTCCTACTGAAGATGGAACACTGAGCTTAGCCTTGAAGGAAGCTAGGGCTTGGCTTCTTAACAGGTAAGAAATGGGGAATGGCAGTCACATGCTAACGCATATTGATGGGAGCTATAGTGTTGAATTTAGGGAAAAAGCAGGTAGACCAGTTTCTCTGAAGTGGAAGTTAAATGAGGTAATCCTGGAAAAGCAGCCTTGGATTCTGATTGTGATGGGCTTTAAATCCTAAGCCAAGGAGGCTGGAGAGAATAGGGAACCACTGAAGGTTCTTGAACAGGAGAATGACATGATCAGACTTGCGTTTTAGGAAAATTATCTTGGCAGCTGTGTAAAGGATAAATTAGGGAGGAGGAAGACTAGAAACAAGAATTAATTAGGAAGCTGCGGTGATGATGAAAATCTGAAGTAGGTGGTTATGGGATGAATAGAAGGAAGGAGATAGATGCAAGAAATATTGTAGAAGTAAAATGGATAAGTCTCAGTGACTGGGAGGTGTATATACGTACAGATACCTATTTCTTCTTTTCTAAAAGAGAAAAGCAATTCCATTATTAAAGATACTTATTAAATCTAAAAGATAAAGGCATCTTTGATACTCTAACATCTTTGAATACTCTAACAAACATAGAGTAAAAAAAATATCAGTATGATAAAAGAGAAACAAAATAATTTCATTTCATGAATGAAAAGATATCAATAACTTCACACTCCAGTGTGAAGTATGATAAATATAAAATTCCTGATAAAGTCTTTTTCTTACTGTTTTTATGTAATGCCTAAAGAGTAATAATCTCATTATGGCATTTGTCTTTCTAAAAATCTATTCTAATGCTGGTTAAAATACTCTTAAAAAGGGGGAATGTTTCTTAGATCTTTCTTGAAGTCTTTTTATGTCACTAATACTCAGTAGAGTTGATTTAACCTCAATTTAATAGTCTTCACCTCTGACAGTAGCTCTCCCGTACTCTTACCTTCCTATTATTTTCCCATTCCTGACCTCTGGATAACCCCTTACTCTTCACTTCTTAAACTCCTTTTCTTGAATTGCTGAATGTATGGGAGAAAATTGCAGAACCAACAAGTTCTGGCTGGAGTAGAGGAAAAGATATCAATTCCTTTGTTCATACCTCAAATTAGCCATTTGATACTTTCATCTCTCTAAACTTCTATTTTCTCTCAACTCCTGGGCCATGATTTTCTCTCCCAGATCACTTTTTGACAGCTTTGTCAGCCCACCCAGAGCAAGGGCCACACCTTTTATGTATAACACTTGAGGGACACATTTCCGGTTTGGTGACTGCTTCACCTGGGCCACAACTTGTATGCAGGCCTCAGCATGCTTCACTTTACTCCCTAGTCTTTGGCAATCTCTATAGCAGGTCTGCACATTATATGGCCTGTGAGCTGCTTGTAACCCACCAAAGGATTTTGGGCAGTCCACAAAAAATGTAGAGGACATAAAAGAAAGTATAGATGTAACGAGTGCTTTTGTCCATGCATGGCTTAACCCGCCTTGCACTAGTCACTATTGTGCCTGTCATGTAACTTGGCAGGTGGGTTACCACTATTCACTCCCTCCTGTTTGCCACATGATCGGTGGCAACCAACCATTGTCGGTCTGTCTCTAGTTTGACAGAAGTGATTTCATGATAAATAAAAATCTTAAGTAATAAGTGCAATTAATTGATATTAATTGAAATTTTCCTCTTTTAAATATGATTTACTTGCAAAATAGTTTAATCATTAATTATGCCTTTACTTGGAAAGTGAGCCATTAAAAATCTATCATCTGTGGCCCGAAGAAGTTCAACCTATTTTAATTTTGGCCACTACCTAATGCCAAGTTGTGCAGGTCTTCTCTTGCCACCGTGCACGTACCTTCTCCTACTCCCTACGCTACCTCCATCCTCACTTCCCCAGTTCTGGAACCAAGATCAAATCAACCCTGGCCATCACTCCCCAACACAGACTGGCTCTCCATTTAGAATGCGGACTCCTTGAAGACAAAGATTGACTTTTCTTTTGTATTTGTACTCCCAGGGCTTAGCACAGTGCTGACACATAATAAGCCCTAATAAATGCTTTTTCATTCATTCATTAAAACCCAACAACTTTGTGTCATACTTCATGTGCTAAGTATATAAAACATCAGGCATACATTTCCCCAACTCTTATTCTGATTTCACACCTGTCTGCAGTTATCCTTTCCCCCTTTTTTTCCCCAATAATTCTAGAGACATTCCTCCTTTTGTAGCCCTTTAACTTGTGCTCTGCATCTTATCCTCAAATGGTTCATAAAGAATTTTGCTTTTATATTCATCCCCACTTTTTCTAGTATATTTAATTTCTTCCCTAAACTGCCTCCACTATGGTCAGGGATTGGCTGGTTGGACCATCTGAATAGAGTAGACTATTCAAATGGTCCAACCAGCCAATCCCTGACCATAGCGACTCTCCCAAATAGGTGGTTAGAACATAGGTTCTATTTCATTTCTGTCTTTCATGGCTAAATTCCTCAACAGACAGTTTCCACTCATTGCACCTACTTTCTCCTTAACCCAATAAAATTAGGTTTCCTTTCTCATCACTCCACTAACACTCTTCTAAGGGTAAGGTACTGAATGCAATCTCTGTCTTTACCTGTCTTGATATTTTCATTACATATTATGCACTTTACCAGTTCTTTTTAAAACTCTTCTCTCTTGACTTTATTTTTTCAGACATCTATTTCCCCCACCTCTCACTTTTTTCTGCTCCTCTTCTTAGTCCAAGGTTCAGGCTGAGCTGCTTTCTCTTAAACCCCATTAGGAAGTGGCAGTTATATATCACTCCACAACCTGAATTCTGACAACCTTCAAGCCTACATCTTCAGCCTTAATTTCTTACCCTTTCACTTGTCAACTACACTACACTTAAATACCTATCCTCTTTAATGTTTGAAAGTTAACATATTGAAAATTTGTCTTATCTTTCCTGAAAATAGATACATTTTCTCAATTCCCCTATCATTAATGGAACTATTATTTTTTTGATGTTTGAACTCAAAATTTTACATACATTTTTTATTCCCTTCTCTCTTCCACCCACCAAATCTAATGAATTATTAAGGTTCACTGATTTTCTCTATATCTCTTCCACTTCTATAATTGCTACCTTATTGCAAAGGCTTGCATCTCTTCCTATCTACATTATGTTGACATGCTTCTTATGGCAATACTCATGAAAGGCATATAGAAGCTATAATAATGGTCTTATGGGGCTTATATGGAGACTGAATTGATTCCAAATGGGTGTATGGGAGCAGGTGGGAAGGATAGCAGAAATGATCTTCTAAAGGAGGTAGTTAAATGTCTCTGAAGACCCCACTGTTTTCCTCCTCAAGGAGGGAAAATCCTACTTAGCAGATCATAGCCCTGAGGAATAAACCCCCCCAAGGGCAAGGAACATGAAGTCACACGGCATGAATCGACACTTCAGGGACTAAATTCTAATCAAATCGAAGTACAATAAAAAGAAACTATGCCCTGCCAAACTATACAAGGTCAGTCTGTAATTCTCAGGCTATAATCTGGCAGAACACAATCCACAGAGCATCCTCCACAGAATGTCTCTCCCTCCCTTCTACAGTAAGACTTTCTGGTTATCTAAAATGATATTTAACTGCTACATAATGACTTTTGCACAGCTACATAACTTACTTATATGAAAAAGAAATAAATGTTTACAAGGCCAAGCAGAGACAGATATACTAGAAAAAAGAATTTTTAATATATCCCCTATCATGGGAAAGTATGGAATATCAAAGAGTTGTAACTGGTAATTTGTGGGGGGAGAAAGTAAAGTGAATGAAAGTAGATAGATTTTTTTTCTGATTTGGAAAAGAACTCAAAGGATAAATGCTCATTCTCTCTCTACTGGAGGTGCATACAGTTTATCCTAGAGGAGGCATTCTCTCATTCTCATATTCTCTCTCTCTATCTCTCTCTCTCTCTCTCTCTCTCTCCTTTTCCTTTCCAAAGGCCTTGAAGAGTTTCCACCTACCCTGTCAGTTTCTTTTGCAAGCACTCAAAGAGAAAATGGGGGGGAGGCAGAAATGTAGAATTCATGCCCTTCCTCCTCTAATATTCTCCTTGTTCACCTCCCTTTTTCTAAGTGTTATATCTACCTGGATATGATATGTAAAAATGTGAGAGGCTATTAAAATTAAGTTCCTCATGGAAGATACTTAAATTATTGAATGAATTACCATTCTGATGGACAACGAGTTACATATTTGCATTTCTCTTTGTCCTACATGACAGGAATATATCCCTTTGTCACCTCAGCCTCTAAGATTCCTTAGCTTCTTTCAAGGTTCAGGTCAAGTGCCCACTCTTAGAGGAAGCCCTCCTGATTCCCCTGGCTATTCACGTTCTCTTCCTCTCCCCAGTAGACAAGATTTCCTGAAATCATAGATCCTTTTTTTTTCTGTCTTTGTATCTTTGCTACTCAGCACAGTACCTTGTACATCCTAGGCACTTAATAAATGTTATTGCTATTATTGAGCTAAAAATTTTCCCCAAACTAATCAATGAATATTTTCATTTTTTTATGCTTAACAGATGAGGCAGCATTGCACAGTAGATAAAGAGGAAGATAGAAATTCTATTGACCAGAGGTGAAAAGGGAAGCATATTCCAGACAGAGGGATTCACTTGTGCAAAAGAAGCTATTGTTTCACTAGAACCAGCAAATTTTCAGGGAAGCAGCAAGGCACAGTAGATTGAAAGTTGGCCTCAGAGTCAGAAGACCAAGAATCAAGTACTGCCTGGATCCTGGCTAAGTCAATTAACCTCTTAGTGATCTAGACAATTCTCTAACACTCTTAAGTTGCAGAGAAGGTGATGCCTTGCATTGGTAGCACAAATTTCCTTACTGGGGAGTTCCTATATCATTAAAATCACAGTTCCAATCCCCACCCTTAATAAATGGACACTTTTGTTGATGACGATTGTTGCTGTTTACACTTCTACTTTCAAAGAAAGACCTCTGAGAATCTAAGTTGTTCATTAATGTCTGCCAAAATGCACGAGTGCCCAAGCTAAAAGACTCTTGTGAAATGTGTCAAAGAAATATTTCCATGAAAAAAGCATCACTAACAGTTCTGGTAGAGAATGCTGGCATAGATTTTTAAAAGAGTAGCCCTGTTACCAATCATTGCAACATTTCAATGGTTTACTTTGCCTCCAATTTTTCCCCTATTCTAATCTATCCCATAAGTAGCTACTAGAATTATCTTCCTTATTAAGTTAAAGCCCTACTCAAAAATCTACAGTGGCTTCCAACTAAGAAGAAAAAGGTTAAATAATTTGGTGCTTGGCTGATTCTAGGGGATCTTCACATTGTGCATGTCACATAGAAGTTTCTCAATATGAGTTTAGCAAATGAACGAAATATTCACTTCAATAAACACTTATCAAGTACCTACTTTATACAAAGCCATTGTGCTATGCTCTGAGTTCAAGCCTCAAGGATCTTACATTCTACTAAATATACACTTGTTTGGTAGGATGCTCATTAGGTTGTACAAGACACCCTTAAGCCCTTCTCCCTTTCCTGCTAGAGTTATTATAGAGTTCTTTTGTATTGATTCTATATAAGGGAGGAAGTAAGCTTACTTGAGGCTTGAACTCAGAGCATAGCACAATGACTTTGTATAAAGTAGGTACTTATTAAGTGTTTATTGAAGTGAATATTTCGTTCATTTGCTAAACTCATATTGAGAAACTTCTATGTGACATGCACAATGTGAAGATCCCCTAGAATCAGCCAAGCACCAAATTATTTAACCTTTTTCTTCTTAGTTGGAAACCACTGAAGATTTTTATTTTTGATAGCTTATGTTGACTTCTCTCTTCTGGCAATTTTGAGAGTGCAAGAGAAATACAACAATCATGGCATTGGTAATAATCTCTGAGAAAAAAAGTGTTGGTTGATGCATAAATAACCACGTCAGAAAAATAAAACGCAGACAACTTTTATATGACTTATTTTTACAGTAATATAAACAAAGTTGATTAAAAAAATAAGCAAAGTTTGATATGGCACCTGGCAGGTTAGGAGTGAGCAAGGTTGAGACATCTTTATTTTAAAGAGAATTACAAACTTCAAAATCAACTAACCTGTTATCTCTTTGGCCTGCTCAGAAATGAGATGGTTGAGTGTCTCTTTTTCCTTTTTCAGCAATGTGTTTTCTTCCTTCAGATTTGATACCAGCTGTAAAATAAAATTATTAATGTTAACTGTTTAAAATGTCTATATCATCATGACAAATACAAATATACTGGAATCAAAATTCAACAAGTTTATCCTTGAAGTAAAGTGGACTCTTCATCTTAATCCTTTCCTCAAAGTCAAGAATTCCCAGAGTATAAACTTTAGTTATGAAGAGTCATGTTTTTAATGAATGGACAGAGAATACTGATAAGGTCTTAGAGGGAGTGACTATAAACTGTTATACTTTATATACACTGAAATCAATTTCGATATATTTACCAAGTTTAGTTGGCAGTTGGTGTTCAATGTTAATTGTTTAATAAAACTTAAAAAACAAAACAGAGATTTTTGTCTCATACAACTCAGCAAAGTAGGAAGAGATCAAGGATAATTGTCTATGTTACTAAAGACCCCTCATGATCTGGAAAGTTGACATTTTGAAACAATACTTGTGCCATATCAAAATCTACAAGCATATCCAAAAGAAGTTTCTTTTGGAAACTTCTGTTTGGAAACAAATAGAAATTCTTTCTGATAGTTTACAGTGCTCCTTCCCTACTTTTCACAAAGATGCAAAAGGCTCCCTATTCTTAAAACAAAAACAAAGGAACTCACAGAGCCTATAATCCCCACTCATTATCATTCTAGAAAGTCAACTCCTAACCGAGCCTCCACTTCCTCTCCTCTTACTCTTTTTTAAATGATCTGCAACCTTGTTTCTGTCAACACTGCTCAGCTGAAGCAGCCTTCTGCTAAGTCAACAATGATCTCCAAATTTCCAGTTCTAATGGCTTCTTCTCATCTCACTCTTCTTGAACTCTCTATAGCATTTGACACAGCTGATCACTTCCTTATTCTCTTTTCTCTGAGTTTACATGACTGTTTTCTCTTGGTTCCTCTCTCCTACCTGTCTCAGTTTCTTTGCTGTATTTTTACCCAGGTCATGTCCACTAGGTGTTGGTGTATCTCAAGGCTCCGTCCTATGCCCTCTTCTCTTCTCCCTCTGTGTTATCTTGGTGATCTCATCAGATCTATATATTGAGCCCTATTCTCCTGAATTCCTGTCCCATCTCATACCCAACTGCCTTTTGGACATCTCAAACTGAGTATCCTGCAGGCATCTAAAGCCCACTCTGTCTAAAACAGAACTCATTATCCTCCATAAACCATCCCCTCTCCCCAAATTTCCTATTACTGTTTAAGATACCACCAGATTCATGAAGATAACCCAGATTCATAACTTCAGTGTCATTCTCAACTCCTCTCTTTCTCTAGCTTACTCCATATATCCAATAGTTTGCCAACTCTTGTCATTTTTACCTTTACAACATTTCTTGTATACATACCTTTTTCTCCCCTCACACAGCCACCTAATTCAGGACCCATCACCTGGACCACTGTAATAGCCTTCTAACAGCTCTCCTTGCCTCAAGTCTCTCCTTAATCTAATCCATCTTTACCTCAACATCATTCCCCACTGACCTATTCATTTGCTCCAGTATTAAAGGATAAAGTGACTGTTATTATTGATGATATTGATGATAGCAATCCCTCTACTTGTGCCCTCAGTCCTAAACCCTCCTATAGAAGCTCACCACTTTGATTGTCCTCACTCTCCCTTATTTTAACCTCTTCTTATCTACTAGTCCCTTTCCCTGCTGCTTAAAAATTACCCGTATCTCCCTTAAAAACTTAAAAATCTTAAAAAAAAAAAAGCTTCCACTTGACCCTACCATCCCTTTAAGGTATCATTCTATAATTTTCTTCCCTTTCACATCCAAATTCTTAGGGGTAAAAATTCCATACTGTCTCTACTTTCTCACCTCCCAATCATTTCCCAACCCCTTGTAATCTGGCTTCTATTCCCACTGTTAGACTGAGACTGCTCTTCCAAGGTAACCAATGATTTCCTTAATGCTAAATCTAATGGCCTTTTCTCAGTCCTCATCCTTCTTGACCCCTCTGGCATTGTTGCTCACTCACTTCTGGATACCTTCACCTTTCTGGGTTTCTTGTGACAATGCTCAATTGTGCATCTCTTTCTACCTGACTGATCTGACTGATCCTTCTGCTTCCTTTGCAGATTCATCATCCTTATCTTGCCCCTAAGTGTTAGTGTGTTCTAGTGCTCTATCTTTGTCTCTATTCTTCTGCATCATCTTTTGATGATTCGATCAGTTCCCATGGATTCAATCATCATTTCTATGCAGATGACTCTTAACTATACATATCAAGCCCTCACCTTTCTTTTGAGCTATAATCCCTCATCTCCAATTATCTTCTGGAGAGCTCTACCTCTGCATTCTCAAACACAGCAGGTGCAATACAAACTCATCTTTTCCCCTGTACTCACCTCTCCTTCTATTCTCTCTATAGCTGTCCAGGGCACACCATTCTTACCTAGTTTGCACACCCAGTTGCCAAGGCTTTTTGATTCTACCTCTCCAACGTGTCTTAAATCAGTCCCTTTCTCTCCACTTAGACCTAAACCTCCTCAGTATTACCTCTCATCTGGACAAATACAACAGCATCCTAATTGGTCTCCTTTCATCTTTGTCTCTCACTTCTCCAATTCATCCTCCAAAGACACCAAATTGATATTTCTATAGCACTGGTGCAACCAGGTCACACTTCTGCTCCAGAAGTTTCAGTGGCTCTCGACCATATCTAGGACAAAACACAAACTCTTGTGTTTGGCCTTCAAAACCTCCCACTATCTCAAGCCTTTTTCATATTCATAACATATGTGTGCCAATCAGACTTCTCATGACATAATATTCCGTCTCCCCCTTCAATGCCTTGGCACAAGCTGTCCCCCATGCCTGAAATGCACTCTCTCCTGACTTCTGCCTCTTAGAACCCCTAGATCGCTTCAAGGCTCAAGGTCACCTTTTTCAAGAAGTCTTTCCTGATTCCACTAGTTGCTGGAGTATCTTCTCCCCAAATAATTTTGAGTGTGTATACATAGATGTAACCCATACTTATTTTATACTTATTATAATACTCACATTTATTTCTCATTTATTTATGTGTGAACGTATTATATCCCCCTAGCAAAACATAAGTTCCTTACGCTACAAAATCTTCCATTTCTTTTATAAAGACTTTTGCTGATAATTTCTTAAATTGATTATTTAGGATGTTTTTTACATATCTATCAAGTAAAATAGATATCACATGTCTATAAGAGGCTACAAGTTGAATGACTGAATTGTGTAAGATACAGGAAACATAAATACATATTTTAAAGAATGGCATTCAGGAAGGAGATGAACTTACATATGTTAATATATGATTATCCTTCAAAGTAAAATTCTAAATATATTCCCACTTAATGAATTGGTTGACAGACATTAGCTGATGGTGCTTATTTTCAATAGACATAGGCAAAAAAGACTAGTATGTGTGTGTGATCTTTTCCATAATGCAGATATGAAGAGGGTTCTCCAGTATATGTCTTTAAACTACGGTTTGTAAAGTCTTTCCATATTTGAAATTTCGTACAAGTAATCCCACTGAAGTCTTAAGCAAAGATATATACTATTCTTTACTACAAAATGCCAGGTTGATGTATCTAGCTGCCCATGGATAGCTATGCCACACTATTTCAGTATATCCTCAAAATAGTTCATCTGCTCTCTCTGCCTAAAGCTATCCCATTTCATCTGTCCATACAGAATCTTCTTGGAGAATCTACTGTCATTCTCTCTACATACAGATACCTCGATAAACATTACTTCAATTATAGAGAATGTGAATGTTTCAGGAGCTCACTATCAGTTATTCTGTCAGATTAGGATCAACAGATGACAACCAAACTGTTCTAGCTGCTGGTATCAGCATTATAGGTGAAAGCACAACCACTTTTCTGAGTCATTTAAGAGCTCAGAATATATTACTTTGGTTTGGTCTGGAATGTAACACTGTGTTGGTTCTGTATTCTGTATACCCACCCTTGAAGGTCATGTCTGATATACTGATTGGACTTTTAATTAGAGAATGTAAATGTCTTGTTTCTGACTTATTGCTTATAGTGTTTGTAGACTGTTATGCTGCAAGAGTTTTTTTTTTTAAAGCATTGTCTTACATATGATTTCCTAGGTCCTTTGTGGCATACCTGAGCATAAATTTAGCAATAATGGATTTCTCTACCTTTGCAATAGGGCATAAGTCAGACAGGGTACATCCACTCTGATGAAGGTAAAACCTTACTTTCACCTATAATGCTGATTAATTTCACCTATTATGTTGACAAAATTTGCTTTGTAGCTTCCATACCCCAGGCCTAACAAATACTTTAGTCAGATCCATGAATGACACAGAAGTCTTGATTTTATTTGCTTAACTTTTCCTGTATTTACTATAAAGCAGATATTTGTGCTGTGTTGCATTCTAAACTGCTGTGATTCTGAGTGCATATAATTGATGATGTTCAATAGCCAGTACAAGAGGACTCTAGTTAAGATTCTGCCAGCAATAGTGATCAGGAAGATATCATGACAATTGTCCATGTTGACTCTCCCTTTTTTACTTTGAAGTAGTAAAACTAGTTTGGCATCTGAAATATCATGCCATTTACTTAGTTTTCCATGCATTAAAAAGAAGAGCCTTTATAGACATTTAAACACTACTTCCCACACCTTACTTGAAAATCCCATAAGATATACTATGCATTTCTAGGGTTTTATAATTCATCATGTTTACAACAGCAACAGGTGCATCTTCAAAAGTTGAACCAAAAGCCATGCCTGGGTAGGTTTTTCTAGTTTCATAGAGCTTTGTTCTCAATGAGAGTAGACAACTGTTCTGTTACCCCAGTCAGATTCCTTCTTCATGTAGGATAAGAGTAATTTCCTCTCTTTCAGCTTTTTTTCCCATCCCCACCCCCCATTTAACCCCTTAGTTGCACAACAGAAGTAATGCTGAGTCTACAAATACTCCTCAGTGATGGACAGTATTTCTTGGCTTTACAATCTTCATTGACTTTTCTATGCTTAGCTTTGGACTCTTAGCATTGGTCATGCCTAGTTTTTAACTTGATCTGCAGCTCTCAGTGCAGGATTCTATTAGTATTCCTATATTAGTATGGGTCATGAGCACTTGCCAGGTATTGACAACACATTTCAGCCTGTTTTGCTGAAAGTAGTTTCTTAAGCACCACAATCTAAATGGAGGGACAAGGTCAGTTATACTGAATTGCATTCCTACTAGAACATTATTATAGTACTAAGTTAATAATTTTCTTCTAAAGATACCTGCACCTGTCTCTGCTGTCATTATTCAAAAAGCTCTACTAAAATGTCTGAAGTTTTCATAATGTGAGAAATGCCCTGGGAGTACTAATAAAGGGTACTTAACCAAAAAGATTTTTATTTGTACTTGGACAGCAATGGTTACAGAAGAACAAATCAACAAATGCCCTTTCTAGGGAGTAGTAGTAGATAGGAAGTTAGTACTTACCTGCTCTGTTTCTTTTTTGTACTTGTCTGCCCACTCCTCAATTGTTTTTTTCTCTGACTGAGTTCGTTCCAAGTCTTTCCGTAGCTTGGCAATTTCTTCTTGAAGACTGAGGACTCGACTAGTGGCAATCTTTGCCTCCTCCTCACTAAGCTGGAGGCGACCCAGATCACTGCGTAGTTTCTCAGTTTCTGAGGTATATGTCCCCTCCAGGGTGGTCAGCTTCTCAAGTAGGCATTTATACTCTTTGTTCTTTGCATTAGTAGCAGCAAAAATAAAAGTAAAAAACAGATAGATGGACAGGGAAAAACGAAAGAGGGAGAGTAGGAAGGAGAAAGAAAATAAAACATCACATCAATTATTTGTCAGAAAGCCAGTGCTCACAATTATCCAAGGAAGTAGCTAGTAGGTTTCCCCCAACTCAACATCACCAAAGGAATGTCAATTAAAGCAACTACTTTCTGATCATTGCTTTACTTTGCTTCTCTAAGCATTTATATATTCCATTAATAAAATCGAGCTTTACACCTGCTAATAATAGTTTACTCTGTAATTGTTCTCAAGTAGTTTGAAATAGTTTCCTATCAATTAAACCTAGGTTCCTCAAAAGGGATTATCTCTCTGATTTTTCTTATGTATTCTCCCACAATAACAGATAAAGTGGTTAGAACAGAGTAGATACCATATAGTAATTCACTGATTCTTTTGTTTACATTTTCTAGGTAATATTTTAAATGTAAATAAAAAAATCTCCTTGGGAAGATAAATCCATCTCTTTTGTGAAACATGTTGGAACTTTAAAATTATGCTAACCAAATACAAAGGAACTTTCAATTTCATTTTTAAAAAAACATTATACTAGTACAGGTAGAGACTCAAGGCTTCATTAATATTTTTGCAATTAAAATATTCTAATTTAAAGAATTTCAATAGTAATAATTTTGATACTTTCCTAATGGAATAGGTATGCATCTTTCCATTTAAGAAATTTAAGAAGGAAGATTAAAAACAATGCAATATTAGCCTTTAAATATAGTTTAACCCTATTTCTTCATGTAAGGAAAATAGATTTTCTTCTCCCACCCATGTAGACAACTAAGTACAGAGCCCTTGGGACCCCTATAAACATTTGGTGGTTAGATGAATAAATGAGAAAATGTACACAAATTAATTTTAAAGAAGAATGTGAAAAAGAAACTATTGCTACAGTATAACCAAAAAGTGTGCAGCATGAACCAAGAGATGAGGAAACATAAATCGTCCACCTGGTCTTTTAAAAGGTAAAGCCCAATTAAAATGTCTAAATGTGGTTATAATAAATTCATGTATTTTTCTCTGCCTTCTTTGACACAAGTCTAAAAAGAGGAAGGAACACAAAATGTGCTTGACTGATACAGCAAATTGTTTATGGTAACTAGTCAGTTACCACAGCAACCAGCAACCTATGGAATGGGTGTTACTGAGTGGCACTTGCATTGATTACTGGCTGTCACTCAATCTGCTCCCACCACTGGCACTTCTCATTTTTCTCTTCCATGCTCTCTCTCCTTTCCCTTCCTATGTTCTGTATTTTCATTCTCCCTTTCATCCTCTTGTTTCAGTCCTATGCCTCAGTCCTGCTGGGATACCCAGGAGCACTGCTGTTCCCATCTAGTGGCACTCAGGACCAAAAAGGCCTCCTGGGGATTGCTGGAGCTCTTGGCACAGCAAAGGATTAATGTTCCTGCTGCTAGTCCTGGGCTGCCCCTGCCCTGACTGTTAACACTGTCCAGTGGTATCATTGGCAAGTAATGAGAGGGTCCTGGGGAGGGGAATGAACAGGGAGAATGGCAAAGAAAGTGGTCGCTGTAGCATAGACCAAGGGAAAAAAAAGAGAGTCGAATCTTCCTTTCTTTGAATGCAACCATCTCTCAGGTTTCCAAATCTAACACTCAAGGGAAACATAGAAACTTTCCTCCCATGAGGCATGCCCAGTATGCTGAGGAAAGCCAGAAGGGCCTAGTTAACTTCTGGTTTCTGGTTTGTCTGTGAGGGAAGCAAAAACCTTAATAGCACAGTGACTTTTACTGTTTCCTGGCAAAGAGAGAAAGGGAAGGGGGAGAGACAGAGACAGAGAGGTGGGGAGGAAAACCTTTGACTAAATGCTTCCTGTGAAAAAATATCAAAAAACAACAGCAAAACAAAACACGAAACAAAAAAAAATCTTGAGAAAAAGAATGAAAAATTACTCTTTGAGAGAAAGAGTGAGAAATTACTCTGGACCCTGCTATATTCATGATCTGTATTTCTGTGAAAAAGACCCTATTAAAGAAGGGGAACAAGTAAATAAATAGCAGATCAAGTAGTATTAAAGGGACAACAGTAGTAGGAACATTAAAAGAAAAAACCTAAAGTAGGGTTTTTTTTTGCCCTTCCAATGATTTTCGGTTGCTGAACATTCCCACCCAATGTAGTAGCAGTAGCACAATCCTAAGAATAAGTTTTAGTTCTAACAGTGAAACCTGCAGGAAGATCTAGTCCTAGAGCTCTCTCAGCATTTCTAGACACATTCTGACTCAGTGATACTCAGTCCTACCCTTCTTTCTGTATTCTCCAATTTTATCAACTATAGAAAATCACTGGTAAGTAGCATCATCAATTTGGAGAAATGAGAGTTTCAGCAGTAACAGGTATGGTGCTAGGTGGGTAAGAGACAACAAAAGAAAACACACAAAGGTAAAGACTGTATATGATGATAGCACTGGTGTCATGGACTCAGAATTTGGAAACCTAACCACAGAAATACAGCAAGAAGTGACCTTAGAAGCTATGTAGTAAAACTCAACTCAGTTTATAGATGAAGAAGCTGACTCTTAGAGTCAAATGACTTGCTCAAGGTCACCTAGGCAGCAGAGCTGAGATTCAAAACTATTTCCTCTGACAAGAAATCCAAAATTCTCCCTTCTGCACAAGATTAGGAAACTAGAATCTGAAGCTTTATCAGGATTTAGCACTAGTGGTAACAGCAATGGCCTCCCCAGTGTGAAGGAAGCCTTGTTTGGGGCTCTCCTTCATCCAGGTTCCCCCCAGCATAGGATGTCAGGAAGAAGAGGGACTACATTTGCTTAGATTTTCCTCAGGGCCTACTACTCTCTCAATGATACTCTACAGTGTTCAAACTTTGACAAGCCAAATTCAATTCAATTTCCTGTCACTGTTACTAATTAGCTGTGTGATCTTTGGCAAGCCAAAGGTCCCTTTGTCTCTCAATTTTCTCATCTGGAAAATGAAGATAATACTAGGCTTACCTACTTCACAGATGTTTGACAACAGCTTCCATCTGTTTAAAGGAGATACAAAAGCCAGGTCTACCAACACCTGAAGGGTCATTCAAAGTTGAGAGTGCCAACAAATTTGGTCACTCTTTAATGCGCTTCCTATCTTCTAGTAAGCCTCCTGGAAATAATTTCCTGCTTCATTACATTAAACAATGTTTTCATCCATTACCTTCTCATGATTTTTAGCTTCTAGTTGGTAGAATAAAGTGATAAAATAAAATGATGGCATTAAAATTTCAGTAGACAGGGATATTTTTAACCTTAGCTACTTGCCTAAACATGGTAACTCCCTGTATCTTTTTCTTCACATCAAGGTCAAGTGGAAGTGACCTGTACCTACCTGTTCATCAACTTTACGCTGCAACTGCATAATCTTGTTTTCCATACCAATGTGCAGCTTTTTGTAGCGCTCAACAGAGCGGGCCTCAATCTTCAACTTCTTCAGTTCTCGTTTGGCCATCATTCGTCGGAAACAGCATTGCAGGTAAACGATGGCCTTTAGGCACCTTTTATAGTGCAGCCGAGCCAGCCAGCCACGCACCTGCTTCTGGATGATGATGGCCTTATGTTCACAGAGGATCTGCAAAAGAAGATAAATGTGAAGCAACACCATACCCCAAGTCCACCTGGTTCATAGCAATAATGCATTCATTTGATGAACTAGAGAAGCAGGAGACACATGAAACATGAATTATTATATGCTGATAGCATATGCAGACATGAGAACATTTTTAAAAGACAGGCTGAGAGTTTAAATAAGGATATGCATTCTATTTCTGTAAATAAGATCTATGCATACAGACAAAGCAATGACATTTATATGGTGTCTTTAAAAATAAAAGCATGGGATAGTATGATCAGGGAAGGAAAGCTAAAATAGAAAGGAACAACTCAATCGTGGCATCTGCCTCATTGTTGGATGATTCCTTTTAGTCTCCTGTCATTGGCTAACACTCAAATTAACAAAACTTGGCATCCAAAGAATTACCTGCTATTATAGGTACATATTTTCCCACCATTTATTATCATTACTTGACAATGCTTTATAATAATAGCTAGTATTTTTATGGTACTTTAAGGTTTACAAAGTACTTTATAAATATTATCTAATTTCATCCTCAAGACAACCATGGGAGATAGGTTTTATTCTTATCCCCATTATGTAAATAAGGACTGGATACTAATGGGCTGATTTTTAAGGTCTACTGGGGGGCTTTTTTTTAAGGTATACAACAGGCACTCATATTGATCATCCTCTAGAAAATCTCCCTAAATAGGGTTTTACAATCACTGTATCAAATGGAGTTGAATTCAGTTTGTGGCATCCAAAAGAAGGAGGAACAAAGACACAAAGAAATTTTATAAAACACTGTCTATCAAAAACCAGACAAATTAACAGAAAACTAGGAGCAAAATTATATCTTTGACGCTTACAACACAAACTATTTTTTATGTCACCTTATATTTTTAAAAATTCATCATAATGTTCAAGTGAACTTTCCAGCAATTAAAGCTGTCCAATAACCAAATTTCCCATTACTAGAGAAATTCAAGCAAAATCTGAATGACACTCTGTCAAGGTCATTGTAGAAAGGGTGTATATATTATGTTAAAGGTTAATCTAGATGTTATCTAAGGTCCCTACAAAATCTAAGATTATATGAAATTACTTTCTCAGTATATAAACTCTTTTCTAAATGAATTTTTGATCATTTGACCTTAAGAATAACAATAATTTTCCTTCTACTGTTCAGAGTTGAGAAAATTCTGTGGTTGGTTAATAAATATTGTTATCACCAGACACCTGCCATGTGCGAATGTCAAAATATTCAAAGCTTCTTAAAGAAGCAATTCAAATATAGCAGTTTAGCAATCTAAAGAAAGCAATATATTCCTGTGTTTAGATTTGTACATGAGAAACTAAACACAATGAAAAAAATAATATAACACTTTGGTTCTGTTGGAAAGAATTAGCCAATATTTAAAATTCAGGGGGGTGGAGACAAGATGACAGAGTTACAGGCAGTGACTCAGTTGAACTCTCCCACCATTCTCTTCCAAAAAACTTTAAAATAACTCCTCAAATAAAATTTTGAAGCAGCAGAGCCAACAAAGGTGAGACTGAGACATCTTTCCAGCCTAAGACAACTTAGAAGTATGGCAAGAAAAATCTGTGACTGAACAGTGGGAGCCAGCCAGGAGCACATGTAGAGAGAGCAGCAGTGGCGAGCCTTGGAGGCAGCAATGACAGTGGCAGTGGCAGTAGCAGCAATTTCAGGAGCTCTCAGCTCAGAGCCAGGAAGGGGGTCAGAAAGCTGGTCATAAAGAGAATACAGGGGACAGTCTGCTGCCATTGGGTAAAGCTGACACTAACTGGCAACTCTACTGCCCAAAAGCAGTTCTGGGTCACAGTTCCAGGGTAGAAAGGAGTGCTTGCGATTGCTCACCAGCCATCAGGGGTTCTGGTCGCAGGTTCAGAGTGCTGAGGAGAATGAGCATTTGCAACCACAGGAGAACAGAGGACCTGAACATAGTTCCAGGGCCAAGAGGAGCACTGGAACTTGCAGCTGCAGAAGAGCAGGGGCCTTTCCTAGGTAAACACCAGGGTGCAGTGACCACATAACTCTCCCCATTTCTCACCATCTTGGAAGCACCAAAAAGTTGTAGACCCCCAGAACTAGTTCTGAAAACAGCACCACCAAAAGCCTGAAGCTTGAGACAGTGCCTCACCACCCCCACATTAACAGACTCTAACTTTAACATAAATTTCAAAATCAAGAAATAGGCTGGAAAAATGAGTAAACAAAAACAATAACAAAAGAACTTGACCATAAAAAGCTACTATGGGGGCAGTTAGGTAGCACAATGGATAGTGCACTACCCGTGGAGTCAGGAGGACCTGAGTTCAAATGTGGTCTCAGACCAGATACTTGACACTTACTAGCTATGTGACCTTGGGCAAGTCACTTAATCCCAATTGCCTTGCCAAAAAAAAAAAAAGCTACTGTGATGACAGGAAAGACCAAGACATAAGAGAATACAATGTGAAAACAGCCACAAGCAAAACCTCAAAGGAAAATGCTAATTGAACTCAAACAGAATAAGAATTCCTGGAAAGTTAAAGAAATTAAGAGTCGTAAAGAAAAAAATGAGAAAATAAATGAGAGTGATGTAAGAAAATTATGAAAATAAAATTAACATTTTGGTAACAGAGGCACATAAAAGTACTGAAGAAAATAATGCCTTAAAAAAATGGGATTGAGGGCAGCTAGGTAGTGCAGTGAATAGAGCTCTGGCCTTGGAGTCAGGAGGACCTGAGTTCAAATTCAGCCTCAGACACTTAACACTTACTAGCTGTATGACCTTGGGCAAGTCACTTAACCCCAATCGCCTCACCAAGGAAAAAAAAAGGGATTGGCCTAAATGGTAAAAGAGACTCAAAAATTCATTGACAAAAAGAATTCCTTTAAAAGCATAGTAGGTCAAATGGAAAAGGAGGCACAAAATTCACTGAAGAAAAGATCCTTAAGGGGCAACTAAATGGTGCAGTGGATAGAGCACTGGGCCTGGAATCAGGAGGACCTGAGTTCAAATCTGGCCTCAGACCTGACATATGACACTTACCAGTTGTGTGACCCTGGGCAAGTCACTTAACCCTAATTGCCTCACCCCAAAAAAAAAATCCTTGAAAAGCAGAAGTGTGCAAATGGGAAAAAAGGTATAATAGCTCACTGAAGAAAACAATTCCTTAAAATTAGAATTGGGCAAATGGAAACTAATGATTCCATGAGATACCAAGAAAAAAATAAAGTCTAAAGAATGAGAAAATAGAAGAACATGTGAAATAACCTCATCAGAAAAACGACTGACCTAGAAAACAGATCCAAGACAGATAATTTAAGAACTATTGTTCTACTCTGACAGCCATGATCAAAGAAAGAGCCTAGACATCGCATTTTAAGAAATTATAATTAAGGAAAACTATTCTGATATATTAGATTAGGAAAGAACTAAGAGAATTCACCCAATCTCCTCCTGAAAGAGATCCCAAAAACAAAACCTCCCAGAACTATTACAGAGCTTCCAGGTCAAGGAGAAAATACTTCAAGAAGCCAAAAAGTAACAATTCAAATATCATGGAGCTACACTCAGAATCACACAGGTTTAGCAGCTTCCATGTTAAAGGAGTGGAGGATTTGGAATATATTCTGGAAGGCAAAGAAGCTAGGATTACAGTAAGGACTAACCTACCCAGCAAAACCAAGTGTAAAAATTTTTTTCAGGGAAAAAATGGAAATTTAATGAAGTACAAAGCTTTTGAACATTCCTGATGAAAAGACTGCAGCTGAATAGAAAATCTGACTTTCAAATGCAATATTCAAGAGAAGCATAAAAAGTAAAATATGAAAGAATAATCATGAGATTCAATAAAGTTAAACTGTTTACATTCCTATGTGGGAAAATGATACATGTAACTCCCAAGAACTTTAAGATAAATAGAGCTGTTAGAAGCAGTCTACAAAGAGGGAATGGGTATGAGCTGATCACGTTTGGATGATCTTTTTAAAAAATAAAGTGAAAGGGTGAGAAAGAGGAATGTAGTGGGAGAGGAGAGAAGGAAGAGGTAGAATGGGGAAATTTCTCACATAAAAAAGAGGCACACAAGGAAGAAAGTAGAGGGGGAAATGGGGGGGCAATGCTTGAACCTGATTCTCATTGAAATTAGTTCAAAGAGGGAAGAAAAAAATACACATACACATACTCAGGTATAGAAATCTATCTTACCCAATAGGAAAACAGGAGGGGAAAGGGATAAGAGATATGGGGGGCAAGGTGAAAATGACAAAGGGAAGGGCAGATTAAGGGAGGCAGTGGTCAGAAGCAAAACAGACTTTTGAGGAGGGACAGAATAAAAAGAAAGAAAGATAAACAGAAGAAAATAGAATGGAGAGGAAATACAGTTAGTAATCATAACTGTGAATGTGAATGGCATGAGCTCACCCATAAAAGAGAAGTGGATAGCAGAATAGATCAGAAACCAGAAGCCAACAACATGTTGTTAATAACAGATGCGCTTGAAAAAAAAGGACACACATAGAGTTAAAATAAAGGGCTAGAACTGAATCTATCATGCTTCAGATGAAGCAAAAAAGGCAAGGGGAGCAATCATAATTCAGACAAAGCAAAAGTAGAAACAGACCTAATTAAAAGAGATTGTCAGTGAAACTATATTTTGCTAAAAGGTACCATAGACAATAAAGTAATGTTAAAAAAAATTTAAAGGCAAATTTCTCTGATAAAGGCCTCATTTCTCAAATATATAGGGAATTGTGTCAAATTTATAAAAATAAGAGCCATTCCCCAATTGATAAACAAAGGATATGAACAGGCAGTTTTCAGAAGAATAAATCAAAGCTATGAAAAAATGCTCTAAATCACTATTGATTAGAGAAATGCAAATTGAAATAACTCTTAAGTGCCACCTCACCCCCAGCAAAAATGATAAATTCTGGAGGGAATGAGGGAAAATAGGTACATTAATAAACTGTTGGTGGAGTTGTAAACTGGTTCAATCATTCTGGAGAACAATTTGGAACCATGCCCAAGGGGCTTTAAATTTTGCATGCCCTTTGATCCAGCAAATAATATTACTACTAGGTCTGTATTCCAAAGAGATCAAAGGAAAAAGGAAAAGGACCTATACATACAAAAATATTTATAACAGCTCCCTTTGTGCTGGCAAAGAATTGGAAATTGAGGGAATGCTCATCAGCTGGGGAATGGCTGAACAAGTGGTATGTGATTGTGATGGAGTACTATTTTGCAATAAGAAATGACAAAAGGGGTAGCTTCAGAAGAAAACATAGCAAGATCTATATGAACTCATGCAAAGGGAAGAAAGAACTAGGATATGCACAATAACAACAAGGTTGTAATGATGATTAATTGTGAAAGACTTGGCTATTCTGATCAATACAATGATCCAAGGCAATTCCAAAGGACTCATGATGAAAAAATGCTATTCAACTTCAGAGAGAGAAGTAGTGAATTCTGAATGCAAATTGAAGTATAACTTTTTCACTGTATTTTTCTCAATTTTTTAAATATGGCTAATATGAAAATATTTTTTGCATGATTTCACAGGTATAATAATAACATTTTGTTTGCCTTTGGGGAGAGGAAGGAAAAGAATTTGGAACTCAAAATTTAAAAAGAAAAGAATGTTAAAAATAAATAATAAATTTTAAAAATAAAAAAATAAAATGCAAATGCAAAATTACCCTAAATGCTTATACATAGAAAGATCATGGCAAAAATTAACCTGTTTTAAAAGCAAATTCAGTCTTATGGTTTTTTGGTGTCTGTTTTCAATTATATGCATTCACTGAGATTTAACACTGTTATTACATGAGGCATTATAAGCCTCCTAGTAAATATAATCTTAACGGATGAACTGCACTTATCTGACCAATAAACAAATATGAGGCAACAATAAAAAAATTAAAGTTTTTCAAGCTTTAAACCTCAAAGAATTGGAAAGCAATTAATGCCCATTTTCCTAGTCTCATTTCCTTTCCCCATTTCTGACTCTCTTTTAACTTGAAATGCTTATCTTCACTTCAGTAATTTTGGTTGAAAATAAACACTGCAATCTGCATTTCATTTTCACTATTGAGTCAGTGAGGTTGAAGGCCATTTGTTTCCCCCTCAAATCTCAAGAAACCACCTTGGAAAAAACATAATCTGAAACATAGCTGGGTAAAAATAATAATCTTATGACAACACAGAACACACAGATAGGGACTTTCTGATTCATCATCTTCTACTAACATTATATTTCTAACTTAATTTGTCCCTATATAACACTGTAGCTGAGCAATTCAACTCAGAAATAACTTTCAAACTAAAGGTGGTGCTCCCTTTCAGATGCTGCTGGGGAGAAGCTGGCAACCCAAGACAAGAAAGAAAAGGAATTAGCTTGAGCTGGTTCCAAAGCATCATTTCCTCAAAGAGGGTTTGTTTGTTTTTTAAAGGCAAAAGTATGTCTAAGTAGCTTTCCAAGGCAAGCCTAATGGCACATGGAAAGAGTTCCAAAGTAACCAAAGCAACTTTAGGAGGAAAGGGAAAATAACCTAAGAATGACTCTCATTAAGTTACTTTAAACACAGATATAATACATGTTCCTATAAACCTTAGAAAGTAAAGGGGCTTGACTTCCTAGGAAATCTAAAAACAGTGGATGGAGGGCATTCCAGATCTTTATCACAGTCACAGTATCAGGGAAACCTCTTAGGGGGTGGCTATGGAACATACAATTGTCTCAGAAATCATCTCTGAAGATACAGATGACATGCATAAATTTGGGTAAAGGAAAAATGAGGGAGATAGCTACACTTAGCTTTGCCATTATTCTCAGGTTAAACATTCCAACTTCTTTGAATCTCCTCTAATCTCTCCATGTTCTCCTCCTGTCCCCGCCATCTCCCTCCCCACCTCAGGCCTTAAGGTAAACCCAGAAGATACTCTGGGCATAATCAATAAGTTAGTACTTATAACTAGAGTATTATTTTTTGATACTTTTGCATTGGATTTCAGAACCACATTTGTGTTCTTAAAATTAAGTAATGGCCCATTATCACCCTTACATACATTTCAGCCACATATAGCAAGTTATTTCCTAGTCTATATTTGTGATTTTTCCCCCTTATTAAGTAAGTAAAATCTGTACTTATCTAGGCTGAATTTCATTCTGTTGGCTCTTACCAAGGCCATTTAAACTGTATTTTTCCTCTCCCAGCCTGTACAACTTAATGATATAGTTTCATTCTATCATTATAATTGATGATGATGCTACTTAAGATGAAAGCCAGTTTCCACACCCCAAAAATCTCTATGAATGACTCTTTAAATAGTCATGCTATTTTATATAGTAGTTTTCCAATTTATTACGAATATGCCTAATAGAAGAGATTCAAAAGCCTTACTAAATTCAGAGAGTGACTATTTATCACTTCCCTTCTGATAACCAGATTCATACTTCTGGCAGAGACTGAGATTAAGTAAGATTTATTTTATTCTACTTTATTTATATCTATTCTCACTTGATATTAAATTATTCAATTAGTATCATTTAAGGTATAGAAATACTCCTCTGCCAGACTATATACCTCTCATGCAAAAGGTACTTCTGGGCTTACTTTCTAAACTAGAGAAGAGAGATATCAAATTTTTCCTATCTACTTTTTCTATACATATGTTAAATTTACATAAGATTGGATACCTAAATTTTTAAACTGGTGTACATCTCTAAATGTGTGCCTTCTATGGGTAGAGATAACGTCTACAATATACCCTCTGGTATTTTGTATGATGCATATAATTCTGTGGACATCCAATAATTATTAATTACAGGAATGATCAAGGAGATTGAACAGATTTGCTTACCTTATGATATCTATTTCTAGCCATGTAGCCTCGTAAGTAAGACTGAAGAATGATAGTGGCTGCTCGCTTGATTTGGTACTTCTTTTGGACCACATACATTCGCCAGTACTTCTGAATGATGGTGGCTGCATTGGTTCTGCGCAGAAACTTGGCATAGCTGTTCAAAGTAAGCAATGATAGACTGTCAATAATTTAAAATATTCAGACATTCATGTCATGTGGACTCTCAGAAAGGTAAGGTTTTCTATGGGATATTACTGACATGCGTGTGTGTGTGTGCGTGTAAATAAAATTCTGGAATCACAGGATCAGGGATTCATAGTGGAAAGGCAGCTTGCCACCTAGTCCAACCGTCTTGTTTTAGAGATGAGAAAACTGAGACCCAGAGAAGTATCTTGCCTAACAGAGTAAGTAATATTTTTTTTATTTTTAAATTAGGGTTCTGTAAGTCCAAATTCCTTGCTCTTTCCTCTGTACCACAAATAATATGCAAATTAAATGGATGTAATCTATTCAGTCATTAACATGCATTGATATACTATTCTATTTTATGAAGCTTATGTAGCACCATATATGGTCTCAAAAATATTCATTAATCAGCTGTTGCTGCATAAATTCTGGACATAATTTATTCAGTCATTAATATACATTGATATACAATTCTATTTTATTAAGCTTGTTTAGCACCATATACGGTCTCAGAAAAAAAGCTCACTAATCAGCTATTGCTGCATAAATTCCTCCCTAAGGAATGTCTCATCTGGAATCTGATCGACCTATATAGTTCTTTTTTTCAGGTTCTCTTCACCTCACTTCTCCAGAAGACACTTCAATGGAATCACTACTAACTTGACCATGATAATATGCAACTTTTTTCACCCACACTTGGTTTCCTTGCTTTCTTTAAACCCTTAAGAAGAGATAGTGGATAAGCAATTCTAAGGCATTCCAGTCCAGGGAATGAAAATCCACACAGCACCTGTGTGAGATGGCCTTACAGTTTTAGAAAGAAGCTTGCATTCTCAATTTACTTGGAACTAAATAATTTTCACACTCTTGTATGAAAATATTACATGGCATGATGGCTATTCTTCATAATCTGCTCATGTGGAAACAAAATGTTGAATGCATCGTTTCAATATATTCAAGTTCAAAAGGATATACTGTGGGTGCTATCTATATTTCACTTTTACAAAGCAAAAGTCCATTCTGAAAGCAGATGAACATTAAGTTTGAGGCTATTGCTGAATTTAATGCTAACAAGAATGAGAGTGATTATTAGTTTACTTTTAAAATACAGAGTGTACGTCCAACAAACATAGACTATGTATCTGCATAATGCAAAGTGTATGTTATGGTATGTTTTTTAAGACATGAAAACCAAACAGATGGTGGAATTACATATATGATTAAATTTTCATACTTTCAGCTTTATTCATTGGCTTATACTGCTTTTCAGCAGTAAGACCATGAAGAGAATTTCATTTTGAGAGAGACGAGCTGCTATGCACAAAGGCCATGATATTCTACTTAATCTCCTGAAAACAAATAGCCTAGCATGCAGCAAAGAAGGACAAAGAGGCTGGCAGCCTTCTGTGAATGTCCTGTTTAGGAGATTCTAAAATCAGATGGCATAGTTCTGCTCACCATCGCGCCTGGTAGCCTCGAACATATCTCTGAATAGTAATAGCTGCCTTCTTCATACGCAGGTATTTCTTTCGCAGCAACCAGCCCCGAATTGTCTTCTGGATGCGGATACAGGCAGCCCTTAACTTGTCTGCCCTTATTTTTTCCAAATAAGCTACTTGCCCCGCTCGGAAAAATATCTTGGTCTTACCAAACTGGTATTTATCTTTATCCTATTTTCAGAGAAAAATTTATATTCAGAAGCAAGATTAATGGTCATATAAGTAAAAGGTTAGAACAGAAAGGAAACAAAGATTATCTAAAAGCAGAATCAGTGAAGAGGTGAAACTACAGCTAACATTTTTGCTAAATCAGCAATTAACTAAGGGAGCCAGATTTTGATCCTAGGCTCTTCTGTACAAAATTTCTATGATTAGTGAGGTTGAGGAAGTGGAAGGGATTTTAAGGAAGGCTATAATGACAACTACTTTCCAGAGTTCTTCTACCTGGGAATATTATTTGAGGCCAAAACTTGGTGGTGGGATTTGGGGTAGTTTTTTGTTAGCTTGTTTGTATTTTAAGCATCTCAAGGAAATGGGGATGTTGATATTCTCTTTGATTGATTCATGCTGTAAATGTCTGTATTCCAGGTGAAAGCTGAGGGGACAAAAACACCAAGAATGAGATAAGTCTAAAACACACAAAATTAGAGAAAATTAAGATTGGTATATTTATATTGAATTAGCTTTCCTCTAAAGTCATTACTATTTGTTTCAGCTATAGTGTTATTGAGACTTTTTTAAAAAATCTTAAATACATGTTAAAATATAGGGGAAGCTGAAGGCCTTCTAACAAGTTCAAAGCCATTTTCAGAAAATGAAGGTCAATATAGCACCTAGATCTTTAGAGCTAAAAGAGATCTGAGTGGTCACCTAGTCAACATTCCTAAATTCAGAGATAAGGACCTAAGGACCCTGAGTGACTACAGCTTGCCCAAGGCCACACAGGTAGGACATAGAGGAGGAAGGACTTGAATCCAGGTTTTTGGGTTCCAAGCCCACTGCTCTTTCCATTGGACCACGTGACCTCTTCTACAATAGGCACGATGTAGCAGATACTTCTGGGTACACAGACACTCTGTGGTAGGCCTTGGAGTGAAGTGTGTATCAGGTGAACCATTCACCAAAAAAGCAGTCTGAAAGGAATCCACATGATTCAAAATTCTCAGGGGACATACAGAAAAGACAACCACCATATTCACTGGACAAGCTTACAGAAGAAAAAAATCAGAAAGCTTCACCTTAATCAGGACCTTCTGGATTCTCTTTTTGTTAGTCCTATTCACCTTCCCTCCCCAAATTACTTTGCATTTACTTTGTAAGTATTTTTACATTAATATGGTTTCCGCAGGGTAAAATGTAAGCTCCTTGAGGGCAGGGACTGTTTTATTCTTGTCTTGGCAATACCAGCATGTTGCATAGTGCCCGGAATGTAGTAGGTGCTTAATGAATACTTGCAGATTTTACTTTCTACAAAAATACATAAAGACTATACAGAACTGACTCCCAGGGCTTGGGGTGGAATACAAAAAAAGAAGGTGACATGTTTTTTGGTTTGTCTTTGCATCTCTAGTATCTAGTACAGTACCTGGTACATGTTAAGTAGGTGTTCAATAAACACATGCTGGATTAAAACAAGCAGAAAAGAAATTAGAATGATTCTCATTTTCTCTCCTCTCCTCTCTCTGACCACTGCTTTAGACCAAGCCCTGCCTTCTTTCTTCTCTCAGAAGTTCCCGCATTAGAATCAAACTACAACTCAAGATGTCTGCCACCTTTCTCAGCAAAGCCCTACGTATAAATTCTGAGAGGAAACATGGCATCATGGATAGAGGAATGAATTCGGAATAAGGAAAACCTACATTCAAATCCTGCCTCTGGCACTAGCTGCATTAACATGTTCCAAACAAGTGTTGGGCAAATCAAAATGAGCTAAAAAGAAATGAAATTCTAATGAAAAATGCTTAACTACACTGCTTCTAGATTCATCCTTCATAAAAAGCTGCTTTCACTATGACCCTCCCCTGTTCCAAAACTTTCAATCAAATGCAACAAGTATTTATTAAGTGCTTACTATGTACTAGGCACAGTGCTAGTCGCTGGGATATAAAGACAAAAAGGAAACAATTGCCTGCTCTCCAGGAGCTTAGATTTTACTGAAGTCATTACTGTTATTTGGAGGGTGGAAGGGGGAAGAACTAACAATCAGGGGAATAATGAAGAGACTTGTTCAGGAAGTGGCCCCTGAGCCATGCTTTAAAGCAGGTGTGCACACTCCGTGGGCCATTTGTGGCACCCCAAATTTTTTTCTGCAGGCCACTGAAATCCTTTGGCGCACCACAAGCAGCCCGAGGGTTGTGCAGGTCTTCTTTAAAGGGAGCTGGGGACGATAGACAGCAGAGGTGAGGAGGGGAAACATTCCAAGCTTGGAAGGTCATTTGCACAAAGATATAGAGCAAAGAAAAGGAGCGTCGCTTACAAGGAAACAACAGCAGATAGAAGAGTGGCTGGGACATAGAATGCATGCAAGCCTTTATTACTTCCTTAGCAGCTGTAAGACAAACTCTTAATTCTGGATTTCAAGGCCTTGGCTGATCTTTTCTCTCCTCTATATAAACTCTCCATTTCAGCCAAACTGGACTACTCACTGAACCAAGAACATGCTTTCGGCAGCTTCCTTACTTCAACATTTGAGCATACTTTCCATTTGGGCATAACTTCCTTCACTCCTGCTCCTACAACCCAGATCTTATAATCTATGCCCTCTTTTTCTTTTTTGTCTAAATTCTGTCCACACTTTAAGGTTTCCCTCTTATCTGAAGCCTTCTCTGATAATTTCAACAAGAAGATGGTCTTATATTGTTATTTCTCCCATAGGTATACGTACTGTTACCTTACCTAGCTTGTAAGCCTCTATAAGGGGCTTAAGCCCCACTAAGTGAAAGACACACTACTTTTAATTCCTTATATCTCCCATGATGCGAAGCATGGTATCTTGCACAAGAAACCAATTAGACATTTATTACTGTTGGTTTCCCAAAAAAGGAAAAGATGAAAATCATTTAGCCAAAAAGTACTGCCTATCTGGAAACAGCTTCTGTTCCAGTCCCGGATCACATAACACTGCCTCAGAACTCAACCTGATCCTTCCTACCATCACTGAACCCCTAAAAAACTCTGCTTTGCCTAGATCCTCAAGCAACTGCTTCGGTATGCTGTCATTCTTTAATTCCAATTTTATATTAATTCAGCCTAGTCTTCTTTTCCCCACCAAAAGTTTTATATGGAAGCTCCTAATGTCCCTAAGCAATCAAAATAAAATAGATTCTTAAGGCAAAAATCTGCCAACCAAAAGTTTAATAAAAAGGTCTCCTACCAGTATCAACTTCTCTAATACATTTTTGCACGTCTGCTTCCTGTCACTAAGTACATCTTTTTGCTTCATCAAGACACGATAGCGACTAAAAAATTCTTGATATGTCCACCTGCCAAAAGAAATCAACAAAAGCTTAGTTAAATATTTGGGAATGTCTCCCACTAAAAAAAAAAAAGTCTGACTTAAGAAATACCTGGCCTACCTGGAGGGAAAACCTGCTGCACTAATTCGGATGGTTTCCAAGACACCACATGCCCTCAACTGCTGTACTGCCCGCTTTTCATCAAACCTACAAGTGAAAATGCAAAATTGTTAAACTACAAGAAGCATTAGTGTAGCCAAGCATAAGTGTGACTACAGCTACAATTTGCTTCCCATCATTTTGCTCTATAAGAATTAGCTGATAAAAACATGAAACTATGAAACGGAAAGAAAGAAACTGATGGTTCTAAAGATATAGAAGTAGTAGTGTGAAGAAAAAGAAAAAGTTGTGAAGGCAGAACAGTGACCAACAGTGAGAATATGAACATACAAGGGCTATAGTCAGGTTTGTGCCAAAGTACACCTGACCATGAGTCAGGATCATATCTCTAAGTGTCTAGTTCCTATAGTACTTAATGTAGGCTTAAAAGACCATCCTTTCAAATGTTTTAATACTCCCAAAGACCTCTGCACTCAATCTCAGTTATGGCCACAATAACCGCACCCTTGACTTGGTTCAACTTGAAACTTTCAGTTTTCTTTAGGTTACTTTATGCCATTGTCTTCTCATTCTCTCCTTCAGTTTACTTACATCTCTTTTAATAACAATAATAGAAATAGTAATGATAATAATAGTAGTAGCTAGTATTTTTATAGTGCTTTAAGATTTACAAAACACTTCATGTTATTTCATTTGGTGATTCTCACAACAACCTTGGGAAGTAAGGACTGTTATGATCTCCATTTTACAGATGAGGAAACTGAGGCTGACAGAGACTAACTGACTTGACCAGGGTCCATAGTTAATAAGTGTCTGGGGCTAAATTTGAACTCAGGTGTTCCTGACTCCAAGCCCAGAGCTCTACCCACTGTGCCACCTAGCTGCCTCAAGATAGTTTTTTCCAAGTGATTTATTACTCAGTGACTTCTTTCCCAGGGTCGTTAAATATACTTTTTTCAATTGAGAAGTTAAAAAATATACTTACGTAAATGGAAACTTGAAGTCATTTGGTTTAATACAGCGCACATAATGGGGAGTTGTAGCATTGAGAGTCTCCATCAGCAGATGAAGGGAGTTTCTGAACTACGTGAAAAATAAGAGAAAAGAGGAGTCAAAGATATAAGAGTTGGATTAGCTTTAAGATCATATCATCTTGTTCATAGGTTTTTTTAATACTACATAAAAAATGATCAGTGAATGAAATAGGAATGAAACCAGTGAAAAAGAAGATATCAATAGAGTATCTCATTTTCAAAATGTATCCTTTCCATTACAGCAGGAATGATTTCATAGTGGTGGACACTGGTTAGAGCTTTAGAATTCATGAAGTTAACAAACCTGTGAGACAGGCAGAACAACCATTAAAATGGCATTTATAGCCATGAAAACCGAAGCTTAGAAGGTTTAAGGGATATGTCCAAAGTCACACTAGCTAGGATTCAAACCCAAATATTCTGATTTCAAGTCTGGAACTTTCTACCCACCAAAGTGCCTCTTTTAAATGGTATTCCTATGTCATTAGTGCAAAACACACTGGCACTCATCATCCTGTCTCCTGAAATACAGAAAGGTAATTGCTAAAGGATTGCTAGAACTAAAAGCAGCAGCAATTTAAGTTTGAGCATTGTAGATTTAATTTGAAAAACACAAATCATTCCTCTCCCATCTTCAATTCACATAATTTTATTCAGAGTGATACTTAAGTATTATGGACACAAAATTCTCACTCAATTTTGAGGTTTACCTCAAAATCAATTTTTTTTTTGCTAAAAAGTGTTGAAAAACATAGTTACTACCTAGGAGGCAGCTAGGTTCAGTGGATAGAGGATGGGGCTGGAGTCAGGAAGATCTGAGATCAAATCCAGCCTTAGACACTTACTAATTGTGTGCTTTAACTCCTCATCTGTAAAATGGGGACATACTGGAGAAGACAATGGCAAACCACTTTAGTATCTTTGCCAAGAAAACTCCATAGACAAAGTCCGTGGGGTCACGAAAAGTCAGATATGACCAAACAACAACCTAGGGGCAGTGTGGTACAGTAGAAGGAGAAATGACTTGAGTCAGAGGAATGGGTTTAAATGCTGTCTCTGATTCATATTATGTGTGAGCTTAGACAAGACACCCCTAGGAATCAGTTTCCTTGTGTGTAAAATAAAGGGGTTGGACTAGACAGCCATTGAGCTTCCTTCCAAATCCGAATCTGTAATCCTATGAAATTAGCACACAGGGTGTGTGTGTGTGTGTGTGTGTGTGTGTGTGTGTGTGTATGTGTATGGGAGGGGGGGCAGGAGAACAGCCTGGAACTGATTTCTTCCCTGTGGAAAACTCCAGGTGCAGAAATTCCCTCTACTCTCTACAAATAGATGGACTGATGACTTGTCTGTAATTTATAATCTGAGACAGTTGCCTATGACATGGAGAGGTTTGGGGGTCTATGATCACAATACTGGTATGTGTCAGAAGCAGGATGACTTGAACCCAGGTCTTCCTAACTCCAAGGCTGACCCTTTATCAACTGTTTCCGTTTCTACACACACACACACACACACACACACACACACACACATATATTCTCTCTCTCTCTCTCTCAAAGATTTAGAGCTGGAAAAGACCTTAGATACCATCTAGGCCAGACACCTCAGTTTTAGATGAGGAACTGAGGCTTCTCATGAATGCTAACATTATTCAAATTCCAGTGGCATGAAATAGAAAGCATAGTATTATCTCACTTGTGGAACTCTTTGTCCATCATCCTGATCTGGCAGAAACCCAGTTTACCAAGCTTAAAAGCAGAGGACCAGATGTTAATTTATTATTAAACTAGACATTCCTGGAAGAGGCAAAGGAACATCCTAAGTTTCTCCTTTTCCTAAAAAGAAGATGCTACTTATCGATAGTGATATTTGTGAATACTGTTTTTTAAATAGTGTTGTTAGCTTATTCTTCAGGCCCTGAGCAAAATGATTGTAAAGGGAAAAAATTTCTATGCAAAAATACCTCTACCCCCTTAATTCTTCTTAGGTGGGGTTGAGAAGGGCCTACCTTAAGGACTAACCTGAAACTGTTATACTCCTAGAAACTTATCCTACTGGCTATCGGGTAAAAGGCCATGACTACACAGGTGTTTTCACACCTTGGATAAAGGTCAGAAGTGCCTATTTTGTACCTACCAACCACCAAGCTTGAAATTCAGCATCCATGACTAGAAGCAGCAGCTAGCTAAAGCTTGGCTTTGAGGTCCTAGCACAATCCAAGTCAAAACGAAGCAAAGACAAGCAATGCTTTGTTTTCTCTGAGATCCTTAGGGTTAGGAACTGGAAGTCTGCCTCATATATTCATTCATTCAACAACTACTTATTTAATGTGTGCTGCATCCCCTAGAGGGTAGGAAGCTAAGAGAAATAGAAGGCATAGTTTTTGACCTTCAGTAGCTTAGACTCTATATAAGAAGTGTGTATATGAAAGAGAAAAAGATAAAGATTATTCTAATACAAACTCAAAGGCCTGGTGGAATTGAGAAACCGATAAAATCTTTGTTGGTTGAGCTGAATCAGAAAAGGATTCATAAAAAAGATGAGGGTGCAGCTAGAGGTGAGCTCTGAAGAATGTGTAGGATTAGGATTGGTAGAATGTGTGTTGGGGGAGGAAGAAATGGATACTAAATCATATTCAATTATGCAAACATTTCTTAATCATTTATTATGTGTCAGACAGTATGGTAGCCAGGGACTAAAAACAAAAAGAAATTTGTTCATGTCCTTAATGAGCTTACATTCTAATGGGTTAAAGTCCCAGTAACTTCTTATTGGATAAGAAGCATTAAACATCAGGGTTCATTGAGAAAGGGCAAGGAAAGTTTGCGTCTTAACTGATGTTAGGAAAGGAAGAAGATTAGCAATGTACCACTTACCTGGTGTCCCACAGTTTTCTTGTGCTCTTTTGTTGACTGGCCTGGTCTAACCTTAGTTGGCTTTATAGGAGTCCTGTAGAGTGGGGTACGCCCAGAAGGAGTGGCTGAAGAGGGGCTAATGGCTTTTTCATCATCTTGAAATAATTCTGGGAGCATCTTAAACTATGTGACAAACAGAAAAAAAAATATTAAAACTAGAATAAAAATATAAACCTAGTGAAAAAAACAATGTGATATTCTCCAACTATAGTGGATTACTTCAAGTAACTCTAGAAAAATGCTTTCAGACTCATACTCCATGAACATTATATGATTCAATGGCAAAGAAACAGTAGAGGATTTAAAGTTAGATGCTAAAACAATATAGATGGAAGAAAAGTTGTGTTGTTCTACAACACAGATTTGATAAATGAATTCATAAAAATGCTTTTTTTCCTTTTCATTTTCATTGATATCTTTTGTCTTTACATCACCATTATTTCTGAATATACCCCTTCTTCATACACTACATAGTGAACCAGTCCTTCTAATAAAGAAAAAAGAAAGCAAAACAAACAATTAAGCAGAACCAATACATTAACTGAGTGACCTTGTATATGATATTCTGCATCCACATTTCTAACATCATCTCTGCAAAGAAGGGAGAGAGGTGCATTTTATCAACTCTTCTCCAGGACAAAGATTCTTGGTCATTACAGTTATAGTGTTAAGATTTGATTATGTGTTCTTTCTATTTACATTGGTGTCATGAGGAATACTTATTTCCTGCTTCTGCTTAATTCATTTTTGAACCAGTTCATGTAGAACTTCCCATAAGAAATTTTAAATGTGAAAATATTATTGCTGCTCTAGTGTTTCATTATAAAAATAAGATTTCATCTTAATACTGCAGTTTAACATGACAATTTGTTTCCATCATGAAGAAAACATTTTCATAGGAGCTCAAGCTCAATTCAATTTAACAGTAAACTTTTATTAATGTCCAGTACATGCCAAGTATTAGAGGGAATATGAAGTTTAGATAAAGCATAATATCAGTGCCTTCACGAATATGACAGGCAGTAGATATATGCATCATAGAGCCAAATACATAAATAACATCCATTTATATAGTCCTTTGAGGCTTGTAAAGTCCTTTACGTTCATAATCTCATGTGATTTCCAAAATAATCCAGTGAGGTAAGTGCTACAGCCCTTTTATTCTTCAAGGCTCAGGTTAAGAAGTGAAGACAAGACGGCAGAACATCAGGAAACAGCCAAAGCAAAGCTCTCCTCCACTCCCTCAAAAAAACTCCTCCAAAACAGACCTAGAAAGTGCAATAGACTGAATCTTGATGGGGAAATTCAATAAAATATAATAGTGAGTTATTTTTCCAGCCCAGATTGGCATAGAGACACAGAGAGTTCTATGGACATTGGAATTTGGCCAAGAAATCAGGCCGTAAAAAACATTCCATAGGGATAGGTGAGGCACAGGGCCAAGAAGAGTTCCCAGGCCTATACTAGGGCACTGTGTGCAGGTTGTGGGAATAGGCGTCAACTACATAGTTCAGTCATCACTACTGTTCTCTTGGTCACCTTTTGTTGCGGGGGGTGAGGAGCAGGCAAAACTTGAGCTTTACTCTCATCTGAACTAGTTCAAGGAGGGAAGAATAAACATACACACATATTTAGGTACAGAAATTCATTGTACCCAACAGGGAAGTAGAAGGGAAAGAAGTTAAGAAACAGGTGGGAATGAATAAGAGAGAGAAGAGAAGAAATAGTAAAAAAGCAAAACAGACTCGTGAGGAGGAGATAGGGTAAAAAAGAAAAAGATACATATAAGAAAATAAGATGGAATACACACAGCAATCATACCTAAGAATGTGAATAGGATGAACTCACTCATAAAATGGATTAGAATGGATTAGAAACCAGAATCCAACAACATGTTGCTTATAAGAAATATACTTGAAACATAAAGATACACAACGAGCTAAAAATAAGGGACTAGAACAGAATTTATTACGCTTCAGCTGAAGTAAAAAGGGCCAAAGTGATTATCTTGATCTCAGATGTTGTTCTTTTTGGTGTTGTTGTTGTTCAGTCGTTTCAGTTGTGTACAATTCTTTGTGACTCCATTTGGGGTTTTCTTGGCAAATACACTGAAGTGGTTTGCTATTTCCTTCTCTAGCTTATTTTACAAAAGAGGAGCTAAGGCAAGCAGGATTAAGTGACTTGCCCAAGGTCACACAGCTAGTAAATGTCTGAGGCCAGATTTTAACTCAGGAAGATGAGTCTTCCTGACTCCAGGCCTGGCACTCTATCCACTGTGCCACCTAGCTGCCCAAAAGCAAAAACAGATCTAATTAAAAGAGAAAAACAGGGAAACTACATTTTACTAAAAGACACTATAGGTAATAAATTAATATCAATAATGAACATACACACACCAAATAGCATAACATCCAAATTCTTAAAGGAAAGGGTAAATGGGTAACTAGAGGAAATAGTAAAATTATCATTAGTAGAAGGCCTCAATTCACCCTTCTCAGACTTAGATAAATCTAACCATAAAATAAATAAGAAAGAAGTTAAGAAGATGAATAGAATTTTAGAAAAGTTAGATGAGATAGACCTCTGGAGAATAGTGAATGGGAATAAAAAGAAATACACCTATTTTTCAGCTGTATATTGTACCTTCACAAAAATTGGCCCATGTATTAGGGCATAAAATCCTCACAATGCAGAAAAGCAGAAAATGTATTAAGTACTTTTTTTCCTGACCATAATGCAATAAAAATTACATTCAATAAAAGGCCTTTGAAGCACACATTCAAAATTCATTTGAAACTAAATAATCTAATAATAAAGAATGAATGGGTCAAAGAACAAATCACAGAGTCAATAATATCATGAAATATAATTATAAGAAGGAGACAACAGACCAAAATTTGTAAGGATGCAGCCAAGTCAGTAGTTAGAATTTTTATATCTCTAAAAGCTTACATAATTTTAAAAAAAAAAGAAGAAGAAAAGAAGAAAGAGCATATTGAGGAATTGGGCTTGCAAATAAAAAAAATCTAGAAAAATAGCAAATTAAAAAACCCCAATTAAATACCAAAATAAAAATCCTGAAAACCGAAGAAGAGATGAACAAAACTGAAAGGGAAAAAAATAATTGAACTAATAAATAAAATTAGGAGCTAGGTTTTTTTAAATAGACTAAATCATTGAACTCATATGATTAAAAAAAGGAAAGAAGAAAATCAAATGACTGATATCAAAAGTTAAAAAGGTGAATTCACACAAAATGAAGAATAAAAGCAAAAATTATGATCTATTTTTCTTATATGACAATAAAACTGACAATAAATGAAATGGGTGAATACTTACAAAAATATAAATTGCCTGGATTGAGAACAAAAAATAGAATATTTAAATAATTTTATCTAAGAAAACAAAATTAAGTCATAAATGAGCTCCCTAAGGAAAAAAAAAAGAACAGACTGGATGAATTTACAGGCAAATTTTACCAAACATTTAAAGAATAATTAATTCCAAAACCATATAAACTATTTGAAAAATTAGGTAAAGAAGGAGTCCTATTAAATCCTTCTAAGGCACAAATATATTCTCAAAATTTAAACCTGCAAGAGTCAAAACAGAGGGGAAAAACTGTAGACCAATTTCCCTAATGAACATCAATGTAAAAATTTTAAATAAAATTCTACTAAGGAGATTTCAGTTATATATCACAAAGATCATATACACTATGATCAAGATAGATTTATACTAGGAAAGCAGGACTGGTTCAATACTAGGAAAACTATAAGCATTATTGACCATACTAAAAAAAAACACACACACACACTAGAAAACACAGGAATCAATGGAACTCTCCTTAAAACGATAAATAGTATCTATCTCAACACAAGGGCAAACATTATCTATCAGAATAACCTAGAATCCTTTCCAATAAGACCAGGGGTGAAGTAAGGGCATCCATTATCACCATCACTATATAATATTTACTAGAAATGCTATCTACAGAAGAGAATTTGAAACAGAAAAAAACGAAAGAATAAAAGAGTCTCTGTTCTTTACACACATTACATATAGCAAAAATTATAGAAGATGGGAACACTATCAAAAGGGCTGCAGAGGGGATGGAACCAAGATGGCGGAGTAAAAGCAGTGACTTGCTTGAGCTCTTCCCCAAGCCCCCCCCCAATACCTCTAAAAAATGGCTCTAAACAAATACTAGAGCAGCAGAACCCACAAAAAGACAAATTTCTGGCCCAAGACAACCTGGATGGTTGGTTGGAAACATCTGTTGTGCCTGGCTGAGAGAGGAGCACAGTTCAGCATGGGCCATGCAGGCAAAGACGGGACTCAGCAAACCTGGAACAGGCTTCAGGGGACTGAATCAAGGGGAGCTGTGGTGGTTTCCAGACTTCTCAACCCACAAATGCTGAACACAACTTAGAAGGTCAGTAGGAAAGGTCTATTGGACCTCAGTGAGAGAGGAGCTCAGTCTGGCCCCAGTCCCAGCCCTGGGGCAGTGGCTGCTTCCAGAGCTCTCAGCCCATAGATGGAGGGGGATTGAGTGGCTGATCAGAGGGGGAAAGCAGGGATATCTTTGCTAGTGCTGAGGCAGGATTGTCTTGCTTTGCTCATGCTTGGATCTGAATGGCAGTCCTGGGTGGCAGTCTTGGGGTGAGGAAGAGCACTGGCATGGTAGAGCTCATAGCCAGGTCAAGAGGGAATTGTCCTCACAGTTCCAAGGCAGAAAAGACTGCTTGTGGTCACTCACAGACCAGAGCACAGGCCAGGAAAGGAGTAAACACCTCGCCCTTGATTGTACCACCTTGGAAGAACTGAAAATTTACAGGTCCCTAGAAATATCTCTAAAAACAGTTGCACAAAACCAGTGAAGCTTGGGACAGTACATTCTCCACATTGGAAGCAGAGCCCTACCTTAACAAAGAGGTTAATAGTCAAGTAACTGGCTGAGAACATGAGCAAACAGCACAAAAAAAAAGACTGTAGATTCTTACTTTGCTGACAAAGAAGATCAAAACATACAACCAGAAGAAGACAACCAAGTCAAAGCTCCGATGTGCAAAGCCTCCAAGAAAAATATGAATCAGTCTCAGGCCATGGAAGAGTTCAAAAAG